GGTTCTCGCGGAAGACGGGATTTCCTGCAAGCTTGAGAGAGATGTCGCGATCCGTGACCATGTCGGGGGATTTGCCAGCCGCATCAATGGTCTGAATCCTACCAACGCGGACGGCGGTGACATCTCCCCAGGGCAGGATGTCTCCCGAGCTGTGCGAGATGTCAATGCTAATGCGCCGCTGCAAGCCTTGATGCAGCTGAAAGGTTCCGCTGTCAAGCTCGCTGGCCTGCGTCACCTCGACAGGCGTGTACTCTCCCTGCTCATTGAGCTCCAAGATCTGGATTCGAGAAAGCAGGTCATGCTTTTCCTGAGTATAAAACTGCGACTCGTTGATGCGGGCGCCCTTTGCACCGTCAGCCGTGGGACAGGCATCTCTCATGTCGTCCCAGCTAAGGAGCTTGTCAAGGTGCATTGTCGAGACTTTGGCAAAAATGGCCGCTCTCAGCGTGACCTCTGGCGTCGCGAACAAGGGTACGCTCATGCTGTGAACGCTCTCGAAGCGGATCGGCCCTTCGTCAAAGTCTCGAATCATTTGCGTCGTCGTGATGCCGTCTTCCTCCGAGATGCCCGGGATGAACAGCTGGGCGTGGACGTCTGTGCCCTCTCGCTCGGCAAAGCCCACCATCTCGTGCATAACGACGTTGAATTTGAGCGTGTTGGTTGGTGCTCGGGCCTGAGATGGTTCGATTGACAGCTTGATCATGCCGACCTCGTGGGAGGTGTAGGGGGAAAGGACGTCGAGCGCAAAGTCCTGCACCCGGCTCTCAAACACGGCTCTCAGCGGAATGTCGACCTCGCCAACGAGGGTGTACGCGGGCATATTGAGTTCCACGAATGGATTGTCCAGACTCAAGTGTTGGGCATATTCCGGCTGATCGAGGTACTGGTGCATCTGGCGCATCACGCGCACTCGATCATACAGCTTCTCCAAACTCCACAGGCGAACGACGCTGTTCTTGTAGTCAATGACGCGGACGCCGATGCAAGGCTTATAGGCCTCCTCCAGCGCCACATCATCTCCCTCGCTCGTCAAGCCGTTGAGGACCATGTCGTACGAGGAACACAGCACGTGTCCCGCGTCGACCGTTGTGAACTGGAAGACAACGCTCTCGTCAAGCTCGTTGCTCATAATCTGCGCTTCCTTCAGGATGTGTGCATTCTGGAGAACGGTCTCGGCCATCTTGACGAAGTGGCGGCTTCGCCACGCCTTGACAATCTTCTTTGCAATGGCAATCTCGCTGTCAGACAGCCGAGGGCTGGCCTTGGGGCGCTTCAGGGGATCCATCTTTTCAATCTTCTCCTCAAACTGCTTGCGCTGAAGACTGAGCTGCTTCTCCATGTCCTCCTTGAGCTCTCTGAGGGCGAGTTCCATGCGGGCCTTTTCTTGCTTGATGTCTTCGACCTCCATGTCGGAGGCCTCGGCGCCTCTGAGCTGGCCGAGGAATTCCATCTTTTGCCTCTCAAACTGAGACTGGAACTCCTCCCGAACTTCCCTGAAACGGTCGTCTTGATCTCCCTGCCTGGGCGTCGACGGCATCGTCAGGGCTGTGTCGAGAGAGAAGTTGTCAATGGTGCCCGTGGACATGTATTTCTCTCTGATCGGGTACGACGTGGCCGACTCGGAATCGTCTCCATCGTCGCGCCCATTCACACGCTCCGCTCTGGCTCTCTGCACCTCCTCAAACAAGGCATTGAGCTCTTCATCTGTCAGGCTGGCAAAGTTATGGTCAGTCCCGAGAATGGCGCCAGCAGCTTCTCTTCGTGCGAGGGACCAGTCAGAATCCTTGCCGTTGCGCCCAAAGAAGGCCGGCGAATCAGGCCGAGAGATGATCTCTCCGGCGTCTGAAACCGAGACTTTGCTAAATGATCTCTCGTGTCCCGGGGTCCGAGGAGTCTGCGGCGCCGGAGTAAGAGCTTGCAGCTGGCTGGCGGTGATGGATTGCCGCAGAAGGCTCTGCCTGTTGCCCTCGCCCTCGGCTCGTTCCGCCCTGGCCTCCATGGGGTGGTTGAACCGGAAGATGTGGAAGTCTCCGAGAATGACTCGGTAGCCCGAATGCAGCTGCTTCGGCTCGGTGATTCGCTTGCCGTTGACCATGACCGATGCGCCTTCACGGGGTATGACAGTCACGACTCCGTCGGCGTTCTCAAAGGTACAGTGATCATGCAATATCCTGGTGCCGTTGAGGCGGATGTTGGCTTGGTGCTCTGCGTTTGTGTCCACATTGCCTACAGTGGTGGTGCCAGGCTTGAGGTTATACACCAGACACTCTGCTAAAAGGGGGTCGTCTGAGAGGTTGACAAGATGGGGCATCTTCTTTGGCGTGTGTAGACCGATGAATCCCTTTTCGATGCTGATGCCGAGTTCTTCCAGCGCCGCCTCACGCTCCTTGTGAATCTCCTCCGTCTTGGCCAGCTTCTCCTCCCAGGTCTGGTTCAGGTCTGTGAGGAGCTTCTCGCTTTGGCTCAGCTGCTCCGCAATCTCTGCCTTTGAAACCTTCTTGACCGTGCCATCGGCCGCTGTGATGCTCACAATCTGTTTCTCCAGAGGGGTGCTCTCATCGTAGATTTCATCTGGTGGGACGCCGGCACCTGCGCTGCCACCACCAGCACCACCGCCGCTACCTCCTCCACCACCAAGCTTGCTTCTCAAGAGGTCGAGCTCCTCCTTGAGTTCTCTGATCATGCGCGCATTTGCGTCTTCGTTGACAACGGCGTGGTTCTTGATTCGTTTCGCGGAATCGGCATATCGGAGCGTACTTATCGTCTCGTCATAATTGATATCGGCAGGACTGATGGCCGCTATCATGGCCGTCATACTGTTTCCTCCCAAAGAGTCCTTCAACAGCCAGGTAAGCACACTGTCACGATACGGCACCTGAGAGGCACCCTTCTTCTTCTTGCCAGTGGACAAGTCGGCGAGCGCCGCAATGACACGACCAAGCGTGGAAAGCGATCTGTTGATTTCCGCACCCTCCTTGAGTCGCGCGCCAGTCGCGCCAGTCGAGTTGGCTCTCTCGGAACCGGCCAAATCGACCAGACTAATCTTGGCAACCTTTTCCATTTCCATTTTGGTCGCGGCATCGTATTTCTTCTGTGTCAACATGAGTGTGAAGACGGCGTGACTTCGACTGGAGGTTTCGTTCATGTTGGTGGCGGCAACAGTTCGGGCCTTGTTTCCTTCGTCCATGAGATTCTCAATCTCCTGGAAGCTGGTGACAACGAGCTTGGCAAGGTCTTCGACGTAGGGACCGGTGGACGGGTGCTCTCGAACTTTCAAGTTGCCCTTTGTCGAGGGGTTGAGCAGATCGCGGACTCGCTCGTTGTAGATTTCCAGGTACGACACCTCGACGGTGCATTTGTTGGACGCGTCTCCCTGGATCGTGTCTATCCTGCGGAACATTTCCTGACAAATCATGGGAATGATACCAATCTCCTTGCCATAACCCATCATGGAATATGACTTTCCGGAACCCGTCTGGCCATAGGCGAAAATGCAGTTGTTGTAGCCCTCAAAGGCGTTGTCCAAGAGCGGCGCGCCCAGGTCCTCGAAGAGGTTCTGCTGGCCCGCATAGTTTGGAGCGTCCTTGTTGAAGGACCAGTATGACCGATCGAATGCAAACGCCTTTGGGGCGGTATCTTTGGTCCCCTTGACCGAGTGACCGTCCGGCGGGGTGATGACGGTCTGGTTCCCTTGCATTTCGACTATACATTTTGATCCGCGGTCGATTTCTGCAGCCAAGCGTGTTAATACTCGTGTCGCTGTGCGCAAGCCTGCCGGTGACCGCCTGGGGGGATGACGCCGCTCGACGGGCGCGAGCTGATGAACCCACCTCTGCCATTGAACGGCCGCACTCTCACCACCACCTTGATGTTTCCTCCCCCAGCTGGCGCCATGGCTGCTTGAATGTATGCGGGGACCTATGCTGGTCCCCTCGGAGGCCGCGCGGATGTGTGGGCGATGCGCCCGGGTCGGTGAAGGCGAGTCGTTGCAGGCGGGTGCGATGAGGAGGTGCTAGCAGAACGAGACCCCCATGCGATTCCAGGCGAATGTCACAATAAAAGACAAGTTCGGAAGAGCAAAAACACCAGGAGAAAACAAACAACTGCAGTCCCGTCAAGGCTTCGTGTCCATGCCTCGAGCTGCGCGGCAGCCTCTCCTCTCTCGGTCGCCTCCTCGCGGGCGCAGCGAAGAGCTCCGAAATGCCCGAGGTCGAGCGGGTTTCGCAAGCAAGCGTCGCAAGTCTTAAGAGCTGCGCCGGATTCGGATGGTGCAAAAGACGGCTTCTTGGGGTGCGCTCAGCGTCGGCGTCGGTCGAGGGGCAGATGAGAGGAACCAGACAGAGAGACACAGAGAGAGGCGAAGTTCGTCGTGGGGATGATGCTGCACAACAGACAATCGTCGACGCAAGCAAGCAAGCAAGCAAGCACAGGCAGGAATCGGCGGTCGCCAGGAGAAACGCGGTCGCGCGGGATGGATCTTGTCTGGACCTCCTTGCCGACTGGAGCAACCCTCTGTGGCCCTCTTTGTGTGTGTCGAACCGGTCGGTCTGATTGGGGGCGGAGAAGCGCAGATGCATGCGCAGGGGAGGTTCACGTGTGTTGATGCGGTCAACGGTCAAGTCGGGTTGGCAGCTCCAAGAGCCTGGATGGATACAGGCGGTGGCCGCGGATTAGCCGTTGCGATGGAGTGGATGGAGGGGGGTTGAGCACTATCGCCGGCAGGATGGGGGGGCAGGTTATAGGGGGGGCAGCGATGCATGTTTAGGGGACGGGATTGAGCGCATCGCTAACGTCGGGTGGTTATAGGGGCTTGGAGGGGGTTCATGACTGCTCCCATCAATGCAGGTAAAGACTGGCCGGGTTCCAAGTTGATGGAATCTATAGCTGATACCTAGGTAGTATTACCTTGTGGTCGCGCCGGTCTATAGTAGGTAGGTAGGTGATGGTGTGCGTATCTAGGTAGCATCGTTATGCTGTCCCATTATGACAGCCAAAGCCCATCAAGCCCGTTCCATCATCTGATCCTGCAAGCTCTTCTCATACCGCCCGAGATCCAACGGCCCCGTCAGCCACACCAGCAGAGCCTGGACATGCACAGGCGACCCTCTGCCCTCCCGGATATACCCTACAACATTGACCCATTGCCCGACCTGCGTCAACCCGGGCTGGATCGTCTCCAGGACCAGCTCAATGTCGACCCGGACGGTCTCGTTGGTGTCTGGAGGGTACATGTGCCCTAGCTCGAGGCATGCCGTCGCGGTATCGTATGAGATGACGCTGTTGTTGAAGCTTGAGCAGTGAACAGGTGCCATAGGTATGAGGTGAGAGAAGACATCAAGAGATGTCATGACGTACCATCCCAGGAATCTCACTTTGTCACCGACAGGAACGTCTTGTAGCTGGGAGAGCAGATAGAGCTTGGAGGGAACAGGCCCCCACGACATGGCTCTGCACGCTCAGCAAAGTCTCATTCTTGGGAGTTGTTTAGGATCAAGGATTCTGAGCTCTGTTTAGTGCCTATTCGAGCACCAACTGTGAGGCTCTTACAGAAGCCCGCGCTAAGCATCGCCAAGCGTACCGTGTAGATAAGCAGGGCTAGCGCACGGTATGACATTTGGTTAGATATTCGGATTATTGCTGACCTTGGCGCTGTTGTTCTTTGCATTCAACCTCATCCATATCCGTTTTTCCAATCCTCGTATATCAGACAAGGGACAAGATCACACATACACTCTCACAGCAGCAACAATGGCAGCACCTGAGCCCCTCCCCAAGTACATCTACAAAATCTTGCCCTCCCCTCCGCAAGATCCTCTCCCCCAGGAGTTCCCCCTCTCCCAACTCGATGCAAACGACGGCTTTGTTCATCTAAGCACAGCTACGCAGGTACTTGAATTTCCCACACACACGGCCTCCCTCCGCACTGAACTTCACCTTGATAAGCTGCATGGGCTGAGATGCTATGTACCCCAATGTCTGATCCGGTGAGAATACTACGTAGGTCCCGAACACGGCCGATTTGTTCTTCACGGATGCCACCCAGCTGTGGCTCGTCAAGCTCGAGCTGGCAAAGCTGGCCGATCCGCTCAAGTGGGAATCTGGGTTCCCGCACCTGTACGGCAACTTTGGCGCTGCCGATGTCCAGGGTCTGGAGAAGTTTGAGCGAAAAGAGGGGCAGAAGTGGTCGGAAAGCATGCAAACTTCGACATGGCTGGAGTAGGAGTTGGCAAAAGTATCGCCATCACACAGACTGCCGTATCACGCATGCGAAGTACCTTACGACATGGGTTTTTGAGGTAAAAAGTTAGACATGACCGAAGAATGGAATTCCACATGTTTCTTCTTTCTTCTTTTACTTGTTTTGATAAGGGTTTGGTTTCCACTGGCTGTACATAGGGGGGAAAATCGGGCTAGACACCAAGATCCTTTTCCACCATACCCCTGCAGATGGGGTGGTAAAAGTCCTTGTTCTTGGCAAACGTCTCCAGGGCGAGGTTCCGGTCAACCTTGTTCAGGGAGCGGAACAAGGGTCGCACAAACTTCATCCGGCCGACCTTTCCGAGCAAATCGGCCGTCGTCTGGTAGCTGCTGGCGTCGTTGGCCTTGAGGGCGAGCTGGAGGTAGGCAAACTTGAGCTCGACGTTTTGGGTGTTGAGCAGATCGTAGACCTTGCCGAGGAGCTGGGCTCGGTCGGTGCTCAGGGGCTCAAACTGCTGCAGCTTCTCGAGGAAGACAATCTTTTGGTTGGAAGAGAAGCCTTCAACATCCTTGGGGCTGGGCTCATAGGACTATCGTTTAAGCGGTTAGAATGCGACAATCACCAGGAAGACATATGGAGTCTAGATGTGTCCCGAGAAGCAGGAATAGAGTAGACCAAACTTACAGCATCCTTCCACTTCTCAGCCAGCTCGTAGCACTGGCTGGCAAGCGTGGTGTCAAACTCGGGCTTGGGAGGCAGGCCAGGGGTATAGAATCTGCCCTCCCAGTCAATGGTGGCAACCTTTTGCTTGACCTCTTCGTCGCCAAGGTTGTTGAAGAAGTCTACAAATGTGTCCCTGAACTCGAAGGAGTCGAGAGACTTGCCAGCCCACTTTGTGAAGTAGTGGGGGATGAACTTGTTGAAGTTGTCGCGGCCAACGAGGCGGTCCAGGTAGTAGAGGAAGTGGAAGCCCTTTTCGTAGGCAACGGTGCTGTAGACGTCCTCGGGGTCCACGTTGTCGTGGCTGATGATGAGCTTGGTGTACTCGTGGTCCTTGCCAAAGTGTGCAACGGCATCCTCTGAACTCGCCGTTAGAGAGATTCCGTTTGCATCAAGTACAACGCGGATACTTACCAAGGGCCTTCCAGCCAATGATGGATGAAAAGTCAAATTGGGGCTCGCCGTGAACCGCAGCCTCGATTCGTCGCTCCAGATACACCGTCCAGCCCTCATTCAGCCAGCTGCCAACATTTCAGTCAGCATTACTCTTGACACTCTCCCAATCACGGTCAGTGGAACTTACAAGTGCTCCCAGCTGGCATTGGACACCAGGTTGCCGCTCCAGCTGTGGGCAAGCTCGTGAGCAATGACATCCACGTTCTGCCTGTCGCCGCTGATGATTGTGGGGGTAGCAAAAGTATAGATGGGGTTCTCCATGCCTAGGACAATCATGTTAACGCAAGCTCACTGAGGCATGAGGCACGAGTGTGACAATCTAACCTCCGTATGGGAAGCTGGGGGGCAGCACGAGCACGTTGTACTCTCCCCATCTGTAAGGGAAGACGATGCTCTCGGCGATTTCCAGGAACTTCTCCATGTCCCGCTCCAGCTCCCACTGGCAGCCCTTGAGCTCGTTGGGGCCGGTCACAACCTTGCTGCGGGAGCCGATGGGGGCGGCGACGATATCGCCAGAGGCAACGGCGAACAGGTACGAGGGAATGGGCACCTTTTGCTCAAACTCGTACACCTTCTCGACGCCGGGAGTGGCCGTGTGGTCGCCCACCGCGACGCCGCTGGCGACGACGGGCAGCGTCGACGTGAACTTGAAGCTGATGGTGGACTTGACGTCGGGCGTGTCCTGGCAGGGGAAGATGGAGCGGGCGTTGATGGCCTGGCACTGGGAGAACATGTAGGGGTGCTTCTTGTTGGAGGTTTGGGCGGGCGTCAGCCACTGCAGGGCGGTGCACTTGCTGGTCGTCTCGAGCTCAATGGCCACGCGGACGACGTCGCCCTTGGCCGCGCCATGGGGCACCTGGATGTGCAGCGGCGCGCCAAAGGGGTCCGAGTGCGGCTTGAGCTCCCACTGGGCGGCGGCACCGTCGACGGCGACGGACGAGACCTTGACGAAGCGCGAGTCGAGGACGATCTCGGTGCTCTGCTTGTCCGTCTGGCTCTCGAGCTGCAGGACGACGGATCCCACGAGGCGCTTGTTGTCAAAGTCGATGTTGAAGCTGGCGCTGGTGTGCTTGGTGCGCCAGGCGCCGTAGTTGGACAGCGTGGTGGGATCGCGAGTGGCGGCCATGGTGTTGACGTGGGTGGTTGCGAAGCCCCGCCTGGAGGAGTAGCTGCACTGAGGGCCCGGATAGTATCTTGAGCTTGAGCTGTAGCTGTAATTGCTGTAGCTGTAGCTGTAATGGCTGTAGCAGCTAGAACTGGGACTGACGAGGCCGGAACTGGAGCTCGAGCTGTAGCCGAAGCAGTGGCGGGCGGTGGTGCGACTCGTGCAGCTGCGCAGAAGACGGGCTCTCAGATGGAGGGCAAAGCTCGACGACATGTGGCTTCACAACTGGAGACTGGTTTCAATTTTTTTTTCTCTCTCTCTCCCTCTCTCCCGCTCTATGTATTTCAAGCAGTAGGACCGACTCAAGCCGCGCTCGAAGCTTTCGCTGCAACTGACGCTCCATCACATCAGCACACTTGCAAAAGATCCTCTGCACTTGTGCGGTTTCCGATTCGAGGAGCATCACGTGCCTGGGTTTCCACTGTGGGCTCTTCTCGGCTCATCATGTCCGAACCGTTATTGCCGTACAATGTAGGTATACATACCTAGCATATCGATTGGGAGATCAGGTAATCATCAATTTTTCCAACTTCTTTTCATCTTGTCGTGATTTTGCTCCTAGACATGCTCATGTCTCTTCAAAGGCCTGGGATCAATCGATCGTGATCAAGTTGACAATGCTAGACCAGCCATGAAACAATGGCCTCTGCAGCCGCTCCCCGCCATCGCGTGGCTGCCAAGCACCTGAAACGACGGCCAGGCGTAACACGAGGAAACGAAGAAAAACATGCCCAACCGGCTCGACTTGCTGTTTCAAGCAGCACAACTACTACTATCACAACTATACCTACAAGGATCCTTCAGACCAGCCGATTTCTCTTGAGAGGCCATGAAATCCCACAGAAAGCCACTCTAGCTTAGTTTTTACGCCCCAACTGCTATAAGCGATGAGGAAACAACGACGAGAATGGAGACCGGGTCAGTTTGTGCGGAGCCGCGGAAACGCCTTACGGCAAACGTCTTGCAAGTGCCAGATCGGACTGATCGCGCCGTGGCACCCCTGACCTTCTTCTGTTGTCAAGCGAAACATTTATTACCTACCCGTACTGCCGCTGTCAAGAGCCTGGCTATCATGCTATTCTAACTTACCTTAATTCTCGACATGTCGGGTGTGCTTGGGTACGGGCTTTTGCATGAGCACACGAGCAGCTCCAACTTGAAGGCATAGCTTGAAAGTCACACTCATAATGAAGTGAAAACTCCCCTTCAGTGGCGAACAATGATGGATCTGTAAGAGGCGGGTACGATTTCAACCTCAAAGACGGTGCAAATGTAAACTGTCTCTTGGCATCTTGTAAGGGACTGCCAGTATGGACCCCTCGGAGTCCAGTCAAGTAAAAAAAACTTCATCCATATAGACACGCCTTGACGAGCCAGACTTGATGACTTGAGCGTAACATGATATACATTACCGCTTGTGGAGAAAGTATTCTTGCGCCATCAAAGACTTGTTGTTTCTCAAGTTTTTCATAGTTGCCTTGGACCTACTATGGAGTATCTGCTGGCCTTGTGAACTTGATTGGCAAAGTATCATTCAGTGAATCGACTGTCTACCACACCTATCCCTACATAGTTTACCGAGGGGATTTTCGCCGAGACTCAGACATTGTTCAGTGCTGGGTATTAAACTCCCAAGTGTATCAATGGCGACTAGCCTGCTGAAAGGCAAGTTGTGCTGCGGCGCCCGTCATAGTAGGCAATTCTACAGCTCCTCGACAATGATTAACCTCAATCAATGGCTACAGATACGTTGGTTTTATCATGAATATACTGCTTGCATCGAACACCAAAACCTTGAATCACACAGACTTCCAATATGAAGAACCACATACGTGAGTATGACTGCTATGTGACTCTTCCTTCTCTTATACATCAAGGGAACCATCTTGATGACCCGTTCACCAACACTCTAATTCATCACACTACGTCTGAAAAGTTGCGCATAGCGTGTTTCAACATTGCGGCGACTTACTCGGCCTGCTCAATGAAACTTCGGCGTGCGAAACTCAACCCACAGGATTTGGTGGCGCTTCATCCCCTCTTCAAGTTTCCCCCGAGAATCGGGACACCCGGGTCCTCTCCTTCGGTACTGAAGCTGCCGGCAGATTTTTCCACGTAGTGTATTACTGGCTTGCATGGGAGCGAGAATAATCATAGCTACCAAGAAGATCGGGTGAAACATCGAAAGGCCTGATGACCTGCCTGTTAGCATCCAGGGGCAAGACTTACTCGATGATGAGATCGACTGGATGCAGGCTGTTCAATACAGAAAGAACTTGAAATTTGAAATAGGGAGCTTCACTAGGTCCGTCAAATGTACAGTATGTTACCAGGTCGGCAGAGCGAGTCAGACCAGAGGGTGGAAGAAAACACGCCACCAAGGAGCATGAGCACCACTGGCTAATCGGAGAGTACTTGGTAGCCACTGGTCACCAAGATACTACTACTACCTGTAAGCGGCTCCATTGTACCCGATGTCTCTCAAGTTCTGGCTCTTTCTCCTCTTTTTCAGCGTTGGGGATCGAACCAACCGGCCTAGTATGTAGGATACCACCGATGGGCCGTGAGAACCTGGTGGAACAGTGCTGATTCAGTCTCCTCTTCCTCTCCGATTCCTCCTCTGGGTCAATAACTCACGCCCGAGTGGCCACTCGGCGGGTATTATGTGAGGGACGGTACTAGGAGTCGGTATTTACGGCATCAACAGATAAAGAGGGCTGTTTCAGCCTGGTGCGAATGTGTACAATGCTGTCTTTAGGGTTGAGGGGTCCCTCAGCCGCCACCCTGAGCGCGCAATGGTTGGGACGGTTACATAGATACGCAGAAGCCCTCGCAATCTCAGATCTTTAATGGGAGACCGGACAATATACCATGTGCCATACTACCTGCTAGAAACGGAGACTGCGATGCTACGGAATCCCGCTCCCTTTGTTCCATAATCGAACATGCCCTTTCGAGAATGATTCAACACGCCCTTGCACACTCTGTCCCAAACGCACCAACATTAGCTTCACGAAACAAACAAGTGTTTGGTGGATACATCACGGCAGACGCCCTTGAGCCGTTTTGAAGGTCAAGGCGCTTGCGGAGTCGGAATCATGTGGGCGACGCAACGGCCGCACCGCGTTTGGGCCCAAGTCTTGAAACGCCGCGGTATCAGCCAGCTTGCGTTGACAGCAGACAGACGGCCAGCCTTAGTGCTCAGGAAAGGAAACAATCAAAGGCGTCGGAGCATTTGAAGCTTATCGGCCCATGAGGCTCCCTGATGATATTTGATTACCTAGACAATTGATGGCCAGTGTCCTTGTCTAAGCAGAAGAAGGCATTGCCAATGTTACAGATTTAGGCCGACGATCCGTATGCCTGCAAAACCAAACACACTTTCTTGATTGACCGTTGTGCAATACCTACAGTCTACAGTGAAAGCATCACAGTTGCGTTATCCTGTGGCTTGAAGGAGGTTGAGTTTAGCGGCGTGTAAGACAAAGACAAAACCAAAATCCTCCACCAACAATCGACGATGAAGTGGGGCCGTACATCGAGTTCGTCTGGTGGATCTGAGAATCGCCCACTCGAAGCTATCAAAGTCGAAGTCTCTGCTAGACGCAACCCACTGCAGACGCCAGTCGTTGTTGTTCTGCCACGACCAAGGCTAGAGACTGGTAGAGAGCAAAATATTTGTTTCAATTGGCTCTTTGGCGGCAGATACAAACTTCTATCTGTGGGCTTGGTTCCCCGCAAACTGTTGTTCGTGTACATGTAGGCATCTGCCTGAGCAGGAGTCGCTTCAGGGGGGTGAAACAAAACTGGAACTCTCAACTGTGTCCAATCGGTATACTCCAAACCAGCGCACAGATGGATGCAGCCACACCTCTGATGGCCATGTCTTGGGCGAGCTGAGATTGCCTAGAATACGCTTCGCTGTGTGAACAAGAAAAGAATCATTATAGTTAGGGAGGGTAGTTGAGAGGAGGCACTAGGATCTGATCTTTAACCTTCCTATAGGAGCATCACGAGATAAGGTTTTGCGTAGGGTTGATGATGCATAAACGGCGTAATCATTCGGCAGCTGTCGGTGATTTCCGAGAAGCCGCAATTTTCTACGGGAGAGCAGACATCCGGGCTGAAGTACGTAGGCCATACCGGAGAGGACGATATTGGGGTGGGCACCTTTTTTACTCTCGAGTCTCTCTGCAGTCGTATAATTAGCCCGGAATGCTTCGACCCCCTTGCTGCGTTCCGATTCTGCGCATTGACAGCGATAAAGCGGAGAAGATGGCCGGGGTTTTGACGCATGGCTACAGGCCACACGAGTCCGTGCAGTGCCGGGGTTGCACCTGAAGTTTCTGAGTAAAAGAAGAGAAAAGTGAGGCTCCAACGACATCCGATGCGTGAAGATTCACTATGGACAACTGTGGGTGTGCAGCGATGTGCGTGCATGGCAAGACGTCGTAACAGACCTAGGTCCGAGGCTGTGCGATGATTTGTATCAAGCTTCATGGCTATGCTATGTTGGGCAATATGAGGAGCTGTGTAATGCGCCGAGCTGCGTTCTTGAGGGGGGCGTGTAGGATCGAGATGTTTGCAAGTTGATCACAAGGAGCAACTCCCCGTCACGGGCCTATACGGACTTCTAGAAGCCATCAAGATCACACCCATGACTTTTACTTGCCCTTTTGGTGAATTCGAGAGGGACAAGTTTCCTTGAAACGTGCTCTTTATTGGTTTGTTGCTTCATGTTGGTCCAAATGTGCAGGCATCAGCTGCTGTTGTGCCCGTGGGCTGGCTGAATAGTCTGGTCAACTTGCATCAAGAAGGATTCAGCAGATCGCCAAGCTCACCTCCACAAAACTGTCATGTTTTTACTATGAGAGTGCCTTCTCAGCGGATCCTCACAGGCATTGGTGTCAATCACCTGTGCGCCATCGGACGTGCCGTGCATCAACACGACGCAATAGGCCGATGATCCGCAGAAATACCTACATCATATGCAGTTTGTTGGACACGTTCGAGATTATGTACCTTCCGAATGAAGCAAATCTTCGCCTTCAGGTTCCGCCATTGTATCAGCTGAGAGCTGTTAGATCGACTGATTGCAAGAGATATGAATAAATGACTTCTCGCAAAGTTGAGTGCCAAGGATGGGCGATGGACTCATCATGCTATTGGCTCCAAATACATGCAGTGAAAACAGGATAGGGTAGCCCACCTACTCACACAAAGGGTGCAGATAAATGAAATCACCAAATACCAAACCGTCTCGAGGACAAAACAAGGAATGATTGGATATCTGTATCTGACGTGAAATATAATACTGCAGCCTCTTCCTTGGGGCCAAAAGGGCAACTACTTTCGCTTCTTAGCCCCCCAGCAGCCCCCATTGGTGAGGCAGAGCAGAAACGGAGTGGATGCTGGAAGGATCACCATGATGCTGTCATAGATGCATGCATATGCAGGCACTCACTGTTCTGGCTGCAAAGGGAAATAATTCAGTCACGCTTACGCTCACAAAAGCCAAAAACAGAAGAGGGAAAAGATAGGGCAAAAGGCTAAAAGGGAAGATGTCGAATCCATCGCCCCCTCACGGAAAGAAAGGCTTCAAGCTGCATATATAACAAGGCCGAGATCTGCGACATGCTTAATTAGCCAACTGTGCACAAGAGAAGTGGAGAATGCTGAGAGCTCAATGACATGAGAAACGAGCTTAGAATTATGTGATGCAAAAGAATCGTTCAAAATTCTCCCTGTTTCGCACGAAGTTCCTCGCTATACACAGTTGGGAAGGTCGTAGACAACTCGAGGTAGAGCTACTACTGGGCAGAGCCGAAGCAGCTGCCTGTGCCTTGTCAAGATGCAGAGCCTACATGTACCGGAACAATCAATACCTTACATGTATCCAGGGGCTCGCACACACGTGCCACATCCATTGTAGCCTTGCTTGTGTTGCAGTTGCGGTTGCGGTTGCACCTGCCCCTCGCTTCTGGCCTAAACCCGCCAGTTGAGTTGAGACCTTGGCTTTCAGGCGTCAAGCTCCGACTTCGATTCCTCACCTGCAAGGCTGCCGTCTTTGGTGGAATTACCTACTTTGCATGACCAGACTGGAATCTCCAGTCAATGGTGAGATGTCGACACCAACCAGTCAGGTCCATCCGACGTTTGTCAACTGGTCTCGAAGGAGCAACTGTTTCGCCCCTGCCTGTGCATTTCGCTGCTGGGGCGTCGATGCTGATCCGCACCACGCCTACAAACAGAGACGAAATAAGACAAAACACCACAAGACGCAACAATTACAGCACAATTACAGCAAGAGCAGAGCAAAAAGCATATTGATGCCGTATGTGCTCGTACTGCAAGATTAGATAGAGGCAGAGCATTGGCGCCTGAAACCAAACCAACCCCCACCGACACTAGGTAGGTAGATGGACCCCATCACCGTCAACAGACAGGGCCTCGTCTATTCTTTTTCTCTCTCAAATTTAATCCTACTTTTTATCCTTGTATTTTCCTCGCCTCTCAATGAATCATCGAGCAGCCTCCTCGCTCAAGCGACCCCCCCCGAGCACCGGTGCTAGAACGCAATCGCCCGACAGATCGGATTGGGGCGGCCAAACATCATGGCAGGCAAGGGTATCCTGGACCAGGTGGGGAAGACGCCTCGACCTGAAGAACGGGTCAAGTCTGCACAGGGGCCTAGCGTTTGACTCCTTGCTGCCATGCTCCTGCTGCTGCCAGGGGCTCGAGCACTCTATGCCGCTTTGGACGCCCTCGGCCGGAGCCTGCTCGACTCCAACACGGGCCTAGCTCTTGACCCTGGGTGTCTGTACAGCCACCCAATGCACCCGTGTCACAGGCCCGGAGAGGTAGCGAGGAAGAGACTCGGAACCCTCACCCCCCCCAGCCCAGCTAGAGCTTCACACCTGGTCCTGGACACCCGCTGGCCCAGGCCTGTCTCCTGCTGGTGGACTTCCCCCTTCGCAGGCCGGGTGCAAGCGAAGAGGAGACAGGGTGGACATGCCATGTTTCTCCACGCTAGCCTACTGGCAGGGCCTTCGTCCGGAGTCCAATGCGTCTTGGCCTCCAGGCTCCGTCTTGCCGAGAACGCAGATATACAAGTATACCCTCCTCGCCGGGTTCCAAGCTGCCTTTGCTCTCCTCCTTGACTGGACGGGAGTAAAGAACCGCTGAGGATGTCCATTGTGTAGCACGCTTGTCCGAGGCATACGACTTACACCTCGATCTCACCTGGAGCTGGATGACTGCGTCTTCCCTCTAACACGGCGACCTTTGAAAGACCGCCCCCCTCCCTAGAGGAATGTACCATATTGCAGCCTGCATGAACGGGGTCGAACAGAACACAATGTCGAAAACTTTGGCTTCAGCCTTTTCAATGCTTTCCGTAAGCTCATCTTCTCCCCACGGCAGATCGGCTTATACACGAAGCACAGCGTGGCTAACTTGCTTCTGCTCTTCAGTCAGCGCCGCCGGCGGCCCTGCCCGAGAACGAAAGGCCGAGCTCGAAAAGGATGCAACAAGACGGGCAGGGGAAATATCAGCTCTTTCCCAAGGGAAGGCAGTCGCCCGTCCCGAGCAACACCTCATCGGTGGATCCCGATACCGCCTTTGCCCTCGCAATGAACAGCAACAAGAATTCCGAGAAGCTGGGTACGATCCCGGCACTCAAGGTCAAGTTGAACCAACAGCCCATTGCCCGGCGCCGCAAGGCCAACAACATCCCGGACCTGGGCCCCATGACGACAGTCCAGGAGGTGGCCATGGACTCTCGTAAGTCTCTATTACCTGCTGAACCTCTCCTGCTCCAGTTCTGACTCGGCTGCATAGCAACAATACCGGGGCTTCCAGCCTTGCGAGAACGTGCTGGCACTGCCCCCCTGGACGAATCATCAAGAGATCGTGCCGGCCCATCGAGGCTCGGTAAAGCGACCTACACACCACCTAAGCAGATAGATGTGCAGAGACGGCCCGTGGGCTCTCAACCCCCTCGTCTACCTTCACCAAAGCGGCTGGCGCCCCTGGTCATTCCCGAACCGCAGCAGCTTACCTTCTTGCACGATGTCCAGCAACCCTCCCCTCCGCCAATGCTTCTGCGGACCGACAGTGCGCCGCTGCTGGGAAATGTCCCTAGCCATTACTTGACCCCTATCAGCAGCTCTACCGCTTCAGATGCGAGTCGCCCTGCCAGCTCCGGAAGCGCAATTGCCAACTCAGCCACTACGCTGCCGACCCCTGTCTCGGCCTCGGCATTGGAACCCAGATCGGCCACCACAAAGCAGTGGGAGGCCCCTTCTCGTACGCCGTTGAGCGCTACGCGGCCTGGCGATGGCTCCTCAAGCCACAGGCGTCTTGCCTCGGACTCTCAGGGTGCTCAGGACAGAGGTAGGACAAAGAAGCGAGGCGAACAACACAAGAAGAGCAACTCACATCCGGTCAATCCACATACGGGCAGAGGCGAGAAGAAGCGATCCAAGAGTGCAGAGCAGCGTGCGTTTGAAGAGCTTCCTTCCGGTTGCAGACCACTGCAAGCCGTGAGCCAGATGAGCGCCAACGACCTGGGGATTCTTCGTCAACAGGCTCTTGGCCAGGCCGAGAGATTCGAGGTGCTGCAGGTGGAGGATGTTGAACGCCTATCCAAGGAGCTCCGGAAGCTGGACGAACGGGTTGAGTACCTTCGCCGCACTTACAACTCCCTGAGAAACGGCCGTCGCAACTTTCACTCCCGCATCTGCCAATATCTCCGATCACCAATGCGGGGATCCCGGTTGAGCGCCGAGTCTATGCTTCGACAGGAGGAGGCGCTGGCGGAGCTGGATGCCTCGATCGATGGCTGGGTGATCAAGCTCGAGCGGGCCGAGAACAGGCGCACCCGCGTCCGACAGAAGCTGCTCGAACACATTGCTGCAGCCGCGATCCTCAACATCGCGGGAGAGACGCAATCGCCCCTGCAGTCCGCGGCATTGCCACCATCCACGCCGCTGCGGCCGGCCTCACCGTTACAAGCCCGAGCCGTGCAGGACATCACCACGCCGCCCCGAAGCCCCGACGAACCGACCAGCAGCCGCCCCGTGAGTGCTTCACCACCGCCGCTGCGGGTTGTGGCCCAGGTCCCCAGCATGATCCTGGAGCTCCCCGCTGAGGAGGTTGAAGGGCCAACCCAGGCCGAGCTGACACGGACGCCGACGATGAAGAGCTCGGACGGCGAGAGCATCCGCATCTATGCCGGCGATGAGCTGTTTGCCCTGCTGACGGACGTTGAGGATGAGATCTTCCGGATGAACAATGTCACTCCCGAGTCTAGCAGCAGCCCCGATTCCAGCACCGCCCCGGAATTCGGCGCCACTCCCGAGCCCGTTGCCCTGCCCGTCGAAGGCCACCAGACTGAGTTCCTGCGAGTCGAACAGAAACAGTCGAGGAGCAACCTGAGGCTCAGCGCCCAACCCGATTCTCCCACCCTTGCCGCGCCGCCGCTGATGCTGAAGAGTACCTTTTACCGTCCAGCGACTCCCAACAACCCACCGCTTTCGCCGCCTGCCCCTGTGCCTCCTCTCAAGGACGTGCCCAAGGATGGTGAAGTGTTTCTCACCAGTGCCGTCTTCAAGCCGAAATGAGACCTGTTTCTTTTCCAACCTTTGCTCTCTTCTTACTCTTTTCTTTCTTCATTTCTCTTCTCTTCTTCCTCTTTTCTTTCTTAAATTTCTCTTCGCTTCTTCCTCTGGCCGTTCGCATATTCTCTCAACCATCTCACTCATTTACTGGCGTTGCATCACGTCTTTGGTCTACTTCTCGTCACTCCTTTGCATAGAAGCATCCTGGCCACACAGCCCAGGCTGTACTGATACCCGGTCACGAACCATTTTCTTCTTTCAATTTGCATCTTGCATCAGCCACTCGTTTGCTACATACACGCCATGCCCAGGCATCTGCATATGTACCTGTTTTTGTTTAATGTCTATTTCTTAGTGACTGGCCAGCCGGGCGTGCGCCACAGCATTGTCTTACACACATGCATTGCATTCATATTCTTGGAATGCTAGCCTTGTTTCCAAAATTCTGATCTTCTCCTTTGTTACCTTTTCTTGATTTTTTTCTTTCTTGTTTCTTCCACGGGATGCAGAGACATCCGTAAGCGGGGGCAAAGTTGATTCCGTCTTTGAATAGACGGACCAAGGAGTCCAGGCACTGAAACAGTCGAGGCATGGACATGGGCATGGGAAGCGAAACAGCTAGCGGGCGGAGGCGGCAACCAAAAAAGTTGTTTGAATCTGTGTATTTAGTGCAGAGTATGGGTAGGAATCATCATGTATTCACACGTACAGAGTGAGGGCCGGTATTGCACAGCTGAGGACGAGCTACTACTAGGTATTTCTTTGTTATTATTAGTATCAACTACTACTCTTACTACTACCGTACTGCACTCCAAGCGATTTGCTGCATGTTACCAAACCTCGTCTGTGACAAAGTACGAGGCACTACTTGGTCCATCAAATCAAATCGAAACAAGCTGTAACCCAATCCGGAGGTGATGGATCTCGTGTCATGACTAATGCTTCCGGGGGGGTTGCGGTGGTGTCGTGGGTTATTGTAGTCGGCCGACAGAGGTTGTATCATCGGCCGCAGGGGGTTTTGCCAAGCTGGATCTGTGATGTTCGTGATGGTGTCACTTGTTTTCTTTTCTTGGCTTTTGCATTTGATGTTTTGTTTCGTTTTGACAGGTGGCTGGTGTCTTTTTGATGGATGGGATGTGGTATGGAGGGGGGCTGGTGAGAAATCCGATACTGACGGGGGGGGGGGGGGGGGGGGGGGGGGTTTGTGATGGACATGTGTATGAGGCTATGTCACGGCATCTTTCAAACGGATTGGTGCTCTGTATGAGTTCTATACGTGAAATCTAGATGGAATTGTGTTCTGTGATGTTCACTGGACGGCGTGGATTGTTTATCTATCTAGGTAAATGTCTTGTCTACTCGCAAAGAGGCGGCATCGCGGCATACAGCTTACAGAGTACCTCTTAACCTACCTCTACGAAGCAATAGATAGGTATGATCCGGAAACATGTTAGCAGGTTTGTCCCTGCGAAACGATTGGACCGGATCATGTCCGATACGCAAAAGCAACAGGAACAATTGGAACCTTGGAAGGTCAAAACAAAAGCTCGCGAAAACCGGGGAAGCCAGGGGAGATACTAGGAAGAATGGGAAAGCCTTGCCTGCCTTTGCTTGCAAGAGCATCTAGGTATTGAACCAGGGGACATTTTTTCGTCTGTTTTTCTTTTCTTAAGCGAGTTTGTGACGAAGCAAGGTAGTAAATGGAAACCAGGTACAGTGAGTACTATGTAGTGGGTCGTGGGACGGAGTGTGATTTTGTTTGTTTTGAAGCTTCTTTTCTTGGCTCAGCTGGGTGGGTTCTGAATGGGACGAGATTTGGGGGGGAGGGGGGGAGCAAGGCTTGGTTCTCTTTGCTTCTTTTCTTCTTTTCTCTTCTTTTATCTTATCTCGATTGCTTACTTGGGGTGACGAGTGAGTGAGTGAGTGAGTGACTATTGAGTGATATGGAAAAGTGCGGAGGTTCAGGGGGGGTTCCGTTTCGTTTCGTGTTAGAGATGCTGGTTTTGGCGTGGTTCTTGGTTAGTAGTACTCTGACGGTGATGGTGACAGTGACGGTGATGGTGAGTGAGTGATTAGCGTGTAAGTAGAGGGTGGCTGATGTCAAGTGACGGCTTCTTGCATGCGGTTCCTTTCCCGGGCTTCTTTGCGGTGGTGGCATGCCATGCAGGGACCGGAATGCTGCAGGTGCAGCTTGGCAGCGGTGATGCTAGTATTGGAAGGGGTAATAATACATACGTTTGGCGAGGGAGGAGTTCTACTAGTAGATGCTGGGCTTTGCAGGTATCTAGTCTAGTGTGGACTACCTAGAATGCGGAGATGAATTGGTGAAGCAAGAAAAAGTGATAAGAGACAGATAGAGAAAGAGGGGGGGGGAAAAAAAGGATGAGAGAAAAAAAAAAGAAGAAGAAAAAAAAAAAAGAAAGAAAAGGTGTGGCGGTTTCAACGGCCTGCGGCTGACCGGGGCGGAGGCGCGGAGGGGAGGGAGGGAGGATCTGATGCCGGAAGAGGCCATGAGCTCCGTGGGCTAAGCGGAAGCGATATTCAGTGCATCTCTGGAGGTCCAGGGCAGGGCAGTGCTAGGCTGGTTGCTGACTAGAATAGATTTTGGGGAGGGGGGGAGGAAAGTACATAGTAGTTGAGTTGGAATATGCATAAATGGTGGAAAAGAGTGATGAGATGGGGAGGTTTGATGGGTAATCAGCAACAGTTTGTATAGGGGGGAGGTCTGGTGGTGGTGGTGGAAGATAGGGGAGCGGGGAGAGAGGCTTTATCGTATAAAGTATATGGCTTCAGTTGTTGATGGGTGTGAGAGTGTGCTTGATTGTGCTTATTATCACGGGGGAGACTCTGACCATAGCCAGCCTAGATAGCGCTTGTGATGATGTCCAAGTAGTATTACTATAGTAGTAGTTATCAAGTGCGAAACCCAAGGAAAGCTGGGGAAATACCATTGCCTGTCTGTCTACCTAGACAAACAAGGACCCGAGGCTCTTGGACCCGGATCCCAGGACATGCGAAAGAGACATGGAAGGGGGGAACAAGGGGGATCCCTTCTAGCGCGCATGATAATGCAGCAAGCCACGAGAAATTTGACACTGGTGACAAGGACTAACCGTCTTCCGCTGCTAGCAGCAGTAGTAGTAGTAGTAATAGCACCATCACGTACATGTGTGCTTGGGCAGGAACAATGAGACCCCTGATCAACTAGTAGTAGTATAAGGCTCTGATGCAATTCGCCTAAAAAGTATTCAGCCCGGCTGAAAAGTTAAAAAACAAGTTAACCTTGCCTAATTAGGAAGGGATTATCAGCATAAAGTTACGCACAAGAATCTAAATGCCTTAACCCTTAATCGCAAGGTATTAAGCTAGCTAGGGCTGTGTAAATGCCTATAAGGGGGATAGATGCTAAGACTCTTTAGTTAATTCTGCTAATAGCAGGGGGTAGCGACTAAAAACTTTTTAGCTTTTAAAAGGCTTAGTTATATTTAGCCGCCTACTTTTTTAATTCTACAGAGATGTTATTATAGTTATAGATTAGGTTATTAGTATAGCTAATAACAGGGTGTTAGCTAATATTATCCTGGCTTATAAATATTAGAGGCAGTGTTATTAGAACCTTTAAAAAGCTGCTATGCTGTTAGCTATTAAATGTATCCTTAAGGAAGAAGAGCAATTGCAGTAATAAAGGCCAGCCTACTTAAGAGCAGTTAATGCTAAGCCTAATAAGGCAGATAAGGCAGATAAAGATAATAAGGATCCCTATTAGCTAACAGTTACAGTATTATAGAAGCTATATGATAAGCTTCTTTAAGGATTAGAAAAGAGATTTAAAGAACTATTCTATATAAAAAAGGCTGTGTTTTAGGCCCTCTGCAGTTAGCTAAGTTATAATATTAATGCATTAGGAAGTTAGAAGTAATCTCTGTAGCAGAAGGTTATAGTATTTTTATAAATATGCGTATTTAGCAAGACCTAAAGGAATGCTGCATATTACTTTAGAATGCATTAGTTAATAGTATTTTGGATTATATAAGAGCTGCTAGATTTTATGCAGCAGTTATATATAGTATTTATAATATAGCTGCTGCTAATATATATCTCTTTTAAGATTATAATAAATTTAAAGGCTAAGGGCTTTAAGGGCGTGATTAGGGCTATTAATAGTATATATATTCCTGCCTTTATTTTAAAAGTAAATTAGTAATAATTTTATTTAAGGAAAAATAATATTATATAAAATATACTTATAGCTATTACCTTAAATAGCTTATTCTGCTATATACTAGCAGGAGGTAAAGGATCTCTTTATAATACCACTCTTTTACTGTAAGCTATAACTTAAAGCCTAAGGGTGCTGTAAAAGAGATACTATTTTACTAATACTGGCTTTTATATAAAATAAGGTATTATGCTGCCTTATATTAGATTACATTATTATCTTAATAACTAGGGAGATGCTAGTTAGCGGCCTTATAATAGTTATAAGCTATTTAACTTGCAGTATGCCTTATTAAGGACTATAGTTAAGTATGTCTTTAGCTGCTGTAAAAGGAAATAGAAGATTATATATACTAGCGCTTTAGAATATAACTTTATAAACTAGTGCCTTTTTATATATACTGTTATAGGGCTATATAATTTTATAGTATTAGGAGGAAAGACTTTAAGCAAGAGCTACTATAAATATTTTAAAGCCTTATTATAAAGAGAATAGTTAGCTATTACTAAAGTAGGGGAAATAGCTAATTCTATTATGCCCTGGTTAGTACCTTATAGGTTAAGGGAATATATAGCTAAGGAATGTTAGTTAAGTTACTAGTAATATCTTAATAATAGTAATAAGGATTGCTTTTTTAATAATAAGGGTTAAAGCCAGGGCTTTAAGGACTGTGGAGATAGTGGTAGTAATAGCAGCAGCCTAGGATTAGACCTTATTAGTAATAATAAAGGCAATAATAATAAATTTAATAATGAATTTAATAATAAATTTAATAATAAAGATGATAAAGATAATAAAGATAAGGAGGATAGAGATGCTAAAGGATAGGGCTAGAAATAAGTGTAAATGCAGCTTTAATAAAGTGAATTAGTGCTAGGCAGCAGCTAAGATAATAATAGCCTTTTAAGCAGTGTTTTTTTCCTATTATAAAGCTATTTATAATTATTATAAAATAAAGCTAAATTCTAGCCTAGGTTTACTGCTAGCTATACCTCCTTAACCTTATTTAATAGTAATAAATTCTATATTAATAGGTTTATTAAATCTTTACATATTTAATAGACTAGCTTAATTAAATATTCTATGCCTTTATTACTAGTAAAGTTAAGATAATCTTTTATAGTAATTTTAAATACTTTAGCGCTAATAGGCAATAGCTTATATATAATAATATATATTACCTTAGCTGCCTTAGTATTATATAAATTAATTAACGCTGCTGTAAGCTTATAAATAGCTTCTGCTAATAATAACCCTTCTTAAGCCAGTAACCTTCCTTTCTTCTACTTCCTTATGCCTATTATAACCTTAGGCGCTGTAGATAATAATCTAGGCATTAGTAATGCTATCTGTAGTGTTAAAGGCATCCTTGGCTGTAATAAAGTTAAATGCTTATATAATGGAGGCGCTGGTTATAGCGTTAAGGCTGTAGGCTATAGTACTAGTAGCTGTGTTACTAAGATAACCTTATTCTTATCCTTATCCCCTATTATAATCTTTATTACTACTGTCTCTTTTACTAATACTAGTGCTTTTAATAATACATCTGCTAGCTTATTTACTAATGCCTCTTAATCTTTAGCTATATTTTTAAGTGTATTCCTAACTTCCTTTATAAAGTTATTACTAACTCTTATACCTTTTAGATAGTAATTTCCCTTAGTAAAAGTAAACCCTTTAGCATTACCTGCTTCCTAAATATTTTATTCTGCTAGTTAGTCCTTAATAAAGATATATTACTAGGTATTAATATTAATATTATTACTAATAAGGAGCCTGCTTTATATAACTTTTCTGCTAAAGTAAGAGTATTATAATACTATTAATTATTAATTTATAGGGCTTATGTTAAGGGCGCCAGTCTTAGGGTTATATATTATCCCTAATAGCCTCTTAGCCTTACTAAACACTTGCTAGAACTTCTTTAAATAGTTATACTTATTTTTAAGCATCTTAACAGTTTAGTTACAGCTAGGATACTGGTTTTTTATAGGTTTAATTATCCTTTTAAAGCCCTGCTAGAGGTATATTGCTTTTGCTGATTTTATAAGGTTATTACTAGTGGCCTTATATAGTAATAGGAGAAAGGATAGCATCTAGTTATTTATTTACCTAGCTTTACTAGCCTGTAATGCCTGTAATGCAGGTTCTAATATTTTAACAGGTCTGTAGCTTATTATAACTTAAAATAGAAGTAAAATTATATAGCTTTAGAGGTATTTTAGAGATTAGGCTATTAAATAATGTTAAATTTAGCCTAATTAAAGTCTAAAGGCGGTGAGATATTTCTATCTGATTACAGTCTAGTGGTCTGATAAGGATTTCTAGGGCTAGAAAGGAGGTATAAGAAAAACGCTCTACTTAGCGCTAATTGTAAAAGTCACACTTTTCAGCTGGCTGAATACTTTTCAGGCGAATTGCATCAGAGCCTAAGGGAAGACTTCGGGATGCTCGTATGTATGTATGTACTTCGTAAAGAGGTGATAAGCTTGGTAGACAAGAGCTGGGGGAGGGAGTCATGGCCCCTGGTCTGGGGTGGGTTGATGAGGATATGCAGTTGATGCTGCTCCCTCTAGTATCTTCATTTCGATCGTCATATTGCAGTGTTTATGCTTGCAAGACTATATTGGGTTGCTTGATCTCGGATATGCAGAGTATAGGGGATTTCAATAATGAAGAAAGAAAAAAAAAAAGGCAAATGCAGAATAGAAACTCATAGCCGTTTAGCATTGCTGATCCGCGGACGATCCACACAACCTTTCCTTTCTCACCCCTCCCCCAAAAAGGCCGATTCTTCCATGTACTAGTTGTATGTATGTATTGAAAAGTGTGCCAAGTATTGATAGTCCCAAGTTCACGCCCGGTTGCCAAGGGTTCGCATGAGTTTGCCAGTCGGGGGATGATCGAGTTGCATTCCGAGTCCCGAAGGTGGCACACGGAAGTAATAGCTGCAGGGGGAAATCACGTCTTGTGTGTGTGTGTGTGATACGGATTGAATTCTCCTGAGCTTTCTTGCTTTTGTGGTGTTGTAAGGGAATGGAGGCAGAGGAAACAAGGAAAGGATTGAGGAATGGGAGTTGATAGGTGACCAACGGTGGTTTGGCCCTCTTAGCAGCTGCTGATATCATCACACCTTGAATTCGAGGGAAAGGAGTAATCTTCCACGAGATGACATGTTGTCTATTACTGTTGAAAATTGATAATAAGGAGATCACATCTCATCATCATCATCAGTAGAAAGCGCCTACCCCCATCTAATTATGAATTCAATAGCAACGAGGTATCATTATTCTCTTCCTGCCCCGTCTCCAAGAACAAAATCGAAAGAAGAAAAAGCGCCGGGATCCTTTCCCAGCCGCTCGTAGCAGAGCTTTCATATGCCGCATTATACATGTAAGCGTCCCATCTACCCCGGTGCCGAGGGACAATGTTTCCCATCAAGGCAATATTTCATACCCTACCAAGTCATTATAACAATCCTCGGGTCATCTAACTCCGAACCTCGTTACCAAACAAAGCCATGCTGCGCGTAATTATTATCGCCGTAATCATTCCGGGGCATCATCAGTGCGTAAGAATCCTCGCCGCCTGCAGTATCAGGCCAAAAATCAGCCCCCGGGCAATCTCCTCAATCTGCAAGCAGTCAAACACCCGCCCCAGAGCCTCTCCCGTGGCCGACTGCCCCATGACGCCCATCAGCGCCGCCGGCACGCCGCTCTGGATAAGCAGCTTGCGCGCCTTGATGGCCAGCTGCTTCTTCTCCTCCTCCGTCGGCTCCGCGGGCCACAGCGCCTGCTCTTGCTCCGTGGGCATGGTGTTCTCTCGTACCTTGCGCAGGAGGGTCGCGATGCCTGCGTCGGACGTGTTGGCGTCAATCACGGACGACTGGATCAGGTTCTGCACCGTCAGGAGCGACGGGTTGCCGGGCCGCAACAGGAACGACTTGGCCGCAGCGAGGAGTGTGCGACGGATGTTCCATGCAGACGAGAGCGTGTACATCTCGTTGATGACGGCAAAGATGAGCTCGACAGCCACCCGGGTTTCCGCCTCGCTTAGCTGCGTGTACTGGCGTGCTGGCTTAGCCGGGGTCTGGGGGGCCGCCTGCGCTTGGGACTTCTTCCCGGATAACGCCGGTGCGGAGGCCGACCCGTTCAGGGCCTGCGAGCTGTTGTTGCGGCTGGGGTCCTCCATGATGCTGCCGTCCCTCCTGCGCGCCTTGGGGTCAAAGTCATGTCCCGGAGACTCGTAATCGTCGCTAATCTCGTCGGGGGGCGGCGGAAGCTTGGTGAAGTCGAGGCTAATCGAGGAAGGTGACCGAAGCGCGGCCAGGCTGGACGTTCTGCTATGCTCCATGCTGGGCCGAGCGCTTACCGACGTGGAGACAGAGTCCAGCCGGCCTCGTTGGCCCAGGCGCAGGTCTGTCTCGCTGCTGTTGGGAGACGTGAAGCTGAGCATCCGCTCCATAGGCGCAACCCTGCCCGGCTGAGTAGCAATCACGGATGACCTCTGGCTATCGAGACTGGCACGCTCCGACCTCGCGGGCGATCTTGCAATGCTTTCCACCACCCGGTTGGCCGGATTAGAGGAGATGGATAACCTGTTTGCATTAGGTCCGCCAGCGTCGACCGAAGACTGAGCAGTCGACTTGCGGCTCAGGCCCGCCAGGTTGCCAAAGACGCCGCTAACGCCTCCGACGAGACTCTTGCCGCCTTCCATGGCTCCTTTGGGGCCGATGGATAGCACCTCGAGCATGTTCTTGCCCATTGTTTCCCAGCCAAACGATTTGGAGTTGCCGTGCGTGTGGCCCTGGGACTTTTCGAGGAACCGCTTCATGCCCTCGCTTTCTGCCAGCGCCTGATACCAGCAAGCATCCCGCAGATACCTCTCGAGTTCGCCGCGAAGAGACTCCCTCGTGTGGATCTTCCAGCTGGGCAGCTCCTTGTGCAGTTCCATAAACGCTGTGGCTCCCGACACTGCCGCAATGCGCCTCAAGATCTCGTGAAGTGTCTCAAAGTCGGAGTAACGCCGCACAATCATCCAGCCGGGATAGTGAGAAGAAGATGGCTCGACCTGGATGAGATAGTCCGTGTTCGGCTTGCTCTTGATCTTGCCCATGTCCCCTGAGCCATCGTCGTGTAGCGTGAAAGAGGCATTGTGTAGAGTAAGGGGCTCCTTTCGCGGCGCCTCCTCATCGCTCTCGGGCTGGGGTTGGCCTTGGGGCACGATTTGGTCAAAGCTCGTGAAAGTCTGGTCCTTGTTCTCCCTTGGAGATGAAGCTTGGCTGGCGGAATCTGTCGACCGTGGCGTATGAGGAGTGTATATCGTATCGCTTTTGCTCGAGACGCCATCGACAGACGCCCCGCGAGGTGAGTACCGGTTGGAAGTCGGCGATAAAGCTTCTGCGGCATTGCCGCCCTTCTGAGCCTCCCCATCTCCGCCCCTCATCAAGTCCATGCTCTGCTTTGAGCGCTCAGACGCCTCCGTCAAGGTCGATGCTCGTTTCCGTCGTTCGTCATCCTCTGCAATCATGGCATTCATTCGTTTCATTTCCTCCATGGCCTCTTCCAATTCCTCGTCAGCCTTGCTCAGCTTCTTCTTGTGAGCAGACTCTTTCCGTCGAGCCTGGCCTTGGTCGTTGCTACCGCGTCGAGGCTTTGCGATGCCGATGTTGCCGACATTGCCGTCCAAATCGGCAAAGACATTGTTGGCAACGTCACGGCCGGTCTGCATGCCGACGTCAATCGCTTGATTCAAGTTGGGCTCTCCCGCTTCCAACAGATAGACGATCCAGCCGTTGATCCACTCGGCTCTGCTGCACTGCTGCAGCGTCTGCTCGAGCACCGAGTTTGCCAGAATCTCGCGCAAGAAGATGCGTGCAGGATCGCAGTTGTAGGCGCTCTTGTCGAGGAATGCGAGCAAGTCCTCAGACACCATTTTGAACTTGGTCGCCTGCTGTCTCTTGTTGAGCAGATTGGCGAGGCGCGAGTCGGGGTTTTCCGCCAGGTAGTTGTATATCGTATCGGCGGCGCTCATGTTCGTGTCGGGCGGTAGTTCGGAGAAGGCGGTGGCGAGTTCGGAGAGGAAGACGATGATCATGGATGTCGAGTTGGTCAGGAGGTCGAGGAAGGCGTCGGCCGGCCGCTTGCGACACATGCGGTTCGATATCGCCAGCAGATAGGACGTGATGGTCTTGCGACAAGAAAGGGGAAAGGCGTGGTCTGAAGGCACAAGAGGCGTGTACCACCAGTTGATATAGTTCTGGACAATCGAATCGACAAGGCCGCTCAGCGCCTCTCTCGTCTCCGGACGAAAGTCGTCGAAGCCACGCATGCGGTTCGAGTCGTCATCCTCCTCCTCGTCCTGCTTCTCCAGAGCTCTGACGGCTGTCAAGTCTGCCCAGACCCTGTCCAGCACCCGCGGGCCCTCCTCACCGCGAATCGCCTTTGCCAGCTCGGGATTCTTTGACTCCCAGATGATGAAGGAGACGACGCCGCCAAACGCCCCTATCAGCACGAGGCCGATCCGGCCAAGGACAGCGTATGTCACCGCCGAGATGCCGACGCCGAGTCCTGCGAGAGTTGCCGGCGTCGCGGTCGCAAAGAACTGTATGGCTTGGGAGGCGAGGCTGGACTCTGGTGACGGTTGCGGCGCCCTCGTGTCCTGAGCCCCTAATGACTTGACGTCGCATTCTGGGTTCTTGGAGGCATGATGACCGTTCGTCTTACTGCTGGCGTAATCCTCGGTCGCGACGTCGTTGCCGCCTGGTCCGGCGCGACTGGGCGATTCGACCGAGGCCAGCTCGGAGTCGTCGCGACGCTGCGCAAGATCAGCCGCGATTGAGCTCATTGGGGGCTGGGCAGGCAGAGCAGAGCAGAGCAGAGCTTGTTGGTGGGTATGTAGGTAGCTTGACGCCAACAGCCGATTTCTCTACACTATCAGCGTCTCGTGAGGCCAGAGGGAGGGGGGCACCATGTCACGCAGAGGCCCAATGCTGCTGGATCTGGAGGGATTCGGACGGTGAGGCTGGAGGGATATGGACACAGAGGCAGGGCACAGCGACTGTTACGCTGCGGAAGGGAAGGGGGTCGAGGACGGTATCAATGGATCGCGAGAGTCGAGAATGAACGTGCTGGAATGGATGAATCGTGGATCAGGTCAGGTTCCAGTTACTGGGACCCTTTGGTGAGGCTGCCTCCCACAATTCTCCTTTCTAGGGGCGAAATGCGGGTCAGCGCTGCAGTTGCAGCGGCCTCGAGCCGCTATATTTGGAGCTGCGGCCTCCACTGCTGCACTCCATCCATGGGCTGCACTGCCCTTGGCGCCGATTTTCATGTTCCTAAACACGGAGACGATCCGAGTTGGGGGCTTCAAAGACGGCAGGAGGAAAAACATGTGATCTTGTTCTACGACACTTCATGTTGTTTCGGTATATTTGTGTTCAAGATGTTGCATTTGCTCAAGACCTGGTAGTGAACATACATAGCGAGTAGAAGAAGTAAAGCATCCTCACTCTGGCAATTGTCCTCCCCAGCTTCCATGCATGAAACGCTGCACGTGAGCTGGCGTGACCATCTCACAGATCCCCCCCCGCCTGAAGCTCTAGTAAAACACCACTTAACCGGCCCTGACGCGTCTGGCAGCCCACTTTCGAAGCTCCACGCGCCGCATCGAGCATCTCTTTATCGCAAACGTCAAAAAAAATATCCCGAGTGTTTCTTGTTATAGCGGTTCTTCCTTGTCTTGCTGATTCGAATTTAAAAGACGCACGATCGCTTCTTCCCTCTTTGGAAAAGACAAGATGCCTCCCTCCACCAAGAAGCGACGAGCGGCCGAAGACAGCGACGACGATGCCCCCCAATCCTCCGTCGCAAAGAAGAACAAGAGCGCCGCTGCTGCCAGTGCGCCGGATGGCAAAGACGACGAGGGCAATCCATACTGGGAGGTGCGCTTTCGTCGCTGATGAAACAGGCCTTGCGCGCTTCGCTTAGGTACTGACGGCTTTGCGCAGTTGTCCAACAAGCGACGCGTGGGAGTCTCCCAGTTCAAGAAGATGTGCCTCGTCAACATTCGCGAGTACTACGAAAAGGACGGAAAGATGCTCCCCGGCAAGAAGGTATGATTGCGCACGCATCCTGGCCACAATGGCAGACATGATGGGCCAACCCAAACCACCCTTCGGACTAGATACTAACAAGGTGCTTGCGCAAAGGGCATCTCCCTCTCTGTCGAACAATACCTTGCGCTGATAAAGGCAGCTCCCGGTATCAACGCGGCGTTGCGGGCGATGGGCCAGGAGGTTGACGATCCCGACGAGATGGATATCGAAGAGCCCAGCGTGCCCAAGGCCGCCAAAAAGACCAAGTCGGACAAGTCCAATATCGAAGCGACCAGCGATGAGGATGAAGACGACGACTAGGCGACGCCTCCCTATGAAGCTTGATTGATGAACTTGGCCGTCAGAAGGCTGTTTGTTTTCTATTTCTTCGTTGGAGTTGGGCGGTTCTACTACGAGTCTATGACACAGCAGGCCGGTGCCTAGCTGGACACGACGACGACGCTTATGATTTCGGGACTGCGGCTGCCACGATGGGCGGGTGGCTGAACGGTTCGCGGACTTAGTGATGATTTGATGTGATTTCCATGTTACGATACCTCTGGTCAGAAAAGTTTCGGGATTTGGCAAGGGATGCAGGGATCTTGCCCTTTCTTTCGTGCGTTAGGTAGGCAATGAAATGATGTCTACCCGACTACCGACGGTGCAACACTGCCTAGAACTACTATCCATGTCTTTCCACCGTGCTGCCTTATATCCAGCCGTCGGCCAACGTCGTGCTCGCACATATCACTGGAACTAGCAGAAGCACTTGAGGCCTCGATGAGATCCCGTGTGACGCACCTCTGCTTACGGGGGCGCTTGGATAGAGTTGCAACCCCCCCCCCCCCCCCCCAGAATCGAAGGGTGTCGCCAAGGCATCTTGAACATGCATGTCCAGGGTCTCCTCCTTGACTAAAGTAGCGCTGGAGACCCCTATGATTGGGCGCACGGGGGCGTCATTCTTCCCTCTGATGCTCCCTAATGACCCGACTTGTTTGTCATCTGGTGTCGATCTCGCAAAGGTGCAGCCCCAATCCTGACCGTCTCAATGCTCTTTTTCCAGCCCCTTCTTTCTCATGCACCTCGCAAGACCTCGTTAGGTCTGTGGTCATACAATTTTAACAGGCCTTTGCCGTAACGGAAAAGACACGTGCCTCATCAGACGGGACTTGATGCGATCACGGCCTCTCTTTGCCGCCGTTTGCAGACTCCGCCCCTTCTTGATAATACCTACGTCGACATTCATCCCATCCCATCCCTTGCGTCGGCTTACCTAACCGGACGGCAGAACGGACAGCCTTGATTCCACATCAGCCACAAGACTGGGCAACTATTATCTCAGCCGGCTTCCGACGACGTGCGATCAACTTCGTCTCTTTTCCATTTCAATCTCATGGGCAGCTTGATGCTCTACAGCTGAACCTTACTTCAATGCCATAACCTTCTTTGAGTCCCTTTCGGCTTTTCCTTCATCGCGGTTGCGCCGGCGCGACTGTTGCTTATCAGCATGCATGTCATCTCATGGCTGGCCGGACTCGGCCGCACCGAGTCGGTGGACGACTATGCTGGAGTCCTGGTTTCTTTAGAAGATGCCCATCTTCACAGCCACTCGGCAAGGGTTGGACGGGTTGAGTTTGAAGCGCAGGACGACAACCCAGAGGATGATGATGATGATGATGATGATGATGATGATGATGACGAGGTGGATTCGGCAAAGGACGACCAGGGAGAGGGCATGTTGCTCATGAATGCTGCCGAGTACACCATCGAGGGGCTGAGGGCGGAGATGAGGCAGGGCAAGAGGGGGAAATGGACAGACTACGAGAGTGAGTGGCTACCCTTACGGATGAAGCCTGCGAGGCTCATGCAAGTGAACTGCGACTAAGCCGGCAACAGTCAAATCGAAGCTCATCAACAAGGCGATCCAAGACATTGGCATGGGCCGGTACAACTGGCAGCTCTTTATACTGTGTGGCTTCGGCTGGTTTGCTGACAAGTAAGGAAGAAGCCCGTCTCCTCACTTCTTCGTGATACAATGATTGACTAACATGGCCTACAGTCTATGGTTACAGGTGCGCCGGATAACTCCAGTTGTTGACGAATCTCTTGCAGCACGCTAACAAGCAGTATAGGGCGTCTCGCTGACCTTGCCATCCTTATCAGCCGAGTTTGACATACCGGAAAAGACTGTGAGGTATACAACAAGCTCCTGCTTTATCGGCCTCTCCCTGGGTAGTTTTCTCTGGGGTATTGGATCCGACCTCGTCGGCCGCCGGATTGCATTCAACATGACGCTCTTCATCACGAGCATCTTTGGCATTCTGGCTGCGTACGGCCAAAGCTGGGGGGCCGTATGCTTCCTCTACGGCGCATTTGGCTTCGGCGTTGGAGGAAATCTGCCAGTCGACGGCGCCTTGTTCCTCGAGTTTCTGCCGGATGCCTCCAGCTCGCTGCTGACGCTCCTGTCCGTGTGGTGGCCCATCGGACAGCTGGTGTCTTCGCTTGTCGCCTGGTTCTTCATCGCCCAGTGGCCCGTCGACATTGGCTGGCGATACTTTATCTTGACCATTGGCATCATCACATTTGCCATGTTCTGCATCCGCTTCTTCCTCTTCCGCATGTTCGAGTCGCCCAAGTTCCTCCTTAATCAAGGCCGCCAGCATGAGGCGGTTGCTGTCGTTCACGGTATCGCCTCTCGAAACGGCGCCAAGACGTGGCTCACTTCGGAGATTCTCGATCTGGTTGCGGCAGAGGATCCAGAGCAGTCCAGTCGTGTTGCTCGTCGGTATTCCGTGTCTTCGGCACCGCGGTCCAACATCTTCAAGGAGAAGCTCAGAGCCCTCTCGGCCGACCGACTGCGGCCGCTATTCCAGACCAAGACCCTGGCTGTCGCAACCTCTCTGGTGTGGTTCTGCTGGGCAACGATAGGAATGGGATATCCGCTCTTCAACGCCTTCCTACCCCAATACCTTTCTCATCACGACTCGGATTCGGGCAGCGAGGCACTACAGTCCGAAACCTCGAAAATATCCGGCGTCACTTACCGCAACTATGCCATCACCTCCATCATGGGCGTCCCCGGCAGTCTCCTAGCCGCGTACCTCGTCGACCACCCATCTCCCTTCCTCGGTCGTCGCGGAACGCTGGCCAGCTCCACGCTCGTCTCGGCAATATTCCTCTTCATCTTCGCAGCGTACGGCACCACGCCCACCGCCCAGCTCATCTTCTCCTGCATCGAAGCGTTTGCCCAGAACATCATGTACGGCGTCTTGTATGCTTTCACGCCGGAAATCTTCCCTGCCCCCGTTAGAGGCGCGGGCACAGGTGTGGCGAGTTTCCTCAACCGACTGACGGGCTTGATGGCGCCAATTCTGGCGGCGAATATCCCTGGCGACGGCTCGACCACGCCGATATACATGTCTGCCATCTTGATCTTGGCCGCGTTTGTGGCCATGTGTCTCATTCCAATCGAGACTCGGGGTGCACAGCGGTTATAGGCATTCTTTTGTACTTTCTTCAAGATAAATTGGACGTCACTGGATACACCAGTACGGGGAACTTGCATAGTACGTATTTTCCGTTTATATACGGGTACCTAGTAGCCCCCTTTGAATAGTAGATGTTGGGCATTGGATGTGGACTCAAGTTCGATAATCAGATAGAGTCAGCCACCAGGCACGGTCTGTTTAACAGCATTTCAGAACAAATTTCACATTCAAGTTATGCTAGGCATGCAAACCATCTATCGCCATCTCTATCGTCGCTGTCTATCTATTGCCCTTGGCGCCAGCAGGAACATCAACACGCCGCTTTCTCAGCGAAGTGCCCAGGGCATCACGCACCATGGGATCCGCGCGAATCGTGTTCTGGATCAACCACTCTCTCATCTTCCCCTGCAAATTAGCCGTAGCCTCTGCATCTCCCTTGAACGGCGCCATCTCCATGTCCATCAGGCGAGTCGAGTCGGCGTCGAACTGGCCGGTGATGGCCTCGAGGCGGTTCAGGCCCTGGAGAAGCAGCTCGTTGTCGTCATCAGCAGACCGTCTCGAGGGCGACGCATCCATCTTCAACAGCGGACCAATCTGCGACAAGGCAATGTATATAGTAATCGTGAGTTTCCGCGCAAGCGAAATGAGCTGAAACGGCAGATACGGCGGGTGAGAAGCCGTGGCAGCAAAGAGAAAGTTGAGCCCGTCCAACAAGGCCGGGAACCTCGGGCGCGTGACGGCCTGGATCTCAAACACGCAGAGGCTCAGCAGGATCAGCCAGCGGTAGAACTTGCCAAAGTCCATGTACCCCAGCAGGCCGAGGACGTAGATGGAGCCGGCGGCGACGGCGTAGTGCGGCAGGATGCCCGAGAAGACGCCGCGGGCGACGTAGTCCCTGACGGTGACGCACTTTTGCCAGGCGACCGTCTCGGGCCCGAGGCGCTCGTAGGCGAAGCGCTTGGCGGCGTCCTGCAGCGTGTCGCTGGCGGCCTTGAGGTGGATGAAGTAGGCGGCCGAGTCGGCGGCGGCGTCGGCGCCCGTCTTGTCCGGGTGGTGCAGCGCGGCCAGGCGGCGGAAGCGGGACTTGATGTCGCGGTCCGAGGCGGAAAAGGGCACGCCCAGGTCCGTGTAGAAGGAGCCCTGGCGGCGGAGGTCGTAGTCGGCCTCGTAGATTGTGTAGGCGAGGTAGAGCGCTATGACGAGGATGTGGATGTTGCGGCGGTGGTGGTTGAAGCGCGGGCTGCCGGGCTGCGGGCGGGGATCGCCGGCGCGGATGGTGAGGCCATAGTAGATGGTCTGGATCCAGGAGGTTGCAATCTGTAGGGGCGTTGAAGAGCTGAGGTTAGTTGACGGGACTTGGGTCTCGTGGGCTTTGTTGGAGTCGTAGATATGAAGGAGATGGTAGCTGTGCTTTTGTACACAAAGGGGGGGGGGATGCTCACGTTGGGTAGGAAGGACCACCCTATGATGGAGAGAAATTGCGACATGGTATGGCCTGAAGCATCGTGCTCTTGTAATGCTGTGGTGAAGTGAAGGTTGGCAACAATTTGTTTGGTGTTGAGGACAAGCTGGCCGGCGGTTCTTATCGATAAAGAGAGTCTGATGTAATCGTGGCAGGGGTCGCACGAGCCTCGGCTGCTTCTATTCTTGGAAACACAAAGCGAATGCTTCCTATACACAAACTTACGAGATGAAGTTTGCCTGCATGGTGTCGAGATTATGTGAGGCTTTCGAGTTGAGATTTCTATATCTGAGTTTATGCCATAGAGCAACATGCACGTGAGAAGTTTGACGCATACCTTCGCTGAACAATATCATGCTGCACAACATGGCTCTTGAGCCCACTTACAAGCCGCCACTACCCAAACAAAGTAAACATCATGGAAGTCAATGGACAGCCATACTACCTTACCATAGTAGCTAATGTGTTGGGGTAACTCTATTGATCAATATGCATATTATAGCTACTGAGTTGCACTTGAGATATGGCCGTGAGTCACTTCGCTCGCTGGTGAAGACAAAGTCTGGCTGATCCATCATCGAGAACAAGGACCAGGTACGCAAATTTGCATGTGGTGTGATGCCCAGTAAATGCCTGGATATTACTTTTCTTACTGCAAAATGACTGCTCCGAGCCTTGTGAGCAGAAACATTCGCGAGGAAACCAAGCTTATGTACAGTATTTCCATGTAAAGACATGTTTGTACCGTGAATGCAGGCTGTGAACAAGACTCCAGTACTGGACCAAAATGATAGAGTGCATCACACATAGTACGTGCCATCAAGAGAGGCAGCACATGTAAGCTCTCAAAAGATGTCGGTCTGGGCACCAGCCGTGAAGCCCATATGAGAGGTGTAAGTGGGCACCTGCTGACCAGCCTTTCACTAGACATTGTTCCCCTCCGTCCGAAAAGCAGCAATCATATGTTTGGGGCCCCTGGCATTGCGCCCTGGGACGAGAGACGGAGTCTTGGGCTGCTGGCCGCCGTTGGGTTCATGATCTTGCTCTTGTAAGGGGCTATGTACATGTTCTGCTGGCCGTAACCGTGGCACCGGACTTCGCGAAACGGTACGCTTCGGAGCATATTACAAGACCATAGAAGGGCTTGCTTCACTTCTTCACGAAAAGAACAGTAATTGACAAACTTTGTCAATGCAGAAGCGGAAGTTCTGGATTGTTTCTCGACGTCCATTTCGGTATATCACTCATAAGCTCAACGGGCAAATACGAGGCTTTTCACACGACCACTTTCTGCTCTCACTACCTAAGGGTAGCTGATCAGTTGACAATCATTCATTCGACTTCCCTTCTCCGTGTCACTTTTCTCTTCCGTGTCAAGAATTGGGAATAATGGCCCAGCTCTCGCGTTTAGTTAATCTCTCAGAAGACCAGATCTCAACCTTGTCCTTGGTAATTTGGTGCTCGGCAGAGCCCAGCCAAGCTTTGTTTTAGCTCTTCCATCTCATAGCATCTGAAACGTGAAAGCAGATATTGCAGTATCCTCTACCACTGACTTCTGGCGGATCTTGACTGGAACTGCCTAATTGCGGCCATATGTCAGTTTAGCCCCCTACTTGAGAGCCGTGTTCTCTTCTCCCCTTTATCAGGTTCTTCTAATCTATATTCAACAAGGAGGTGAGACCCAGACGATCCTTTATGTCTAACTAGGAAATCTACTATTGCCAAAAAGAGCCGGCGCTAGGGTTACTATCACAAAGGATCTGTAGTTATGGACGTGATGCTGAGGAGTTGTAGGAGCCTGGTTTTGGTCCTTGAGGGCTAGAATTGCGTTTGCAGATACTCTCGACATCCGCAGGTATATAGTCGAGATTCGATCTACATTGCTTTGCAAAGAGCTACTGCACATCTATATGTATAGAGACTCAAAATCCCCGTGTCTCATGCTGATATCAAACTTTCAACTGAAGACATGGGCAATCTATCTGCACTGTTCAGGCCAACTATACATACGGATAATGCTACGTCGTGTCAGTAAAGTTGTACTAAATCAACATTCTGTCTATGGGGCAAGCGATTGACTTCGAGACTGTTCAAGATCGCTATCAAAGCCGCCTCTTCTCGAAGCGGCATCTGACAAGGTCTCTTTCTTCTCCGTATTTTACATATAATGATATATGAAATATTTGGGATTAAAATTCTATTATATCTTGTACGATACGCAAAGTCAAAGGTCTAAAGAAATTCGTGTGTAAAAGGTAAATGCGTCCATCATAACTTGAACTGACAAGCTGGGTACCAGGGTGCTTTATCCTGAAAAGTCAAAAGTACAAATACATGAGGCTATGGCAAAAGACCAACCATGAGCCCGACCATTCTAGTGCATTATGCTATGAAGATAAAGGTTTTTGCGCCAACAAGGCCAGCGTAGTGTAGTGGTACGATCCTCCATTCTTCACAGCATCGAGTGCCCCAGCCAGCACGTTATCGGCCTCCTCACGAGGGGGCAAGAACGGAAGACCAGCCCTGTAGGCAGCATTCAAAAGCCCAATGTGGAGCATGAGGAATGAATTTGTGACAATGGGGACACAAGATTGTGAAAAGGGTCTCATCGTGAACTGGACCACCTCGAGACCGGCGTTGTTTGTATGGGTGGGTAGATTCTCGAGCCACCTAGACATTCTCGGTTGAGTGATGTGTACTGAATATCCAAGCCAAAGTGACAACTTACGAGTGATTAATGTTAAATGCTTTGTGAATTCGGGAAAAGTACGAGTACAGGGCCTCGACCTCTACGCCTTTCATGACCATGTGGTGCGGACTGGGATCGCAGTCCTCCCACTGCAGGTAGCCGCCAGGTTCTTTTTCACAGCACATTAAAATATGCTGGCAGAAGGCTTCAAGTTACCACAACAGAATGGAAGAAGAATGTACATACTCAGCAACTGGGTGGCATGCCTAATCAAGGCAGATGGATCTCCTCCCTGAACGACGGCGCACCAGAGCCGCATGTGCACAACATCGTATTTGCCACGGTGCTTCTCAGGTACTTCAGCGAAAGCATCCATGACGCTCAGACTCATGTTGGTAGGGAGGCTGGACTGGTTGGGGAACTGTTCGTCTGAGATGTCGAAGCCGTCCAGTTGAACGGTTGAGGGAACCTGGGAGGCTACATCGAGCAGCCAGATACTGTCACATTAACCTAGTCAGAAGAATAGAAGATACGCCCTATATGGACAGCCAAACTAACCCAGTTCCTGTGCCCATCTCTGCAATCTTAGTGTTTGGACTGATAGGGATTCGGGGATCGATGGTGTAGCCATTCTGTAGCCGAAACAAGAAGTGTTGACCGTCGAGTCTAGCGACATGTTAGTCAACCGTCGTTTACATGCGAGTCTCTTTCATCACTAAGGAAAGTAGTGAAAGGAATGTATTTTACCTCACACTCTCAACGAAATTCCTACCGAGAATATAGTTCTCGCCATGGCCGATGCTACCCATGATGTCGGTGGTCTTTCCCTAGAAGTCAAGCTGTAGATGGCGAAAGGAGTAATACACAGATGATATCACAGCAAAAGCTATAGCAAGTTCAAGTCTATGATTTCTTATTGCCCCAGAGTTTGAGGGAGTAGCCGCTCATATAAACGCATCGTCGCCCGTCCTTGTTCGGAGACTAGTGAGAGAAGCAACGCATGGGCCAGGCTTTGGACCGCATCTGATCCAGATTGGTGGTCATCCCGGAGCCTGGAAAGCGGATAGCTAGGCCTACAAGACGATAGACTGAGAAGCCCAGGATATGCAAGGGACGGACGATGGCAAATGCTGAATGGCTAAGGGAAGAATAGCCGCCGAGGGAGTGCTCCACCGTCAGCTTGACACGGCACGATTTGTGACGATGGCGATGGCGATGGCCGCCTCATATGTTTCATAATCTCATCGGGACATCACTGTCTGAGGCATTCATGTCAAAAACAAGATCTGCTGAGAGCCAATTTGCAGGGTCAAGATCGAGACAGTCTTGGTAACCGGAACACTGGGGGGACTGACTACATGCGGCACATGGGTTTGTAGGTACGAGTATCTAATGAATTGCATATGACGCATTGAGTTATTGTCAGTATGACAAGGGAGAAAGACGAGGTAGTATGTACTTCTATCAGAGTCAGTTGAGAATGCCTGTGAAATTTCCTCGACGGGTCATCAAGCTGAGCTGATGCTTCATCGTCCTTTTCTTTTTGACCATGATTGGAGAAGTTGTGTCATAAGTGAGGCGATATGCTGGCAACATAGTGAGGAAAATCTGTAATACGCTCTATCGCTCACGCGGACAGGCCAGTGGCAGCCATCGCAGTAGCTGGCCCGCGTCGCAGGGGCTTTGCTCATTGCTCGGCGTCTTCAGCGAAGCGCCTTGTTGGACCGTAATCAGGCCAAGTGCTATATATAGGTAAGATGTTGTTGCTTATTCATTCAGGCTCTTTGTAAGACTTAGAAAGGACGTTGTCTGAATGGGATATGGGTCAGTTACATGTACTCAAGACGATACCGGCAACGTATATAGCTTCCAGCAAAGGATATATGAAGGCACCTCGGACGTGTCCGAGACAACGCTCATCGTGTGTTGTGATGATGACAGAGCAAGAAGGAATATGGGTGGTAAGGCTCAGAAGAGAGAAAATGTTACACCGATAGAGATATCCTTCGTTCGTGACGGCAGCATTAATTCGGCCAAAGAGCCCGAATCAAGACAAAATGATTCCTATGCAATTCCATGATTTGTTTAGGTCTTACTTAGAGGTGAAAATGGAAGCAATACAATGTTAGACTATATGAAAGAAGTTTATAACTGGACATACAGACGACTCTATATAAGAAGCAACACTCTCAATCCCCTCTCCACCCCGAGATTGAAGTACCATTTGCAGGTATCTTCTCGATATTGCAGACATCTACTGCACCAAAATCACACCTTGACGTGAATGTAGTTGAAGCTGCTCTTGGCCACCGTGCGGGTGCCGTAGCCCTCAGGATGAGCCCAGTTATACTCCTCAATCGTAACCTTGTCCCCATCAACCTTGGACACCCAGGCAACATGTCCCGCCCTGCCGGCGTTGGACTGAGCAATACAGCCGGGCACGGGCTTGTTGTTGACCACGACGCCCGTCCGGCGCGCGGCCTCGTCCCAGGTGTTTGCGTTGCCCCAGTTGGTGCCCTTGTACTGGTTGGTGAACTTGATGCCGAGGCGCTCGTTGATGCGCCAGGCGACGAAGCTGGTGCACTGGCACTTGAAGTACGCCCACTTGTCGGCCGGCCCGCACTGGTTCTTGTACGGGTAGTCGTTGGTCATGGGCCCGGGGATCTTGGAGCCGCCGCCGCCGCTCGGGGGCTTGGGGCCCGCGTCGCACTTCTTGGTCACGTAGCTGCTGGAGCCCGTCTTGACGTAGTAGTCGGCGACGTAGCAGCCGTCCGAGGTCTTGTCCCAGATGGAGTTGCCGTTGACGCTGGTGCCGGAGGTCTGGCAGGTCACCGAGACGTCTTGGCTCTTCTTGTACGTCTTTTTGATGGCGAAGCTGGTACCGGGGCCGGAGCGGCAGTTGACGGTGTCGCCGGTGATGGGGTAGGCGTTGACGGAGAGGGAGGCCACGGCCAAGGCGATGATGGCGGTGAACTTCATGTTGATGAGGTTGGAGATTGGTGGATTAGATAGGACGAGATGGCTGTTGTAGCTGCTGCAAGGTGCTTCGAAGACTAGATGGTTGTCGAAGGTGATGAGTCGATGTGGGGGAGGACATGAAAGTCTTTTATAACTCTTCTTCGGCTTGGGAGCTCTCCCTCCATCTCTCGACGCCTACGGTGCCTAATCTGAGGAAGCTGTGCGAGAGTCAGGGAGACTTGAGATTTCTCTCTCAGGTTCTATTTCCGGACATGTAAGTGCTAGACTGAGCTGACGACCACAGAGTTCTAATCCCTCTTGACGCGAACAAGTTCTACAGAACTGAGCTGCCAAGTGGGATTGGGGTGATCTCTGCGGCTGAAGACCATCTCCATCGACGGATCCTACAATCCTAGATCTCATACATGCTAATTTCCCAGAGAGGAAATCTTCAAGGCACGATCATATTCAGCTATCCATAACGAGTCAAGTTCAGCATCGACAGCGTTCTAACAATAGTAGCAGATGGATCTCCAGACGGCTCAACCTGCGGGTTCCTGGCGCACGAACCGGCGCAAATTGTCGGGCGAATGACAGTCGCTGATGAATAAACGAATTCCGGATCTGGCAACCCTCGCGTTCATTTGTTTGTGTCGTCTATGCTGTGGCTCGTAGGGCTGCTTTCTGGGGGGAGAGGATGCACGGATGGCTTGTCGTGTAAGACGGGGGAATGCAAAGGCCGTCTTATTGACGAGATGGCTTCCATGCTTATAATTAGCATGGGTTATGTGACACTAAGGCGAAGCAATATGAGCCGATAATTCTCATGCTGTATAGCTGTTCTTCAATTCTTCATTTGCTGATTGTTTGATACATCTACGAGTTGATATGGCAAGCTTGGTCTAACCAATCTTCCTACACAGAATCGTGCCCACATCAGCAATCAAATCCAGCCATCTATCCTGATCATACCTCTCCTTCTCCTCCACCTTCTTGCCAAACACCTCCCACACCTCAATAAACTTGTGGTTACTCTCCTCCGTCGTGCCAATGTCCTTGAGCGCCTTCATCATGTGCTCGTGCTTCTTCAGCAGCTGGAAGTCTCGCCTCGCCTTCTGCTTCTCCTGATCCGTCGCCAGATACAAGCGTACCTGCACGCAATACAGCACCAGGGCAGCAAGGCCCGCGGCCAGAGCCGTCGCCACCGAAGAGCCAGTGACTTCTCGCGACGACGTGTCGGTGCCGGATCGGGGCCCGTCCATCTCGACTTTGGTGCCGGGGAAGATGAAGTTGATGTTACCGAGGTTGCCCACCCAGGAATCTGCCGCGCCTGAAGCCGTCGCCGCGCCAATGGTGAATATCTTGGTCGTTGCCTTGGAGGGATACGTTAGGTTCTGCTTGGCGCCCTTGTCGCTGGCCGAGCAGAACATGAGGATGTCGGCGTTGGCAGCTTCGACAATGGCCGCGTCGAGGAAGCGCCTCTCTTCTTCGTCTTCGGGAGGGTCGATGGTCCAGGACATGGAAATGATGTGCACCTTTTTTCTCACCGCTGCTCTGATAGCCTGGATGATGGTCAGATCTTACACAGGATTTTGTTAAGGGGGGGGGGGGGAATGTGCTCTCAAGCTGGACATACCAGAGCCGCACTCTTGGCCGTAATCTGCCTGCTTCCCTCCTCCGAAGCATGATCCTCCAACCGCAAGATGTAAAACTGCGCCCGAGGGCACATGGATTGAATCTGCCTGGCCATGATCGTTCCATGTCCCGTGCTGGACACATAGTAAGGATCATTGAGATTATGCTCCTCGTCTCGCGTGCAAAACGTCCGGCCTCCAATGAAGTTGAACTCCAGATCCTTGACATCCACGCCGTCGTCAATGAGGGCGACTTTGATGGGCTCCTCAATGCTTTCGTCAACCTTGATGTTCCCATGATCGTAATAACTACGCTCTGCGTCAAAGAGCAGCCTCTTGAACTCCTTCATACACTGGAGCCACTCGTGTTTGGTTGAGTGCTCGCCTTGGTCGCCGGCCGCGAGAGCGTTGGCGTCCATGGCATCTTTTTGGACAATCGGCCACTCCTTGTGAACGGTGACGTCGGGGCAGAGCTTCTTCATGCGCTCGCAAAAGTCCTCGACATTCTGCTTTGTGCGGCTGTGCGATTCAAGGCCCTTGGGAATGCAAAGTCAGTTGGGACAGCACCATGGATGCTAGATGAGGAGCGATGCCATCATACCTGCTGTATATGAAGATAGACCGTTTTGAGTTCCCCGAGCTTCTTCAAGCCTCCCTCTTCGCTCCACCCCCTGAGCACTGCATTGTTGCCGCTCCAGTAGAGGTTGACTTCGCGAGCTTTTGCTGCCACTCTGCAGATGACCTCGGAGCACAAATCTGTCCGTTTCCAATCCCAAATCTCAACGTCCATGAACTTCAAGGCGTCCTCGATGGCCTCATCACTGTGTGCCGGCGTCATCGAGTCATCAATGATGACCTTGAGAATGGTCTTGACACCTTTCTTCCTCAGGCGATCGAAGATGTAGCATAGATCCCGTCGACCTTCGCCGTCTTGTTTGTGTGAACGGCCTGACGCTCGGGATCGTTTGCTGTTTGCAGTGTTCATGTTCACCTCTACGTTGAGCCTCGGTATGGCTACGTACTGGAGAATGTCTTCAAACCGAAGTTTGGACAGGAGATTCTCTAGACCGGTCTGAGTGATGTTGCCGTGCCCTGATAAGTCAAAGTATAACTCATAGTCTTTCAGAAGAAGTAGGTCAGTATAAGGTTCCCGTCCATGATTCTCCTTTCATGCCATATAACTCCGCTGAAAGGGGTTTTTCTCTTACTCACCTGAAGTAGTATTGCGTCCATACAAAATTTCCATGGCAGCATTGTAACTGCGCGAACGGAGGTAGTGTAGCTTGAGAAGGCGCTCTACGCCCTTGAGCGTGGCTTCGTCAATCCTGGACTTGTGACCACCGTCCGTAATTGATCTCGTGTCTGCCGTTGGCTTCACTGCGAGTGTATCAGCTGCTCGTGACGCTGGCGTCTTGTCGTCCCTGTTGACAAGCTGAGGTGCTGTGGCCACTGCCGGCGAGTTGACATTGACTATGGGCTGTGTTTTCCCCCCGTATTTCGTACGAGACGAGTCAATCTGAATGTTGGGTCTCTTATCCGGGCGACTGCTGGGGTCCGGACCCTGCTCTCCAGGAGCTGCAGGTCCTGCAGGTCCCTGCGGCTTTGGGATCGCCTCTTTGTTCGGCCTCGAGGCATCGGCATCGCCGCCGTCCGGACGAGCACGAGCACTCTTTTCACGTGCTTTCTCATCTTTGGCAAGTTTTCTCTCCTTCTCCTTTGCTCTGGCTAGTGCTTTGCGGCAGCTCTCCTTGTGATGAAGGTACGGTGACAGTCCGTCGTTGTTGAAGTCGCCGTTTGGAGTGCGCTGTACGGCGACGTCGCTCTTGGCAATGATCTTTTGAATAATGTCCAGTTGTTCTTTTTTACACTTCTTGTACTCGACGGCAAGGTGAAGCGGCGTGTTGCCGTCTCCGTCTTTGGCTGCCAGAGTCGTGGGCTCGGCTTTGTCAATGAGGAGATCCAGGAACTTGACTCTTTTGTCGACGCCGATATGAAGACAGTTCATCTTGTCCTTGTCGTTGCTGGAGATGTCCAGGATGTCACTGATTCTGGGGTGGGAGTCGCACATCCACTGTACCATCTTCTCCTTCTTGGATTCAATAGCCAGGAATAGCGGCGTATGGCCGGATCGGTCTTGTATCCTGAGAAGATCGTTCTCGTGTTCTACCAGGAACCTGATGAGCGGTTCCATCCTGCCATCCAGCTTGGGCAACTCTTTCTTATCCATGGCCGCCATGATGTGCAGAGCCGTCGGCTGGCGAGCGTCTGCCGTGTTGGACGCCAAGTAATGGCCATCGCCGCCACTGGCTTTAAAAGCCTTCAACTGGCTCTCGTTTGTGAGGTCTCTGGTTCCATCCTGGATGCCTTTCAGAACCTCTTCGAGAAGCTCCTTGACAGGCTTGCCACCTCGATTGGTAACTTCTCCCTCCTCCTCGTCGCTGTCGGACTCTTCCTCACTCGAGTCATCGCCAGCTTTGGAGTCTGCTTTTTCAACTTCCTCTTCTGGTGCCAGAGGCCCAGCATCCCTCTCTTCGTCGTCAATTAGGGGACTCATGGCTCAAAGTTGCCGCATACACGTCGTACAAAGAAAAGAACAAATAATAGCGAGTGAGACTTCTTGCAAAGAGGGCTCTCGTTCACGGTGCAAGTTCGCTCTCAACACCACACCAGGCAATGCAGTTTTGAGCCGCGATTACCAACTTCCGCCCCCAACCACGGCCCCTCTTTCTTGGTGCCTCGCATCAACTGGGTTCTCTCACGGTAGCATTGCCTAGGCGAGACTTGGGTTACGACGCTGGTTGCTCCACCTGATCCTTCGACAGGGTTGGTAAGTAGAGTCGATGTACACGCCATTTGTGCTTCAATCTATCGCTCCTAAAGATAGGTACAGAGAGAGTCTACCTAGGTACGTGTTACCCATGACAAAAACTACAAGTATATAATTGGTAACTCCGCTCTTGATAGTTATGCAGGTAGCCAAATGGGTCATAAACAAGCCCTGAGAAGATGCGAGCGAAGTTGTGCGTGAATTTCCTCTAGTTGTCATCCTTCTGGCTTGTTGAAACCCAGGCTAGAGACAGTTAACAGGGGGATATTCAGTCAGACGGTTCTACAGTCTGCTATGGCAAGGATTTACACGGACCTGATGAACTAAAGCTCCCCCCTGTTCACTTGGCCGGGTCTGTTTCTCGGGTGATTGGACAACAGCAGTCGGGTGAGGCGTTTCCGTGCTACTAGCATTTGCGCACTGAAAGAGAGGCATCATCAGTCCACAAAGCAATGGTTCCAAGGTGGGAAATTCCGGCCGAGATAGGGAGGAGATGACACTAGTTGTAAGGCTTCGGTGCAACACGATACAAATCGTTGATTTGCTGATTACAGCGGGTTGAACTCAACTGTCTGTCTGTCTGTCTGTGGTGATTTGGCTGTATGTACGACGACCTTCAATACTGACATGGCGTGTATAATGGTTCCATGGCTCTTGGCCAACACCACTCACTTGATGCAATATGGAATCAGTAACTGTCTACTCTCCATTGCCTCGTGATGTTGCTAATCACTCCACTTATGACTCTTCCTTCTTCTTCAACTTCTTGTCAAAGACAATGTCCACAAACTCGTCCAGATCAATAGACCCCAGGTTCTCCGTGTCATATTTGCGCAGCTTGTTGGTCGGAGGCATATCAGGATCAAACAAGATGGGATCGTCCGCCGGCGTCGAGCCAAACAACCGGCCCATTTCCGACTTCCAGTCCGCCTCGACCTTGATCCTCACCTTGCACTGAAACTGGTTGTCGTCAAACCCGCGATTGAGCAGGATCGCACACCGCAGGAAGCTCGGCGTCCCGGACTTGATCGTAGTGTTCTCGTGGATGGTCCAGCTGGCGCCCACGCCCTTGCCATAGTCGTCGCTGAAGATGTGTCCCGTCACGCGGGCATCGTCGCTCGTGGTGCGGCTCACGGTCTTCTCCCAACTGACTTTGCCGCCGGCAGTGGCGCCGAACTCGCCCGCGCCTGCGTTCAGCTCGGCGCCCTGAGTGACGGACTCCTCCTGGGTCGAGTGCAGCAGAGTGATTCGTCCTGCGGGTGCAATGGCTTGGACTTGGGGCGCTGGGACTCCGGAGACGGAGCTTCCAAACTCGAACTCGAGCGAGGCGGACACGATTCGCCGTGATCTTCGGGTCGTGTCGAGGTAAAAGTCGTACACAAGAAGTGTTGCGTTCTCTCCAGTCTCTTTGGACAGAACACCGTGGATGACGTCTCGAGACTTGCAGCGGACCTCAATGATGCCTCGGCGTTCTGTCACGGTTTGGCGCTGGTATTTGTTGGACGGGTCATTGCGCGTATGGTAGCCGCTGCCACGCTCGCCCGTCTTGTTCAGGCCAATGCTAATAGATGTCTCCTCGAGATCCTCGTCCAAGTCTGAGTCGACGAGCTCGCCATCGTCTATTTCATCGTCTGAGATTTGGTCGTTGTCGATGTCGCGATCCATGATTGCTCTAGATATTTCTCTTTGTAGTGTTTTGCGTCAGTATTGAGCTGAACTTTGGTAAATGAAGAGATCAGTCGGTCAGTAGTATCGTTATACAACTAAAATAGACTGGGGGACGATCGAGATATGGTGTTTATGTGAAGGTCGCAGGGAAGAGAGACAGCACATTATCCACCCCAAATCCTAGTTAATTACTACAGTTACATAGGCTTCATACAAGGCACAATCGCACCTCACCTACTTCGTGCGCACACGCAGGTTGCATCACGAGGCTGTGGGTGAGATGATAGTGTCCTGAATAGCGTCGGTTGGACCGCTTGTAGGACGCCAAGATGATCCCACCATCATCACTGCATCCTCTCTCCGGCATTGTGAAAATGACTCAGAGAGTTCCGTTTCTCCAGACTCTGACTGTTTCATATGAGGGGCTTTTGTCTGCTGACGTGCTGGTTGTTCTGGGTTTAAGCGGCAAGGCGACCGCAGCAACTCTTCTTCGTACAGTTGCGGCTCAAGATAGTACCGATCACCGACTCTGCTCGGACAGTTGTCGCCGTCTAGTTTCACTCAATTGGTCGATATGGCTTCAACCGCGGTGTGTCGAGCAACTACTACTACTAGTTCTACAATACTAGTATGCAGCATGGTCAACAGGGGTCAGGGGTTGTTTATCCCGCCTCTTTATTAGCGCTCTCCTCTTCCTTCGTTCAACATGGAACGGCCCGGAGAAAGGCACAGTGCGTCGAGACGGTGAGGCTCTGTCCTGCAGAAGACATGCACAGCCCCTCTGTGAAACGCAGTGAACGTAGAGGCGGGCCAATGTCCGTCGATATGGGCTCAGCTGATGGATCGTCAGCTCCTTTGCAGCATGCGCGAGCGAGCCTGCAACAACAATGCCATCAAAATGGAGTACTGTACTAGCAAGTATGCATGTCAGATCTTCGGGAGGAGTACTTCTGAGGTACTTGTAAACCACCCCGGCTTGAGTGCCTGCGTCGTCCTTCAGCCCTGCCTGGGTTTTGATCAAGCGAGCTCGAGTGGCCTCTGGAGGGGTTCGTCCTCGTCGTTGTGGGCAGGTCTGTGGTGAGGCTCTCCTGCTTGTCGCGTGTCTGGCAGAGTCAGGATTCTTTTGGCAGGCCCCAACTTGCTTCATACACTTTGGCTATTTGCTGCCAAAGACCATCATTCTCGGTGTGTCGCCTCATGGTGGATGCGGGATAGGGCTCTGGCTCACTCGATATTATCTCGCGCAATTTGTGAAGGGAATATTCCGCCCCATCTCCCTCACGTCGAACTTTGCCGCGATTGGGACTGAGAATCTCTGGAGCCAAACATACTTGCACGATAGAGTCTGAGCTACTCGCACTTGACAGGTTGCTTGTATACTTATCCCGCTCAAGATGTCTGATTCCGAGTCTTCATCGTCCTCCAGCGCTTCCGGCTCGTCAAGGGGCGGGTCACCAGAGCCAGGAGCTGCGCCAGAGACTGAGCAAGAAGAGCATACTACAGAACCTACTACCGCCGATGAGAGCCATGAAAAACCCGCAGGGGAAGATAGCCCATCTTCAAAGACGGAGGCCGATGAAGAAGAGGCTGGGACGAAGCCTCCTGAGAAGGAAATAGATCCAGATGCCGAACCCCTTCATGTCTATTGGGACATGAAGCCCGAGATTACCGAAGAATCCACCACGCCTATAGAGTAAGTGACCCTTGATCTACATATCTCCTGAATGTGCAACTTGGGTACTCAAGCATCGATTCCTCCTCTCAGCTTCGTGGTAGTCCATGGCGTCTATGGAGTCTGGCTAGACGAATACCGCGCAGGACCTGGTTCCGGCAGCAGTGAATGGGTCTCGGGTTATATAGACATACAGGATCCAACGAGGGATCTCCGCTTCAAGTATGATCCATTGCAGCTCTTTTGTGGTCGACGAAGCCGACAAGCCATCCGTAACTGCGCCCTCAAGTTGCTGCGGGCGCTGGTTGCTCGAAGACGGCATGAAAAAACAGTCTGTATATCTCCAAAAGAGGCCTCTCGTAAGCTCTTGCAGGTCCTTTGCTAACTAATGTTTGTAGAAACGGCTCATCGTCTTTGTTGCCCATGATATTGGGGGACTCATAGTCAAAGATGTGAGTCTAGTCTTGTTCGCATCAGTTGGCGTCGGTATTTACCAAGACTAACAATGCGATGACTACCAGGCTCTAGTCGCGGCAAATCTTGATGCAAAGACTTGGGCGGACATTGTAGAAATGAGCCGTATCATGGTGAGTCTTACTGCTTCTACTTGAACGAGAAGCACCGTCGTTCTGACCAAGAGAGTTTGCAGGTATTTCATGGCTCACCTCATCGAAGCGTTGACCACTTCGACATGGAAGACAGACTGTCCCGCTTTCTTTTCGCCGACTTTGAAGCAGGATTAGCAACAGTCCGTCCTCCAGCATCTGCCGTTGCGGGATTCGCAGCGGCTGCAATAGAGATCAATGGCCTTTTTGCCGAATCCAAGGTCCTTCTTCGCACTCGCGCAGTAAGCGTCCACTATCAAGATTTGGTTTGGGCGAAGATAAACAAGGTAAAGCATGACCCAAGGAGATCAAGGAGAGGCGATCTCTACGTTATCACAGGAAATTCGAATTGACATTTTTCAAGGCATTTGACTCTTACAATGCAACAATCGGAATACCCATGGAGAAGCGAATACCAGAGCCTAGTGACAAGTCCACGATGATAGACTGCGTCAAAGAGCTCGTTGAAAGTAATGCCCCTTTGAAGAGAACCCTTGAAAAGCAATAGTGATCATATAGCTGACGTGTGACATTGATAGCCGTGAGTGCTCCTGTAAGCCCAGAGCAACTTCGATGGGAGAGAGAGATACTGGCTCTCGCTTCCCCCGTCTTTCCGCTTCAGACCGCAAAGGACGACAATGCAACAATCAAGAATTCTCAGCATATCAAGGACTGGCTCCAGTATCGTGGACCGCAGATGCTCTACCTGCATGGCACGAAACGCGTCCGCGAAACAGCTGAGCAGCTCTTTTACTCGTTGGAAGAGCAAGCTTTGAAGATGAAGAACTGCGTGGTGCTCTACTTCTCCTTCGACAAGTACGACGTGAGGTGCGACTCTGTCAGAGACATGCTCGCCACTTTTCTGACGCAAATCTTGTGCTTTTATCCCTCCGTGGACGACCGTATCAAGACGACGTTTCTCCGCTTCCACGAAGAGCGTGGATGGACAGAAGACGACCTCCTTTACTGGTTTGAGCGCTTCAGGTTCACTGAGAAGGTAGACCACGTCATGTTCGTCATCAACCACTTCGACGAGTGTACCAAGGGCTCGCGGAAGCAGTTCCTCGACAACTTTGCCTATCTTGCGGAGGCAAGTGAGAACTCGTGGAAGGTTGTCGTCACAAGCCATAAGCCTGACGCCCTGTCAAAGGAGCTCGACGGGCCTTGGTGTGTCAACGTTAACCTTGATGCCGAATCAAGTGAAGAGGAGGGTTCAACGAACCTTGTCAATGACGATTCCAAAGATGACATGGCACGACTGCTCACAGCGCGGCCTGAACTTCACTTCGAACTTAGTCTTATTGAAGAGCAGCTAAAGTACCTTGAAAAATACGATCCTCTCGTCAAGCACGTCATCAGGGAACAAGCAGCCGCACGGCAAGACTGGCCCAGCAAAGTCTCCATCCAGGCCATGCTCCAGTCCTTGGCGCTCGACGCAGACGCAGCAGCCAATGACGACCGGAACCTGGAACGGCTGTTGGCTTGGGTTCTCAAGAATACCCCTGAGCCGGACACCCTGCGACAGCTACTGACGTGGATTCTCTATTCCGTACGGCCACTCACTGTCTGGGAACTCGCAACTGTCCTCTCACTGAGTTCAACTGACGAGGGCCATGTTGCGCCCGATGCAGAAGCCATAGACAGCCTCTTCTCTAAGATCAAACGATGGCTTGCCGGCATCGTCGTGGTACAGCACAACGAGGTCAAGATCTGGCATCCACGACTGAGAAACATTCTCATGGCCGTCGATAGCGAGAAGTCTACCGAATCTCGGTTTATTTGGGGCGACATTAAGGAAACTGCTCACTTCGACATTGCAAGCTTCTGCCTCCGATACCTTTCTCAACCATCCGTGCAAGAGTATATCGGCAATACCTTCAATGTCTCGGATTCGGAGGCCTTCGAGACGCCCACATTTGCAGATCGAAGGAACCTGTGTTCGTATGCTCTCCAGGCTTGGACACATCATTTTGTCGCCAGCAACCCCAAACCGGAGCTGTCAAAGATCCTCTCCCAGTCCGCATCTGCCGATTTGGCGAGCAACTGGGCAAGGGGCTACTGGGCACTCTCCAACCCTATCACGCGGAATCCTGTTTGTCTGGATACTCTGTTCCCTATCTTTGCCGGACTCGGCCTGGTTGGTGTCATTGAAGCGCGAGATGAAGCTGATACACGCCGGGGCGTGCTTGAGGCCGCCTCAAAGGGTCAATCTGAGGTCGTCCTAGCGCTCGCCAAGGGGCTTGACATGGACGAACCAGCTCTCATGGATGTCATTAAAGCCGCTGCAGCTTACGGTGATGAGGAGACGATGCTGAACATGCTTGACCGCATCGTCTCATTGAATCCAAAGCCTGATACTTCTACCTGGCCTCCCTTGCTGATCCACAGAGCAGCTTGGCTAGGCCTTGAACGCTTCGCCGATCGCATTCTCGATCTAGGATTCCCTACCGAGGTGGAAACTGCATGGACAGCCATTACCAAGGCAACGCCGCTCTCCCAAGCAGCTCGGAACAACCATGCCGGGGTAGTCCGCACTCTACTCAAGCACAATGCAAATGTGGAAACCCGCCATCGTTGGGACAGGACTGTTATCCACCATGTGGCCGGGCAAGGCCATGCGGAGATTGCCAAGATCTTGGTGGAAGAGGGCAAGATTGATATTGAGATCAAGGACGAGGATGGCTTCACGACGCTCTACTTTGGATGCATATGGGGACATCACGACGTCGTCAAGCTCTTGCTGGACATGGGGGCGGATCCTCACATGGGCATCAAGATGGACGACCCGCAAGAGAAGTGGTCGCCTCTCGTCGCGGCTATTGACGATGGCTACGAGAAATGCGTCAAGCTTCTTCTCGACAAGGGGGCCAACCCAAATCTTCCCGGCCCCTCCACGTACGGCACTGCTTTGCGATATGCGGCAGTAAAAGGCCATCTCAACATCTGCAAAATGCTCATTGAAAGCGGTGCAGATCCCAACAGTCCCTTGATTGAGCCTCCGATCCTGACTCAGGTCATGACGGACTTCGAAGTGACGGACGCCGAAGCACAAGAGAAGCAGATGGAGGTTTTCGACTTTCTGCTTGAGCACAATGCCGATGTGAACGCAAAGGACGCTACTGGAACGCCCGTATTGATCCATGCCTGCAACGGCAGCCGGAAGATGGACTTTGTCGAGCGACTCCTCGACCACGGTGCGGACGTCAACCTTCTGGATGCGCAGAACCAGTCAGCATTATACGCGGCAACACGTGATAGTGAAGCAGAACTGGCCAAGCTGTTAGTAGAGAAGGGCGCCAACGTCAACGAAGTGAGCACGGACAACTTGACGCCTCTGTATTACGCCGTCCCGGATCCCGAGACTGTCAAGATGCTGCTCGAAAAGGGGGCCGATCCGAACAGGAGCAATAAGGGGGGGTTCAGCTGCCTCATGTATGCTGCATGGTTCAACCACAGCGAAACTGCAGAGCTGCTCCTGGAGCATGGCGCTGAAATAGAGGAGACATACAATGAAGATGACGCCAGCGAAGGGCGGACATCTGTATACTTTGCCGTCGTGGAAAACGCCAAAGACACAATCCGAGTTTTGGCAGAGCACGGGGCCAACCTGAAGCACGTAGCCGTGGACGGTGTGCCGCTCATACACCAGGCTGCTCTGTCGGAGACGCTCCCTGTTCTTTTAGAGTATCCGTTGAAGATCGACTTGAACCAGCGGGACAGCGAGGGGTATGCGCCTCTTCACAAGTTTGATGTATCAGAATACCACGTTAAGCGCTTGGTCAATGCCGGAGCAGACATCAATCTCCAGGACACGAAGAGGGGCGACACTCCTCTCACAATAGCCGCCTACCGTGGCATGCTAGAGCGCGTCCAGTACTTGCTGAAGCGCGGAGCAGACATCCACCTCGGCTCCCGGTGTGACGGTGCTGCCATTCACCAAGCTTGCCGATATTCTTGTTTTGACGTCCTCAAGTACCTTGTCGAGAACGGGGCCAATGTGAACCAAGTCGTCACCCATGGAATCGCCGGAACGCCGCTGCAGGCAGCGTGTATGGCGTTTGTAACCGAATCTGATCGCATGGTCGACAAGATGGTCGAGTATCTGCTCGATCATGGGGCAGACGTGACGGTAGAGGGCGGCCTCAACGGCAATGCTCTTAATGCTGCCGCTTGCGCGGCGACGCCGGATATCGTCAAGTTGTTCCTCGACAAGGGAGCAGTTGTGGATATCAGAGATCCGTTTGGTCGCATGCCAGTTCACTCCGCTGCCTTCCACGGCATCGACATCCTCGAGGTCATCCTCAACGCAGGGGGCGACGTCGGCGTGAAGGACTTCACTGGACGGACGGCACTGCATTGGGCAGTGCAGCCGGGGAGGTTGCAGGCCGTCGAGAAGATTATATCGCTGCTGCCGGACAAGAAGGCCGTTGACGAGCCAGACATTGATGGCTGGACGCCGCTTTGCTGGGCGGCTCGCGGTGTGGGCAACTGGCTTCACCAGGACGTTGCTGGCGAGCCACAAGAGCAGATCGAGGTGATGAAAGCCTTGCTCAAGAACGGCGTCAACCGATTAGTGAGAGTGTCTGTTGGAAGGCAGAAGTGGACGCCCTTGAAGATTGCGAGATTCCATGGTGCGAGCGACGAGGTGATTCAGCTGCTGAAGCACGGTCTCGATACCGCGGATGAAAAGGATAAAGACAAGAACAAGTCTGGTTTGGAAGAGGAGTCTGATGAGGACAAGTCCAAGAAGGGAAATCCTCGAGGAGAAACATGCGATAGCTGCCGTGCTGTGAGTATCACCCCTTTCTCGTTTGGTCACTGTTTCTGGGGAGTGTTCAAAGGGCTTGCTTGTGCTAACATGTTGGATGCCAGAAAATCTTCGGCTTCTGCTATCACTGTAATGAGTGCTTGGACTTTGATCTTTGTTGGAAGTGCCATGTTCACAGGGACTTGATTCATCTCCCCGATCACACGTTTGATGAGTTGGGGCCGGAGTTTGAGGAGACGGAGGATGATAAGCCGGAGGAGGATGATGCGGCGTCGGAATCTTCAGACTCGACAACTTCGGACTCGGAGTGAGTGGCTGGGTGAAGGAGAATAGATCTAAATAGATAGATAGATGAAGATGAAGACAAGTGTTTCGTACTCAACCATCTAGTATGGTATCAGACAGCGAAGTTGCGTTTTGTAGCTAGTAATCCCGGTAAGTATAAAAGAGGAGCGTTGCTAACATTGAATGTAGACTGTCTATAGGTGCTGAGGTATGTTGCAAATATGTAGACAAGTTCATAGGTTCCTAGAGTGACCGAGGGCCTAATTACTTTTTCTCTTGGGCGCCCTTCTGGAACTGCAAAAGCTTCTCCAACATCTCCGGAGGAATCATTGGGTTCGGCAGGTTCTCGGACAAGCCCTCGATTCCAACCTTTAGAAAGTTGGGTTCTTGCGCAATCTGCTTGCCCAGGACGGCCTTGACCTCATCAACATCCCAGTTGGCCCAGACGAATCGGCCGTGGAGATGCTCCGCCTCTCGGCTCGCAGCCCAAACGGCAAACTGACCCGGCAGATTTTCTACAGACGCAGCGTTAGCGCTCTCCAAGGTGTGACCAACAGGGGGGACTAGCAGTGAAAGCATACCATCGTCGAAAGGAATACCAAGATCTTCTCTGGCACCCGCGGCGCGAGCCATGTCTGTGAGGACACCGCCCGGGTGGAAGCTCACGACCTGCATGTCGTTGACATTGGTTTCCCTGGCAATCTGCTGGACCAAGGCGGTGCCGGCGTTCTTGGTCAGGCCGTAGCTCGGACGCTCAGGGGCCATTGTGGACCACATGTAGCTGACAATGGAAGAGAGGTAGATCAAGAACTTGACAAGTGTCAATCAAGATGGCTTGGGAGAAGAAAATCGGGGGGGCAGGGAGAATGTAGAAGAGTAACTTTACCTTGCGAGAGTCTGCGCCTTTGCCAGCCTGCTTGTAGAATCTCTCCGCAAAGTCCAGCGAGGAGCGCACATTGGTCTCGTAGTCCGCCCACACATTCTTCAATCCACTTTCCAGGATGGGCGCAACTCTCCCACCAGCCGCGGCATTAAGCACCAAGACGTCGATATAGATGCCTTCCTTCTGGAGCGCCGACCAAAGCGCCTCGGTGGACTCGAGGCTCGCGATGTCGCAGACTCTGCCGTCAGGGACCGTGGAAGAGCCAAAGTCCTTTGCCTCTTGAGCGAGCTTCTCGGTAGCAGCTTTCACAACGTCGGGGCGACGACCGAGAATGATGACGCGCTTGGCGCCGGCCTTGATGAAGTTGCGGGCGATGGCGTAGCCAATGCCAGAGTTGCCGCCGGTGACGAGGACGGTCTTGCCTGCTTGGGAGAGCTCGGGGCGGGAGGGGGAGATGGCCTCGTAGGGCTTGCGGTGGTACTGCTTGAGGGACGGGAGGCTCATGATTGCTGGAAGTGTTGTTATCAAATGTGATTTTCTTTGTTGAGTCGGTTGGTATACGACTAAGATTGGTGACTGGTGATGTTATCGGATGAGTTGTCGTTCTTTTCGGTCCTTGGTCCTCCTCTTTATACTCGCTCGTCTGGATCTGCGTCGGAGTTCATCGTTCGATCCTCGCCATCCAGAGTGCTCCAACAACCCACAAGCGGTGTTTCTCCAGCTTGCTCTGCACATGATCATCTCCCAAGTCCGCCCACCAAGCCAGCGGAGAATTGCAAAGCAAACCCACCTCGATTAATCAGTCTCAGATCCAGCCACGTTCTCCATCCGCCTCTCACAACATACGGAAGCCTATCTAAGACAGCCAAAGCGGAGGGCTGGGGCTGTATAAGACGGGCGGCCGCCGTCGCGCGACGGAAAAGTTGCCGCCGGACCGGCCTATGAGACGCCGTCGAGCCCCGGAGGCCGGCTCCACCCGGCGGAAGGAAACCCGCCGACAGCGGGCGGATCATGACAAATCGCCGTCCAGAGAGGCCCCGGTCAGCCGAGGGAATAAGACGGTTATCTGATGAGCCTCAGATCCTCTGACGCCTGCCAGCCACAAAAAGATGGTTCTTGTTCCCCCCCTTGGATTCCCTCCCTCGCATCGTCCTCGTAGTAGTAGCGAGAACCTTCTTGTCGCGCATCCGCATCCGCATCCGCATCCGCACCCGTCTTGGTCATGACGGATGCCGCCCCGCCAAAGCGCCTCGCCTGCATCGCCTGCACTCGGGCCAAGCGCAAGTGCAGCAAGCAGACGCCCTCGTGCCGCCGCTGCGCCGACAAGAAGCTCGTCTGCCGCTATCCCGCTCCGCGCGTTGCGCCGCCGTACGACCTCGTCTTCTCGCAGGATGGCGCCGTCTCGGTGATTCCTGTGCCGCCGGGGGCCTCGGACAGACACCCGCTGCCCACTCCGCCGTCTCAGATTGGTGAGCAGCAGCAGAGCCATACGGAGACAGAGACGGAGGTCAGTCATTCTGCGCATGGAGCACCAGCAGCGACGGATTCTCTGCAGAATCCCTGGTTTCTGTCGCCGTCGTCGTGGGACATTGACCACAAGCACGGCCCGGTGCCGTCGCAAATCTCCTTTAGCGATGAGGCTCTTACGTGGTTCATCGACCAGCTTCACGTGTGGCTGAGGCAGTGGACTACAGAGGGCCATTGTCCCTTTATCCATCGCCAGCTCTGGAAGATTCATCTCCCGGATCACATCCAGGACGCATTCGCCTCCCTGGCCGCATACCACTCCAAGACGCCCGCGACGGAGAGGACGGTGCTGCGCATCATCGAGACGCGCGTCAACAATCTGGTCGACACCCAGCATGCCAGCGGCGTCGGGGACTTTGGCGTCATCATGCTCGACCCCGCGTGCCATCTGGCGAGAACCCAGGCTCTCTTGATATACAAAATCATCCGGCTCTTTGACGGCGACATCCGCGCTCGTGCCCAGGCCGAGAAGAACATTGACACCCTCGCCCTGTGGGCCCGACAGCTATGGCAGAGCGCCGGGCTTGCCCTGTCGTCGAGTTCTCACAAGGAGCCCGTCGACCGCGTGAGCAGCGGCCCGGTTGACACGCAGCTACGGACAGACGGGACCCTCACGTCGACGTGGCAGGCGTGGATATTCTCCGAGTCCATCCGGCGCACGTATATGGCGGCCACCCTCACGGAGGCTGTGTACTTGACGCTGAAGCAGGGCTGGGCTCCGTGTCCGGGGGGCATCGTCTTCTCCGGCGGCGCGGGTCTGTGGGACGCGACATCGCCGGTTGCTTGGATGAAGCATTACCAGGAGAATGCCGTCAACGGCATCCGCTGTATTGAGGGGGATCAGCTGTTTTCCAGTGCCAGGGTAGCGGACGTGGATGAGTTTTGCCAAGCGACGATGATTGTGTCGTATGGGCTGGAGAGGTTTGAGCGGTGGCGGACTGAGAAGATATGAATGGCTTTGCATTTGATTTTGTATGTCATGGCTCGCTCTCTTTGTGTGTGGGATCCATGTTGTTTTGCGACGGCGCTGCGATGCGGATTGCTTCACTGGGCCTGTACTTACTAGGTATATGTTGTGTGGGCAGGCGTTTCACGGGTTCATAAACAAGCTTCACTGAGAAGATGTCAATTCTACATATAGGCCTGCTTACTGAATCTGATTCAACTGGTAGATACTGACAGAGCTTCGCAATTCTCTGTCGCCTCTTTAAAGTCTCGCTTGATGCTCATTCCAGGATGTCGTCGCGTAGACTCATTGATTTCAAAGATCTGCGCGGCATTGGCTGGACACTTTTTTTCATGCGACTCCACCAAGACTCATCGCATCCTTGCAAGTGACGGCACGAGCATTCAAATGAGATTCATAATGACTGCCTCAACAGGCATCGCGCTGCAGCAGGGGTGAGCCAATCGTGAGCCGAGCGTCCTCGTCAATCAAACCGCCTCCGCACTTTTTTGGATCATTGCGCGTGGCTGGCAGGGAGCTCTTTGATGGGAGTTCGTGAGTGCTCTGATAGTACTTGTACATTCCTAATGTAAATGAGTGCCCAGGTGAGCTTGCACAAGTGCCTTTATTGACTTGAGAGGAATCAATTCTGCATGAGACGAGAAACTCTGGCGCAAATGATGCATCAGTTTACTGAGGTTACATCGAACGTGAGATGGAACGGCTGCTCAATTGCTTCAAATCCCCAGAGGAGCATGTGAACTTGGACGTGAAATTACCCGTACATGAAAGTGCTGACAGGGGAGGGGGGGCAGCTGAACAGAAGCAAAGATGGGGTACATGAGTAACTAGAACAGGTAGCACCTACAAGGGAGTCGGCGCAGTGGCTGCATCGGCTGCAGGTACCGGTACCTCAACTGTTTCCAATTGGCAATCCAGCCTCAGCCCAGTGGATGCGACACATGGAGAGCTCCAGCTGCATCTGCCGCCATCCTGCACCTTATCGGGCATCCAGCAGGGCAGCCCTGGAGACTTTACAGGGCACCTAGAGATACAGGGCAGATACAGCACGCAAACAGAGCTTGAACAGTTGACGGGAGCCCTCTGAGCACAGCACCAGCGAGCAGTCCAGGTCGCACCACCAGCTGCGAGACAGCACACCAACCACCTCGCCAAATCCTCTCCAAAACAACGTTGGACTCTTCAGCCGACTCTTCTCTCTCATAGACGCGGGAGAGGCGCATCATCCTTACCGGCAGCGCGGTGACTTTGCCGTTTATCTTCATGTGCTCTCCTCTTCTTCTATAAGATCGCGATTCCTCGCAAGTGCAGAATCGTCGCGACACCACACCACCACCACCTTCTTCTCTCCGGCAACAACCACGATGCTGCTCAGAAACCTGTGGCGCGCCGCGCTGACGGCTGCTGGTGAGGCCTCCTCCTCCTCCTCTTCTTCTTTCAAGCTCGCTGCTACATCATATACTGACAGCATCCCTCCTCCCAGCAGCCCTCACGGCGTCGACCCGCGCCGACGACGCCAACAACCCCACGGGCCAGTCCACCTTCATCTCGCCCGACAACAGCCTCGCCTTCGCCTTCACCGTCCCCGACAACGGCAACACAGACGTCTACTTCAGCCTGCGCGTGTCCACTAAGCGCTCCTGGGGCGCCGTTGGCCTCGGCAGCGACGACATGCCCGGCGCCCTCTTCCTCATCCTCTACCGCAGCAAGAACAATCGCGACAACGTCACCTTCTCCCCGCGTCTGGCCTACGGCAACTACGAGCCCAAATACTACCCCGACCTCAAGTTCGAGGTTCTTGACGGCACCGGCGTCAAGGACGGCTACATGATGTTCAACGCCGTTTGCAACGAGCACTGTCGAAGCTGGCCCGCGGGCGGCACCTCCAAGGGTTACATTGATGTGTCGTCCCCGAACCAGCAGGCCGTCTATGCCCTGGGCCCCAAGGAGAGCTTCAGCGACGACGAACCGGATGCAAACCTCAAGATGCACAGCGAGTACGGCACTTTCACCATCGACATGAAGAGGACCCAGGGCCGCGCCGACTTGCCTGTCCTTACCGAGGACTCTGTGGCCGAAGGCACCACGCTCAATAGCCATTCGACCGGCAAGTTCGACTGGAAAGCAGCAGCTCACGCAGCGTTCATGGTCTTTAGCTTCATGCTACTCCTTCCCATCGGCGCGATTCTCATCAGAACGGAGAAGCTGGCCAAGTTTCACAAGTTCAACCAGACGTTTGCCCTCGGTCTTGTCCTCGGAGGCTTTGCCTTTGGTATCCTGGCGAGCTTTCACTACCAACGGGTAAGCATACACATTGGACACTCTTCCATCTCCCGTCTTTTCACTGACATCATCACTACTTCTAGTCCCGCGGCTTTCACTCGCTTCACCAGGTCCTTGGCTTCATCGTCATTCTCCTCATGTTTGTCCAATTGGCCATGGGCATTCTGCATCATCTCAAGTGGAGAAAGACCAAGAAGCCCACAACGTTTGGCAAGATTCACCTCTGGAACGGCAGAATTGTCATGACCCTTGGCGCGGTCAACGGCTACATGTAAGCTTTCTCCCACCTGCACAACCCGTTATTCACTGACTAACCTTGCTCCTCCAGCGGATTTGGCTTCGCGCTCGATCGCAGGTACGCCCTCATCGTTCTCGGCATCGTCTTCTTCCTGGTCATGTGCACCTTGGGATACATTGTCTGGGCGGCCAAGCGGCAGATGCCCCGGCGCCAGCAAGGCCCCTCGGGCTTCGAGGGCCTCAATCACAGCTACCAGCAGCAGCAGCAGCCAGAGCCGTGGCGAAGCACCGGCTACACCGCAACCGTCACCGCTGCGCCATCGTATCCTCACGACCCTCCCCCGGGATACGAAGCTCCGTCGGCACAGATTGGCCTTCAGAACGTTACCCCGTGGAGGGGAGCAACTCCCGGACGGGGTAGCTATGAAGATGAGCCCCTTAACCTGGGCTCGAGCCAGAAACCCAGAGAGTTTACTTGACACTGCGTTTAGCCCGCGGATATGGCGTTGGAGGAACACGGAAATGGACAATGGACAATGGATAGCTAATGAATTAATAAGATAACAAGTTTCCGAACATATTCTCGGGGCATATGCTGCATGATCTCACTTTGAGCGTGTTCATGAGCATTGCCTCGCCTGCAACTTATGCAGGGAGGCTTTCTTGTTTGTGTGTCTGGAGCTGCCTCCGTGACAGAGACTTGGTGCTCATAAGCAGCATGAGCTACTAAAATTGACAATGACTGCGCGCAATTACCTTCTATTAGAAGTCTGATATCCCACGTCTACCCGATTCACTTGAGATTTAGTTTCCGCAATGTCCAACATACATCAAGGCTGTAACTGTCAAGCAAAGCACTAACGTCCCGTATCCCATCCCATAGCTCAACCAGCCATACGCAAACAAAAGGCCATGCGGTTCCCAGCTAACAAGCAACCTCATGAAGCACGCCTCATAACGGAGACTTGTTCCACCGCCCTCGTCATCATGCCTTGGAAGAAGGCTTAATCCCAGTAGACCTCCACATCGATGGAGAATCTAGCCAGAATATAACAAACGCTAGACGATGAATCGGTATTTAGCAACAACGTGCTCCGACAATGTTTGAGTGGAACGACAGAGGAAAGGAAAACTTGCCATAGATAGAGAAGCGCTTCTACGACGATCCATATGATCAGCACCATGAGTTTGATGTCGTCCATTATGGCTGATGGTAGGGACAAGTTAATAAAGGAGTTCTCTTTCTGTTTTTTTTTTTTTTTTTTCCCTCTCTCTTGTATAATTTCTTCCCAAGAGTTGTGGAACTGGTTGTTTGTCTCGTCTGTTGAGTAGTTTTGGATGGGGGAGACTTGAAGCTTTCTACGGAGAGGAATTCACTGCCCTTTTGTGGACATGTAAAAGACCAACTTCGCTACGCCGGTAGACATGCATGAGTATTTACTCTGTCTGTAGATGGCTGAATCTTGTTGGCCAGAATTAAGCTTGTTCAGCCACGCCGAACCCGCAAGGGGCTGTTGGCTTTCGAGCTTCAGTCTCGCGAGCTTCTCTTTGCCGGAGACTTACCTCTTATAGGTAGGCACTAGGACTTGAGCCACCTCAGGGCTGTGTCAGTCTTCTTCCCAACAATCGAAGAAGAAGGCGTTTGTGAGTTTAGCTTTTCTATTTGCTACCATGGCCATGTCAAGTAATACCATGTCTTTCCGGTATGGGACACTCTCTGGCTTGTTGAGCCACGCCCAACTCCTCCCAGGGGATGACTTTGGCGAACTCTTGCTTTACAGACACTACCTCATGTAACTTATTACAGGACATGCATAAGAAAAGTGCCAAAGCTACAAAAGTCTATAGCAGGCGTCCCCAGAAACGAGACTGTTAATGAGAGATGACACGGCTCCGTTCGTCAAACATTGCTATATTTCTTCCAAGGGACACTGTCCATCATGTCCATATACCAAGCAAGCTAAACTCCTGACAATCATTGATCCTCGTGGTATCATAAGCTCTATCTACGGATACTCATCCCCTCCTCCTCCTCATCCCCCTCAAGCCAAATCTCATGCCCGTCACCCTCCTTCACCACCAAGCTCGTCAAGCACGCACAAATGGCAACACTGCTCAGCCCCCACCAAACAAGCCCGATAATCCCCTTGTTCAGCCCAAACCCATACACAACGCCTCCCACCATGGGCCCAATCGTGCGAGCAGCACTGCTCACGCTCTGGCCCAGCCCGTGGACCGTTCCCAGCACACTGGGATGCGGCGAGCAGTTGTTGACGAGAATGACCTGGCTCGGCAGCGCAAACGTCCGCCCCGTCACCTGGAAGAAGAGCACGCAGCAGATGGCAATCCATATCAGCGGCCCCGTCTTGGCGGCAGGAGGCGGTGTGGTGCTCGGCACGACGGAGAGATACGGCACGAGGAAGTACGCCACCGGGAAGAAGAGCAGGAAGAGCCGCCATGACCTGATGGTGCCCAGGCGGGCGGAGATGTTGGGGTAGAGGAAGAGCTGCATGTTGATGCCGATGAAGCCCAGGATGGCCATGGCCATGCCCACCGATCGCGGCTGCAGACCGACGCCGCCGGTGAACCAGAACGGCAGATGGACTTCTCTGTCCGAGGTCGGTGTTGAGAGGAAGACGAACCAGAGCGAGTTGAACGTCCCGACGTGGAACGTGAGGAAGAACTGCGCAACCAGCGTCACGAGGACGTTGCGAGTAAAGATACGTCGGAACGGCAATCTCTGCGTGTATCTCTTGGTCGACTTCTTCGCCGTCGTCGTCGTCGGCCCTTCACCCCCTCGCAACTCCACGTCCGACGCCGGCACAGCCGAATACCCCTCTGCCTCGGGCGTCGTCCCAAACCTCTTCCTATACTTGACAACCAGCCTCTTGCCCAGCCTGGTGCCCAGGTCAGGCGGCCCGTCTCTCAGCGCGTCCAGCGTCTCCTCCAGACCTAGCCAGACTGCAATAGCGGCCGACAAGAGGAAGAAGAAGCTGACGATGTTGGGCGCCGCGTAGGGGAACTTGACGAAGAAGTCAATGTTGCCGAAGAGGGACGGGTAGCTGCCGGCCGGGTCCGAGAGGATGCCGCCGAGGATGGGGCCGATGATGACGCCGATGTTGAAGGTCATGGGGAGGAGGAGGAATGCCCGGGGCTGGTATTTCTTTTCGCGGATGATTTCGCTGATCCTGGAGTTGAAGGTTAGTCAGTATGCCACTCAACCATGCATGTACAGAATCCTTGGTAGGTCTTGGAAGGTGCTCAAGAGAAGGTGAAGGAAGAGGTGAAGGAACAGGTGAAAGACTTACATGGTCCTCATCACGCCGATATTCCCGTTTGTCGCGCCCCCAATCGTCCGGAACAGCAACGCCTGCCAGAACGTCGTCGAGAAGCCAAAACCCAGACACGACACGCTCGTTCCCAGCAACCCGATAAGCAAGACCGTCTTCCGTCCAAACCGCTTCGAATCCGCGATGCGGCCCCAGAGCATCGCCGTGAGAAACTGGGCTGCCGTGAAGCTGGCGTGCAGGACGCCCGCCTGGCTGGAGATTGTCGAGTCGGGGAGAGACGGGTTGAACCACTTGAGCTGGTAGAACATGTAGGCCTTTTCGGTTAAGGATCAGTGTAAGTCTATGCTATGAAATGAATGATTTGAAAGCTTGGAGAGGGGTTTTGTGATTGATTGTCAAGTTGCTACAAGCTTGACGACCAATTCCAGTCTCACCTGTAATGAAGTCTGAACAAGCGGTTCGCTCATCCGCGCCATGGTGATGATAAAAAGCTGGTCTTTCCGAGGAAGTTCGCTCCATGCGACGGGTCTCTTGCTATCGTCCCGGTCGTCGGAGGCCCGTAATGAAAGAGCGCCATCACCCTCAGCATCGTCTTCCGCTCGACTGCTCACTGAACCACCTTCTACAACGTCTCCAAGCCGAGTGTCGATGGCCCGCTCGTCGCCGGACTCATCTTCGTCGCTATCAGATCTGTCGTGCCTCATCTATTCCCAAGTCTACGAGGTCACGCGGCCTCGAAACACACAAAGATGATAGAAACGGAATGAAAAAAAAGTGGGCGGTGAAATCAAAATGTCACTCTCGGCGATTATCGATCGTCGTGATGCGTATAAGAGGGGGGAGATGGCGCAAGATTATCTCTCAAGTCAGACTGGTACCCTTTTGAGAAACCAGATCTTCGAAGAAACGAAGGATAGGTGGAATGATGACCAGAAGAAACAATAGAAAGAAAGAAGAAACAAAACGGAAGAAAAAGACCTGCAGATCCCCCGAAAAAAAAAAGTGATGATGCTACCCAAAGCATCTTTTTCGCCATCCTCGTCGCTCGGCACGCGCGAGCCGTTCAAACCTGGGTCCGTTCCCACCATCTTCTGCCAACGATAAGCTGCAAGGCACTTTGTTCGACAGCAAAGAGGCAAAATCCGAACCAATCTCTGCGCTTCTTCGCGGACAAGGGCTAGTTGGGTCGTGGGGCGGCGGGATTAGGATGGGGACAAAGCCGGGAGGGACGGCCGTTAGACGGCTTCTTGCATAAAGGCTTCTTGAGAGGAAAGGCGTTGAGGCTTCTTCTGGTGGCATTGTTACTGTTGACTGGCTTGTACTGTATCAGCATGGCTCTTCAGCCACTTGATCTGATTAGAAGTATATCTGAACTTGTTAGTTTGGGTGCCGAAAAAGGTAATGTGCTGCTCTGAGGACAGATGATGCCCACCTTTACAACTGGGTATTGTATGGCACTCTCCGACACAGCCTCAAACTCTACAGATACCCAGACAAAATCTTTTTGTGACTTATGAAATGCATGATCTATTCACTTGTGAATTCACTTGGTACAACCGAGGATGCATGCGGGCATGTTCCGGAACACAAAAGAGCCCAAGTGTTGCTGACATCTTTTTCGGACCATCACTACATTCAGAGCCACCAATGCAAGTTATCAGGTTGAGGGTTACAAAGAACTACGAAGTACACGACAACAAATGCTTGCTAAATCATCGATGAACTGACACAGTCTTCTTCAATGACAGTCCATTTGAATGACAGTCCATAACTAAATCCAAAGTCTTGGTGTATTCCTCGTTAAGATATTTCACCTCAACTCCCCGTCCGCTTCTCTGCTCTACTCTCTCAACAGACTCCCCATCCTCTCATCTCGCCTCTTGGCTTGAATGATCAGTATCAAGACCCTAAAGCCTCGAAAGCCTCTTTTGTATAACACCATGGCCAGTTGCCGCGCAACCGGTCCTCAAGCTACACCTATACCTATTCCATCCTCGTCCACCAAAGTCAAAAGACACACTATCACTAACAAGGCTCTACACAACGTGAGTTCACTTCAAACTTCAAAGACTAGGCCAACACTTGATACCAAAAGAGAACAATGGCGGCGCCGAGGCTTGTCTGCTCTGTTTACTTTGCCCTCGTATAAAACCTGTATCTTCCCTGCTTTCATCCTCGTCCATGTCCTCCAGACTCATCTGCTCTCAATCTCCTTCCAAACTTCTCCAATTCTGTTCCGTACGGTCAACCTTCTCTAAGCTCATACCATCTGGTCAATATTTAAAAAAAAAATTCAATCAAAATACAATCACCATGTGTCGGTTTCGCGACCTCTTTGGTCTTTTTGTTCTCGGTCTCGATTCCCTGGCTTCAGGGGCGCCTTTACCCGGCGACGAGGAACCAACTTCTCCAAAACTCATCCTTCACGAGGAAGGAGAGTTTGCCACAGACAACTCGAGCTTGCTTGAGATGAAAGAATTTGAGAGATCATCGCCTGCAGCAGATCCTCAACACATTGACGAGACATATCTGGCGCTCGTAAACGGCAGCCCCTACATATGGGCCAAGACATACATTCACCAATACCAGATGCCCCAGTGGGAGCAAGATATGCCCCAGTTCATCTATCCTGGAGAATCAATCTCCATCCTCATCCAGCCAACACACGGAGCCGGAAACTGGGCCGACTCTGCTGCGGAGGTGGAGTACGCCCTCAGAGGTACCTCGGAGCCCATGTCTTTCATGATCAAGTTCAACAACAAGGGCTCCAGCTTCCTCAAAGTCGAGTACCGCGGCGAACTGGCCTCGATCAACAACGCCAAGGGCAGCGTACACAACCTTGGCATCAACATGTACCCTGGCGGCTCGGCTTTCATCCTCGCCGGCAAGGAGGGCGAGTTCATCACCAACGACCCGCCCATCGGCTGGATGCAGACTCTGCTCCCCCAGCTTGAGAAGAAGCCTCTCCGGGAGATTGTCCTCCCGAGATCTCACCACTCCGGTCTGTGGGGACACTTCAAGAAGGTCGGCCTCGCAACACCGGCCAATGCCCAGACACAGACGGTGCAACTCAACGACCAGCTCGGCGACGGTGGCATCCGAGTTCTTGACTTCAGGCCCTTGCGAACAAAAGACGGTTATCGCGAGATTCACGGGACCCGCATTCTCGATCTTTTCCACGGCGTCATGGGAACCTCTCTCAAAGACATGATCCAGATTGTCAATGACTTTAACCGCCAGAATCCCGGCGAGCTCATCATCTGGGACGTCCATGGCTCCCAAGGCTGGAACGCCGAGCGCGACTATCACGCTCTCGATCAAGTCGACCGCGTGGCGCTCTACGAAGAATTCAAGGCGCTGGAGAACCGCATCCACGTACTCGGCGAGGGCTGGGACCTCTCCAAGTTGGAGCTGGGCGAGTTCATCGGCAACAAGACCTCTGCCGTCATTGTCAACTTCGACGACAGTTGGCGCAAGATGGACGGCGACCTGTTCCCCGGCAGCACCGAGGGCTACGTCACGGGCGCCATCTTCCCAATGCACCACCCCTGGACCAACACCGACCAGATCGACCACATGGTCCAGCACCAGGTCAGCGAGTATCGCAAGACTCGTCCGGTGCCGCAGAGCCCGATCCACATCACGGAATGGCTCTTGACGCAGCAGGGCCTCGGGGCGGCAGTGCCCATACGGCCCATTACGGAGCTGGCGCGCTCTGCGTGGAGGACGTTGTTTCATGAGCTTTGGATTTCGACGACGAGCAACTCTTATCCTAATTGGATATCGGTGGACAATGTGCGCGGGAATCAGCTCAAGGCACTGGTCATGGCTATGAACCACTGTCTGGTGGCCAAGCAGTGTGGTGATCTGGGCGGCAAGGTGACGTTTGATGAGGTGCCGGACGGTGTGGATGACACGCCTCCTGAGTAGACGGGGCGTACAAGGTGTGTGATGGGCGGAGCGATACTGACCAAGGTCCAGTAGCTGGGGGAATATGGAGGGTTTATGAGCAGATATGGGTATATAGATACATAGAATTACACAATGCGTCAGCGAACTTGAGATTTTCACTTCATCACAATTGTATGTCCCAATGGTTTTCCATGAGTGCAACTTATCTGCTCAAGCTCGAGTCCGCATGATCCAGGGCATGGAGGAGGAACCGAAACACGGCGGAAGACCAAGGCAAGCTATGACGCGTTTTGATCAGCAAAACTCGGTATCATATTCCCAATTATTTGCTTCAAAAAAAAAAAAAAAAAAAAAAAAAAAAAAAAAAAAAAGCCGTGTTTGATAGACGGTGCCTTCATCTTGAACCACCGGCCGTGCAGATGTCGTTGGTGGGTGCCGGTTTCCATCAAGCAGGCGCCGACTTTCTTCGGACCCGGCCGGCACCGGAGCTCACCGCCAAGCCTCCGGAATAGTTGTTGGTGACGCGATAAGCAGCATTGAGAACGAGATACAATTAGGGACGTCTTCCCACTTGGGTCCCCGCCGTTGATAAACCATCATTTTGATTGAACTTTCCTTCCATCTTCAAATCCTCAACTGGCGTCCAAGGTAATACCGTGCCAAAACCAAGCGTGTGTATGTGGATGCCTTTTCTGAATCCGGCCTCATCTCAGCCACAAGTCATCAAACTTCCTCCCCTCAATCGCAGCACAAACCATCTCAATTCAACACAATGGCCATTCAAATCCCCATCGGAACCCTTGACATTCAAATCACCGCCGAGCGCCTCACCCAAGAGGCATTCCTCCCCTTCGGAGACGTCATCTCCAACCCACGGCCCGACGTCCACCCCTCCTCATTCGACGCTCACGCCTCGTCCCTCCCGCCCAACGCCTTCTCCGCCAACCAAGGCTCTGCAATCCAGTACCGAAATGTCAGCCGTCTCAAGAACCTCTACGACCAAGCACCCAGCGGCAAGGGCGAGCCCATCATGAGCGTGTTCGTCTGCGCAGCAAGAGGCGGCACCACCACCACCACCAACACTTCTTCATCATCATCATCTTCATCTGCAGGAAACACATTCACAGTACGCCACCTCGAGCGTCACCCCTTTACCGCGCAGACATTCACCCCCATCAAATCCACCGCATCAACCTACCTCGTCATCGTCGCCCCCAGCCTCCCGCCCAGTCCCCGCGACAAAGACCTCCCCGTCCCCTCCGGCGGCGGCGGCGACGACCTACCCGGGAGAGGCCTTCCGGATCTCGGGCGTCTCCGCGCCTTCATCGCCACGGACAGCCAGGCCGTGACCTACGGCGCAGGGACCTGGCATTCGCCCATGGTGGTGCTGGGACAGGCCGGGACGAGGCTGGACTTTGTGGTGTCGCAATTTGCGAGCGGCGTCGCCATCGAGGACTGCCAGCTCCTGGAGTTTGTTTCAGAGGGCAGTGCTGAGCCGAGGATTCGGGTCAAGATTCCGCTTAGAGATTGGTCGGCCAAGTTATAGAGCTACAATATCAATATTTGCGTTCATTCCACTTCCTGTTCCATACTCTGACCTACAGCCGGAGATTATGTCAACATCCTGCCGTTTCGTATTTGGAGGTCACAGCCTCAAAGCAATCTCAATCAGCCCGTGAATCTGATATCGTGAAACCTCATTGGCCGCTTAGTCATCTCACCTGCTTCGTCGATTGTGAGCTTAGGCGGGGAGTTGCGTGTCATGCGAGATTCAAGGGCGCAGCAAGACTAGATATATAGACCTGAGAGTGTCGGAAGAGTAGATGCTATACGTTTTCTCTGATTTGTTACTTCTAGACGCAAAGAACATTATGGGAAGCACAATGTATTCCACCGACGCCCAAAACAAGCTCGAAGACCTCTCCGGCATCGTCTTGAAGCCGGGCGAGAACCCCTACGAGGCCTTCATCCAAGCATGCGATAACAAGCCGGTAAGTGTCGACATATCACAAGCCCATACACACCTCTCGTATTCCCATGGGGCAAGAACTCTCAAATTGATGCTAATTCTGCCCTTTTAAGGAACTAATCCAAGCCCTCTATCACGCTCACCGCACCAAACGAAACGGCCTTCAGAAGGAAAAGTTCTTGTCCCCAGACTACAAGGAGCTCATCATCGACCAGTACCTCCTCCGCCTCGAAACTCCCAGCATCGAGCCTGGCTTCCGCGATGAGCGGAACTGCCTCGTGATCTGGGCTCGTCCTCCGAACCACGTCATTGAGCTGGCCGCCAAGATCCAAACACTACTCCAACAAGCTTCGCCAAGTACGTCTTCCGTCTTATATAGCATCACCATCAAACAAGACAGTCACTTACAGGTCGTGCCCAGAAATCTGGCTCATGCCCACCCATAGGATGCATCTGACAACCCTAGAGATCGCCTTCTCCAAAACCCCCGAGGAAATCGGATTCCTCGTTTCCATCCTCCGCCCAGCCGCCCCCTCCATCGCCTCGTACACCCACACCCACCGCTCTCGTCTCGTCAAGCCCATGGTCTCGTACGATCTCTCCGCCTTCGCCCTCTCATTCCTTCCCGCTTGCGGCGAGCCTCCTCTCTCTCCGGCCCCAGTCGCGCCCGACACGCCCGTGAATGGGCCTGTTACGCAGGGAGACGACTACACGTATCACCACCTTCGACGCGACGTCTTTGACAAGGTGAAGGAGGCTGGGCTGGAAGTCGGGTCGCGGTATCAAGTTCCTAGTGCTCATATTACGTTGGGGAGATATCTGACCGACGAAGACCACGATACTCCTGAGAAGAGGGAGAGGTGGGTCAAGGCAATTGATGACATCAATGCCTGGCTGGAGAATGAGGTATGGGACCAGAAGCATGCTCAGTTCATCGGTGAGTGGGTTGTTGGGCAGGAGAAGGGGCTGGATGTGCGAAATGGCGCGCTGTGGTACGGAGGTGGTCGTACCATTGTGCTTGGTGAGGGCTTTTAGTTGGGAGTCCGGATGTGATAGATCATATAGACTGGAAGCGGACATAGAGACAGCAACAAGTTCATGTGTAAATGCTCTATTGAGCGGGTTGGTATTCGGCTTCTTCCATGCAAGCTAGTCTGAGCCCTCTTCCGTGATGTGAAAAAGTTGCCCAGCAAAGAGACACCAGGCCCATCGTGGATTGGAATCTTGTCCCCCGGGTTGGCTGTGCTTCTTCCCACCCTAAACACTGTGACCGGTGCCAAGAAAACGCGTGTGAATGGCGGTCATGAAGAAATCTTTTTTATTCGTTTCCTATGAGCCGCTGTCCCCTAAACAAGGACCAGTAACCCCCCCCTTCGCCAAGTTCCATGATGCCCGTATGCCGCAAGGAGAAGCATAAGAATTGGTAAGACCGGAAAACAACGCATTTAGAACACCAGAGCCGCACCCTTCGTCTTCTTGTCACCACTGTAGCCGCAGTCAGTATCCGCTCCGTGTTCGTGTCGTCGTCGGCGTCCACATACCCCAGTTCGAAGTGCTTGCATCGCTTCAGGGCCAGCTGCAACTTGGTCTTGCACTTGACGCACTCCAACCGCAGCACGACCTTCTTGGTGGTCTTGGCCTTCTTGTGGAAGACGGGCTTGGTCTGACCACCATAACCGCTCTGCTTCCGGTCGTAACGTCGCTTACCCTGGGCGAACAGGGAGGCCTTGCCAGCCTTGTACTGGGTGACCTTGTGCTGGGTGTGCTTGCGGCACTCCTTGCCCTTGCAGTAGGTGTTACGGGTCTTGGGAATGTTGACCTAATCCGCGAGAGAAGAGAAACTGTCAGCCATCTGATGGTCGCGGGGTTGCTTGAGTGTGAATGGTGCGAGATCGAAGCGGTCGTATCGTCCAGCACAAAGGCAGTCTTGTCGATTTCGATTCCATCAATTTCTCCAACCCCCAGCAGCTGAACAGTTTCGCAGTTTCACCATCGCAGAACTGATGTTGTCGAGAGTCCTTGATGCAGCGACAGTGAATTCTTCATTGCAGCCCTCTTATCCCACCAAGGAATCCGATGCCCAGGAAAGAAGAATGCCGGTTCTTGATCGCGAAGACTGCCATTTGTGCGGACGCCGAAAACGTTCGAGGATTGATCGGGGTGGTGGAATCGAGTGTAAAGGGAATTGTCTGAGCATCAGTGATAATTGCGACCAAAAAAACGTACCATTTTGACGACGGTGTGCGGTGTCGTTACTTGAGTGGTTTGGTGATGCAAAGTTCCCAAAGGCAAAGCGAAATTTGGGAGAGTTTGGTGATTTCTCGCTTTGTGGGCGATAGGGTCAGCGCTATGCCTGATTGGGGCTTCGATAACCAGTGTGGCTTGCTCGGGTGAGTCAGGATTGCTGCCTCGTTTGTTGGGCCGCAAGAAGTCCGCACCAGCCACAGAACTTCTCGGGAGGTGTGGCGCATGCAGCCCCCCTTGTCCGGACCCCACCACGGACAGCCATTGAGCTGGGAAGGCCAGTTAATGTCAAGGTACGGAAAGTTGGTGATGCTACTCCCTGTTGTTGCTGCGATTCCCTCTACAAAGACACCAGATCTCGTAACGTCGCCAAAGCCCGCCAGTCGCCAGCCGCCAAGATGGACCCCTATTCCGCAGAGGGCGAATTGATCAACATCCACACCCACTTCTACCAGTCACAATACCAGCAGGTCATCGACTTCGACACATCATCCTTCTCCCCCGAGAATGCCATACCCGCACGAGTGCTGAAGCTGCGAGCCCGTCTCGCCCTTGGCCAAGCCGAAGATGTCCTTGCAGAAGTCCAGGGCGAGACCATCCCCGATCTAGAAGCCATCGGCGCGCTGGCCGAGTTCAACCTGGGCAAGACGGACTCGGCGCTGAAGACGATTGAGAAGCTGGCGGCATCTGCAGGCGACAACGTCACCGTCCAGGTCGTTGGTGGCACGGTTTTGCAGGCGGCTGGCAAGTCCGAGGAGGCGCTTGCGCTGCTTTCCAAGCACCAAGGAAGCTGTGAGACTTGATCATACATTACCGCCTTGGCCTAGAGACTGACGCTTTATCAGTGGACGCCGTCGCCCTCATTGTCCAGATCCACCTACAACAGAACCGAACCGACCTCGCTCTGAAAGAAGTCACTGCCGCGCGGAGATGGGCGCAGGATAGTCTCCTGGTGAACCTGGCCGAGGCATGGGTTGGGGCTAGAGTGGTAAGAGAGATGGCAGAGTAGCAGCGTGGTGTACATGCTAAGTCCGGTGTTACAGGGCGGCGAGAAGTATCAACAAGCTTTCTACGTCTACGAGGAGCTTGCCCAGGGCTCTTCGACCTTCTCAGTACAGAGCCTCATCGCGCAGGCAGTTTGCGAGATACACCTGGGCCGCCTCGAGGAGGCCCAATCCGCCCTGGAGCAGGCTCTACAGAAGGATCCTACAAACGCCGAAGGTATCGCCAACCTGGTGGTGCTGAACTCCATCGCAGGGAAGAACAACACCGAAGAACTTCTAGAGTATGCACGCGCCTCTGTTCCCTTGGAATCTGCGGGCTAACATGGATCCAGGTCACTAAAGAAGGCGAACCCTCACCACCAACTGGTGCTGGATCTGGAAGAGAAAAGCAGTCTGTTTGACAAGGCTGCCGCAAAGTACAGCGCCAAGGCCTGATTATAGACGAGTCCCATTTTCATGCAGCGAATAATTATTTAGATGCCAAGTATTTTCAGCTATGGAAGGCCGGTATCCCGGTTGGCACGCGGAGAGCTCACCGGCCCATGCAAGGTCGAACGACAGTTCTTGAGTTGGGACTGGCGCGTACAGTCGCTCCACGCCGCGATACGATGCCTCAAACTTATCAATCCCTGGGGCGGCTGCAAATACCATGCCGCTTTTTGAAAGTGATTGCTTCTTTTAGAAATAAAGTAGTAAATAGTAATACAACGACTTGAGGCTCAAACTCTTGATATGCGCTCATCGAACCAGCCGCTCCAGCCTCTACCCTATACTTTCCAATATGCTCCCAGGTCGAGGTTCGCTCCCAGCGACTGTCTGTCCGAAGGGTTGTATCTCTATCTTCAAGCCTCAAGAGAGACCTGCGCTTCCTCAGCTCCCTGCGTAAATCGGACTTGGGGTTCCTGTATACCGTATGCATTCTACCTCCCCTATCCAAGCTACTCCAATTCATCGTCCGAGATATAGAGCTGCAATCGAACATTTGACTAGAATGCCGTCACCTCTTCAGGATCTCGATGGAAAAGCTGCACCTCGTCCGCCCGGCAACTGTCGTTATTTCCAGCGTCGGGCGCAGATTCTGAATGTTTGGCGTCCAACAGGGCGGAAGTTTGCGCATGCCCAGACGCCAAACCAATGGACAGCTGTTGATTCAAATCTGAGCATACGGCTCCCATAGAAGCACAGCAACCGTCATTTTCCTGCAAGAGACAAAGACTGACCTCGGTAGAAGCATTCACATTCCCGCGCTGCACATCATCCGCAACAGCCCCCTCATCCCTCCTCTGCCCATCCAAGCATCTCCCCAGCGGAACCTCAGTATAGTACTTCTTATACTTGAGCAACGTCAAAGAGTACTCTTCCACATCCTCCGCCCCGGGGATCGTATGCCTGCTCAGCAACGACGAGTTTGATCCCGCAGACGATATCGTCGCGACCGAGTGGACGGACTTCAAGTCGTCTCTCGAGGTGTCGGCGTTGGTGGCTGCCGACTCGAGCCAGGCGACTATGGACCGGACTGAGCGGCCGTCCTTGGTGGTCGTTCTTGATGCCGATGTGTTGTGGATGCTGCTGGTGCTGGGGAGACGGGTGGGTGAGATGCGTTGACCAATGTTGGACGAGAAGCTGCTGGGCAGGCCTTTCAGTTCTTTCATTCGGTTGATGACGCCTTCGTCGGTGTTCTGGGATTTCTCATCCCCTTCAATGTCGTCTGCGGCCATTTTGTAGTTCGCGCACCGAAGGATGACACTTTGTATGTTGAGGAGAGAAAGAGACCTGAGTGCGCGTTGGTGAATCTCACATTGTACAATGCTATATGTGTTCCTCGCAGCTGCGAGACAAGTGGCACGGATTCAGAGTCGAGTGAAGCAAAAGTGAGCATTGCAGGCAAACTGGCCTTTTGTCCGCGTTCTTGAATTCTAATTCCTTGTTCAAACCACGTAAAACGCCGTAAATCCTGCAAAAACCGGAACAAAAACATCCCGCTCTCTGCTGTACACGCAGGAATACCACCATATCCCATCTATAACGAAACGGTTTTGTAGTCCCCTCATGTATCGCCGAAGGCGCATCGCTTGCGCATTCAAGGCCGCAGCCGCCAGGGCGAGAAGCCGCGCGATTTATCGCGCCCTCCGTCCAATCGCACACTGCATGTTTCCCTCTCTCTTTCTAAGTCCTCAAAATCGCCGTTCTGAAGGACGTCATTGACTTATTTCTTCTTGGGGCCCAAGCGGGGGGCACCAATGTTGGCACCCCGCAGCTTGACGTTGAGCACCCGCTCCATCTTGGAGAGGATGTTCTGGTCAGGCGTGGCAGTACCGCGCTCGTACGAGGCGACTGTGGCAGCGGTCTCGCCAATCTTCTTGCCGAGCTCGGCCTGGGTCATGGTGGGCTCAAACTTCTGGCGGCCCTGCTCAATGGCCTTTCCGACTTCCTTTCCGACCGTCTTGGGCTTGATGATGTCGTCGGAGCGATCGACCTTTGTGAGTCGCTGGCCCTCAGTACCGCCGGCCTAAACAAATTTCAGGGTTAGCTCTGGCTCGTTGATACTTGGGCGTCAAAAACCTTGACAGGCGCTCGAACATACCGAGTTGGCAGTAGAGTACTTCTTCTCTGTGGCAATGGCAGCACCGGCTCGCTGGGCAGCGTTCAGCGCACTCTTTCCTCGGATGACGGTCTCGCGGTCCGAAGCGCCAGGACCGCGAACACGGCTTCCAATCTTGGTGGCGGAATCCCAGTCGAGGTTAGACATGATGAATGGTTTGGTGTTTTGATGTGTATGACGTGCGAGAGCGGTCAGAAATGACGCGGAGGGGACTCGAGATTATCGCGTGGGGATGTGAAAGAAACGGTTTTTCTTTGGAGCGTCGGACGCTGGGGATTGTATGTTTGGAGCAGAGAGAGGATGTGATAAGGAGGAGCCGTCAGTGACGGAATGGTTATATAGCAGCAGTGCAGAGTATTCGGCGTGTAGTAATACACTGTATGATGCTCGGAGGCAAGGGCGAGAATAAGAATTCTAAAGGCTGGCAATCTGACTCAATCGGCAAGCCAGATTTAGTCGTCGGCGCCTCCGTGGGGCGTCGCATCGCCGCTCATGGAATGTGCTAGAGTCCCGCGGCTTACCTAAGGCATTACAAGTATTTGATTGGCTGAGAGTGGGCAAATGACTAAGAGTGGCCCTACCCAATCGCCATACGTGCATCTCTGAATAGACAGGTACCTGCCTCAAGGTACCTTGGACTGATAATGGGGATGAAGCACCTTGATGGCCAACACTGAACTCTTGAGGGGAAGTCCCTTCTTTGATGCTGAGCTGATTTCTCTCCTTTCCATGCTTCTCTTACTACACTACATGTCATCATGTGAACTCGTGCGACCGCATTTGTTGTCAAGACCTAATACACGGCCTCTGTGTCGGTATCGACTCGAAGCCAGACACGGACATCTGCAGCATCCCATCATGAACTGCCGCCATACCTATGGCTGGCTGCCGACCTAGATCTGTGATTCTGTGTCGCTGATTGGGCTCCATGGAGAGAGCAGATGACTGTCTGTATCACCATTTGCCATCTGTGGGCATCTTATGAGACGCCATCTATTCGATCATCCTCAAACCCCTTCATCTCGCTCGCTTTCAGCCTTAGCCACTCGCTCACTCACGCTCTTCCGCTACGACGACGTCCCGCTCAATGACATTGGCTATAACCTATCGACCCGAGAGCTGAAGCATTTGCTGGCTGTCCCGGTATATCGATTATTTTGACGGTGGACTGCCGGTCATCTCGTGCAGAGGTAGCAGATCGGATTTCGCGTAACACAGCAGACTCAATGGCACGCCTCCTCACACCAGACCGTTTACGTGCGACGTCGACTTCTATCGGGGTCAGAAACCTCGCGAGGATACTGCCCGTCCATCGTATAGCGAGCTCTATCAGACCGGTTGGAAAGGGCTCTGAAAGCGTCTGACGTCGACAATGGTCCAGGGCCGTTTTGCCTTTCGAGTCTGGACACAGATTGCTGGGCTGCCATTTGATGGCATAGCACTGGCTCCTTGCAAAGAATTCATTTGAAAAGCTGCATTGGCACCAAACGGAATCCCTTTGCCGTCTCATAGTCGCCAATGAATCTTCCAGCTTGGTCGTTGTGACCAGCCACTCATCCAGTGCTACATGCTCTATGCTCATCTGAGCCGTTCAGAGATAGGTACTTCCCATAGGCACGTTGCTGATGCCGAAAGAAATCCAGCCTATCTTCTGCCATTGTTCATGGACTCATGGAAGGATTGCCAAACTTTGATTCTGTTACACATACGTCTAATGGACTTCTAGGGAGAAACGGGGAACCTTCGCCTCATCACAAACGACAATCTGATAGGACACGATCATGCAGACAAAGTTCACACATCGATCTCCCAAGGTCAATGAGCTACATGGTCTCGCGGCCGGTTTGGCAGATTCGCGTGGAGCTGCAACGATGGCACCAACTCCGGATGCTGTCTGAATGATTCCGAGAGAACATCCAGCGCCCTTGAGTGAGCCGATGGTTATGCATAGCGTTTGAGCCAATCCATCGGCTACAATGGCGACCAGCAGGGGTTCTACGCCCGACATCTTGGACGGGTTCAGCGGCGTCGGACGACTCTCAAAGGCGTTCGAAACCTGGGTGCTTCCCATGGATGCAATCTTTTTGCAGCGCTTCATGAGCGAATCTCGGCTCGGCATCGGCATGCTGATGGTGTTCTCTTCGGGCAATCTTAGCGTCGCATGGAAGGATTCCGATGCAGCATCTTTGCAAAGATCAGCTCTGTACTCATGGGTGCGAGCTGACCACCTTACCTTTTGGAGAACCGTTCAACCACCGGCAAAATTGTTGACCAGTTTTACGTTGTTTGCGGATGCTTCTGACTGCTCAGGTCAGCCCCTCCTCTTTGGCTATGGACGCTTCTTCTCGCCTCTCCAAGGATTTGGACCTTCCCACCTCAGCAGCTGCGGCCTGGAACTGCCATGTATGACTAGCAGTATGTTTCCCTTATCATCTTGCGATAAAGAGAACTTCAACAAGACTGACACTTATCGGCAAGGATCATGGAATAGTCCCGCAGAAATGATTTGAGTTTCAAATTGCCGAAAGCCCGGGAACGTCAGCACCCTGCTGATATACGAGTAATCGCAAATTCCCATCGACACGAAGCAGTCGAACTAGGTTATCACAGCAGCAATCCAACAGGGCAACATTCGGCATTGGGAAGAACCCTCCATCGTGCCGGCCAGGGCGGGTCCCGCTCCCCATGATGCGTCCAGAACAGGAACAGAGCAGCCCGCCTGCAGCCCATTCCAAATTCTTCTCCTCACTGCTCGACATGCTTGCTGCGTCGATTAGCCTGGAGCCACTTTTTTGCCCCAAAACCAAGCTCATGACAAATAGTCGAGGCCAATGGCGAGGGCTCTGCGGCAATGGGCAGGCAATTAGCGTCGTGATACTTCTTTGCCCTGACGCTGGCAATGAGAAAGCTTTCCATCAGACGAAGCAGGAGAAGCCCTTGCTTCGGACATTCGGACGAGCTGACGCCATGGACTGGAATACATCGTCTGCAAATAGTCCTCCGGGATGAGGTCGATGAAGAATCGCAGCCCTCAATCGAGTATATAAGGAGCAGTCAATTCCTCCCTCTCCCAAGCATCGGCATCTCGAATCCTACCACACTTGAAGCGACGACAAGCTCCGCATCCACATCTTTCAGCGCAATCCCACGTCATTGCCGCCGCCGTGGCCCTCGTCCAACCCCGCCGAAGCTGAACTCCCGCCCTTGGTACGCCCCGATCTTTGTGTTACCCCGCCAATCCCGTCCCATTTCCACGCATGAAGCTTCCAGTAGCTGTGCTATCTATAAGAAGCTGTATCATGCTCCGTGCTTCCACCTTGACAACATCTGTGAACTTTCTTCCTCAAGCTTGAATTCGACCCCTCTAACCGCAATCCTCCCTCTATAGAATCACTCAACAATAGCACAGAAGAAAAACCACCATGCCTCTCACCGGACACTGCCTCTGCAAGGCCGTCACCTACAAGGCCGACGTCGACGCCCCCCTCCTTACCGGCTACGACCACTGCGACGACTGCCAGCGCCAGTCCGGCTCAACCTACTGTATGCACAAAACCTCCCAGCTCCCCTTTCAATACCGAGGGCACCCCCACCTGCGGCTCTCGTTTGTATCCGAGTCTGGATGAATCAGTCTAACCTCCCTCTGCAGCTCTCGTCGCCGTCGTCCCCAAGGCCTCCCTCACCATCAACGGTCCCGTCAAGAAGTGGACCGGCACCGCCGCCTCCGGAAACTCCGTCCATCGCCTCTTCTGCTCCGAGTGCGGCTCTCCCATTGCCCACGACCCCGATGCTGCTCCCGATATCATTGCCCTCAAGGCCGGGACTTTGGACACCGAGATCAAGAAGCAGCTGAAGCCTGTGAGTCGCCTCACCGACCTGCCTCAGACCCATCTCTAGGAAATTTGTATCTAACCTGTGATATGTAGGACACCGAGATCTGGACCCATAGCAAGCTGCCTTTTTGCCAGGAGAAGCTCGCCAAGCCTTTCGAGTTCATGCCGCAGTAAATGACGAGCGAGAGGAGGAGGACAACATGTAGATAATTTTCAGGCCGTACCAGTTCGAAGAATACAAAAAGTCAAATAATATCTTGCGTAGCCAGCCGTCGCTATCGTGGTGTCAACGGACTCATCAGCATTCAACGACTGTTCGCTGCCCAGCTCCCCGACGAATGGGCAAAACCTCTTGCAACCCTCAATCTCGCCACATCGTGGACTCAACGACATGCCGTAGTCATGCTTCGTGCAGTCGCTCATGTAACACAGCCAACAAGGGACAGGTCATGAGGAATGGTAGCGAAACTTGTATACGGCACACAGGGGGAGTACAACCTACAATTCGGCCAAGACAGCCTCGGAACGCAGTCATCCTACACAAGACTACCAAGGAGTTGACCTCACACGCACCACCACCCAAGAGACAAGAGGAAAAGGCTGCAGAAATCACGGCACTCATCACGCAGCAAAGTGAACAAGAGTTTTGGTGGGAACTTTGAGGTGGTATTCATACTCCATGGCTAATGATACTCGCGGGAAACCACTCCTTCTCTCCCCCAAGCCCCTACCAGAATCTCAACCACCCGCCCATGCAAACTCGCCTCCATCACAGCAAGCCCAAGATGATGCCACCAGCAAAGACCAAAGCCATTCCAGAACTCGAGAAGGACGAGACGGCAGCAGATCGGTCGGAGGAAACGTCGACGTCTGGGGACTCGTGCAAATCGTTGGAAACGGTCGATTCCGATGCGGGCAAAGCGGTCGGGACAGTGGCAGCGTCCTCATCACTAGACTTCTGAAGCCCGGTTGGTGAAGGGCCGGCACCGGTTGCGCTCACAGTGGCAGGGGGGACGACCTGATTGGGATCAGAGACGGTGATGGTAATGATGGAGGGAGTGGGAGCGGTCGGTACCGGAGCATCCTGAGAAATGGCCAGTCGGCGGTCATCATCGCAGGCCAACTGTCGAATAACGGCGAAGATTCTGCGCCAGAGGTCTCGGACTTCGCGGCCAAAGCCGTGGTCCAACAGGCACCGCTGGCAGTCGAGGAAATCATCGAGGCCATCGCCGCCGCAGACGCACTCAGAGCGGGCGGAAAGGTAGGCGGCGGAGAATCGGCGGTCATCGTCAAAGTGGCATGTGTTGTCTCGGAAGATGATCTCGACGCAGGGGAAATCGTCGTACTCGTCGTCATCGCTGAAGAGCACCTCGCTGAGGGTCTTCCCGCCGAGGTCGAAGTCAGAAGCAGAGGCGACGGACAGGAAAGCCGCGGCGGCAGCGAGAACGGTGGTAGCGAGGAACTTCATGGTGAATGTGGTTGACGGTAGAAGCTGTGGTGTGTGTTGGGTGTGATGATGAGCGGCCTCCAAAAAAGACAGGAAAATAATGTATGTGAGCAAAGAAGCTGAGCGATGAATGAATGCTGTGATGGACGAGGTGGAAGAGAAGAAGATGAAGTTCGGGGGAGACGAGGGCTTTATATACCCAGAGGGCCGTCTGGCTCCTTCCTCGTCGTGGAACAGAGTTTGGCGTTCTTCCCTCGTGGAGGCGAGACGGTTGAGCAGTTGCGTTCCCGCTGGCGATGTTCCGGCGGAAAGAAGCTGGCGACTACGGAAGTCGCCAGGAGATGGAGGAAGTCGTCAGTCCTCCGGAGGAGGCAGGTGTTGCGTCTCGACCCGTCGATCGAGGAAGCAGCCTATTGCGAGCTGTCAAGCATGGAAGGCACTTTGTCGCGATCATGTTGCCATTCAGTATGTGAGTCTTCTGTGCGTCTATATAGTGAGTCGATATTACATGAACCAGTCGTCCCGCCATTATGCCATCGAATGTCCGTTCTTGAAATCATCATGGGCAAGCAACGCAAGAGAGAGAAAGAAACCCAGTATGCATCGCTGCGCTCAACGCCGCAAGTCTCCATCTGTGTCAGTCTATACCTAGGTACATCAGGTATACCTGGAATCTCCCAGTTCTTTCCAGGTCTACCACATGCTGCCCGAAAGAAGAAGGAGAGATCCCGCAACGCTGCCCAGCGCCAGCCAGTGGCTGCAGCGCATCGACCTGGCAGCTGCGCTCTTGTTCGGAGCCTCGGGCTCTGGCTGCTGCTTCTGCAACGAGTTGGTCTCTGATGCCGATGACGTGAAGCAGCTCGCAGTGCCGCACTTGTAGCCGCTGGGACAGCAGCCAGCAACCGCTCCTGCGTCCTTTCCGCAGAGGAACCAGCCGCTGGCACACTCGTCCGAGGCAGTGGCGGTCGGCACGTCATTTGCCGGGACCACGACAGTCACGCCATGGGACTTGATGGTGGTCGACGGCGCCGGGCAGGAGGAAGTCTGGCAGTCGCGGTCGGTGCGGCAGCAACCACCTCCGTGAGTGGCCAGGCAGCCGTAGAAACCGGTGGGGCAGCCGGTCTGGGTCTCGCCCGACCGAGTCGTAGATCGGGGAGGAGCCGACGAGGTGGAGGAGAAGGCGGTGGAGGAGACCGAAGACGAAGACGAGACCGAGGCAGAAGTGGAAGTCACGTCCGTAGGTCGCCATGGCGGTGCTCCTGTGGCACCAGAGGCTGTGGCAGTTGAGGTATGGTCAGTGTCTGTGGCTGTATGGCCGACGGAGGGATAGGAGCGTGGGTGTTTCCAGAGGCACGACCACGTTCGACGCACTATGACCTACCTGTAGGGCTCGAGTGCGCCTCGGGAACGCTTGAGGGCGATGCGGTCGGCGTCGGCATGCCGCTTGCTGAAGCGCTTGGAACGCCTACAAGTCTTTTGGTGAGCTTGGAGATCACAGTTGATGGACGCTGGTCGCTGCCTCTCATCTTCACTCACAACCTATGCCCAAGCAGACGTATCCAGGGATGCAACAACCGCCGCCGAGATCCGCTGGGCAGCTCACGGCATCCGAGGGACAATTGGCGACGCCTCCCCCGCATGTGGCTCCGTCAGGGCAGCACGCAACCTGTCCAGCATCTGAACTCGACACGTCGGTGCAGTATGTCCCGTCCGGACAGCACTTGTTGTCTGCGCCAATGCTGGAACAGCTCTCCATCCCACTAGGGCATGCTGCCCGGTTCTGAAGGATTCTCAAGACATTGGCGGCGCGTCGAAGCAAACTTTCTTCTGGGTTCTGAAAGTGGTTCGAGAAGGCAGGGCGATAGCGCTCCGTGGAGTTGATGGAGGAATCTTCGTCGTCGTCGTCGAGCCACAGATTCGCAGTCTCGTAAGGGGCCAATTGGGGAAGTGCTTCGAAGGCGAGGTGATCGGGAAACAGCTTTTCGTTTGGATTGGGCAGCTGCTTCTTGATGGCCGTGGCCACCGGTTGCTCTGCTGCCACCTCTGACACGAGAGCGAGGAGGGCTGCCGGTAGGAGAAGCATTTTGTGGAGGGTTGTCATCGCTGGGGCGGTCAGCGCCTTTTGTGAGACTCGAAAGCCCGCGGTGCCGATGCTTCGAAGCACGCAAACGCGGAGGATGCAGCAGTTGATGTAAAGTACCAGAAAATGCGTCGAGGACTGCTATTCTTGTCTTGGCTGTCCTCAGCGAAGCCGATCGCGCATGCAAACCACCCGTGAGCTAGGGATGCTCGCCAGGTCTAAACAAGTTGGGATACAAACAAGCTGGTGGCTGGGGTAACCAACTTAGCCTGGACCCCTGTGTCCTGTGTGGGCCAACATCTAAGCCGCTGATGACTGACAGAACAACAACTCACTCGGATTACTGCAGAATGGCATGAATGAGTTCACATGGTATTATGATGATTTTCTAGCTAAGTTACTCCCCCCGTCAAAATGATCCATTTGCATTTTAGTCACCTCTATGAAAGAGGCGCACGTAGCCTGCAGAGGGCGCAAGCACGGTGAAGAATCGCTGAACCTCGTAATCGTACACGCCAGATTGTTTATTATACAATCATATTCCATCATGACATCGTTTCAAAAGATCGACTCTTTCCCCTCCTGACTCTCTTCCTGTTTAGCGCCGGATTTGGCTTCTGGTTCAGCCACCTCTTCAAGCTTTGGCGCTGTCGGCTTTACAATTGGTGGTGCCCTCACGAAGGCATGACAGAGCAAGCCAGCAGCAACGCTGACATTCAGACTGTCCACGCAGCTGTTGCTCACAAAGTACGGCACCGAGAGCTCGTAATCGGCTGCCACTTTGATCGGCTTCGACAGGCCATGGCCCTCGTTTCCAAGAACCAGTATAGACGGATGTTTCGACAGTGGCTGCTCTGCCTCAACCGTCGCCGTTGAGATAAACTTGTCGCCGTGTCTCTGAGCGAGTTTGGGGTCGGGCGGCGCTACGGCGGCATATGTCTTCCACCCATGTTTTCGAGACTCCTCGATGAAACTGACAGGCGAGTCGACGCTGAAAATGGTAATCTCTTCCACGGCGCCTGCTGCAGACTTGAGCACGACCGGAGTAAGTGTGGATGAGCTGCGATTCGTGATGCCCACTGCATCGACACCAAGATAGCTGGCTGTTCGAAGTATGCCTCCAAGGTTGCCCGGATCCAGGATCTCGTTGAGTAGAAGAACAAAGGGTTTGGGCGCATTGTTGTTCTTGCGCGGGATGAATGTGTCTTTTCCGTTGATTGCTTCTTCCTCTCTTGACTGGTGGTCGAGTTCCACGTGAAAGCCCAGCTTTCCTAGCGTCTCTTCGAGTCTCCCAAGCGACTTCACGGGCAGTCGAGGCAGAGGCGAAGTCTCTAGAACGAAGCCATTGTGTGGTCGGCCCATGCTCATCTTGTCCATCAACCGTTGGTCCTCATTCGGAATAATGGTAATCGGAACACCCCTTCTTTCTGCCAGCCTCGTGATGATAGCATTGTCCTTGGAGTCTTTTCGATTCTCGCCTCCGTAAATGAAAAGTTTGTATAGCTTTCGCCTCCCCTGCTCAAGTGCTGCTTTTACCACAGACTTGCCGTAAAGGAATTGGGAGGCGGCGGTCGTGTACTTGATGTTCATCGCCATCATCTGATTTCTTCGTTCACGCGGCTCTGGCGTTTCCACGTTATCGTAGACATCGTCTCTGCGCCCAACAGGGCGCTCACTTGAACGACCATAAGACGGCCGCAGCCTGTCCATCTCACCTTGGACATCGTCTCTGTGATCAAAGGTGCGCTCAGATGAGGGCCTTCCAGCATAGCGAGACCTTTCCGAACGCTGTTCCGCAGACTCGGAAGCTCGGAAGTCATCTCTGCGGCTGGAGGTACGTTCAACTGTACGGTTCCCAGAGTAGCGGGACCTTTCTGACCGGTCCTCCGTAAACTGAGAAGATTGGAAGTCATTTCTGCGACCAAAGGTACGTCCGAATGAGCGCTCGGTAGAATGGCGAGACCTTTCTGAACGGCCTTCCGCAAACTGAGAAGCTTCCATGGTGCGCCGGGGCCGGGTTTCCAGTCTTTGATATGGTAGCGGACGGACCGGCTCTTTCACAAGAGAAGCAGCTTGCTCCCTGAAATCTCCATGTCTAATCTGGTATACCAGGCTCCTCTTGCCGTAGCTCGAGTCCGGATTGAGGAAGCGTTTACGCCTTGTCTCTTTGGTGGATTCCTCCCCCTCATCCTCCTCCTCTGCCGCCTTGCGACCGAGTTTCTTGCGTAGCTTCTGCTGTTGTCGAGGCGATGAGGCGCCATCAAGCGCTCTTCGAGTTAGTCCGCCATCCCTACCCCTGCCTTGTGAGTCCCGGCTTCTGTCTTGATCTCCGTATTGGACTCTCTCAGATCGCCGGACCCCTCTGTGAATGGCCGAAAGGGTAGCAGGTCGTTTTATTTGTAGAGGGTAGGTACCTGGCCTGTTCAGGCTATTGAGTAGCTGGCGAGAGAAGCCATTAGCTCTCAGCTGTCCAAGAGATATCATTCTTGGAGAGAGAGCAGTTGGTTGATGCTCATACTAAATCAGGTATTCAACAAGAGACGATCTTATACCGGCACTTATCGTCAGAACTCTCTCCAGTTGGCGTGCAGGCGTCTCAGATTATTTTTTTCTGCCGGATCTGGCGGGGTCCTGGCAGGGGTCGTCTCGAAGGCGGTGAGGGTGGCAACGGTGCTAAACTTCCGCCATGAAACTAGAGGACATGTCGAATGTATGGCAATGACTGGCAAGCCAAAGTACCTCGCAGATGCTGCCTAAGCTGTTTTCTTCACATGCTGCTAAGCCTTATTCAGCAATCCCAACGCGTTCCGAGCAGACGACTTATTCGGTCAGATATGGACCCGCGTCTAGAGGTCGACAAGTGAATGCGACACAGAGTGCGCCCGATCCGATATCCCACGGATATTCCTCGATCTCATGCTCTATGGCACTGTTTTTGCTTCCTGGAGCTTCTGCTGATGCGTTCCGATAGCGTTGGGACGCTTGATCTGATGAGGTGCGACTTCCATCATCCGGTTTAGGGGCGGCTTGCCGCAAGCTGTCGCATCAACTCCCTATTGATACAGAAGAGTCTGTGCTGACCGGAAGAAAGCAGATGGATGAGATGAGCATCTTTCGAGGCATGAGCGAACCGGGCGACGAGAATCTCGACAATGGCATTCCCTCGTTTGACCTCCCGTTTCCCAGCCTGAACGACCTGGGCGACATGGCCGATCTTGCTCTGCTACAAGCAGCGATACACGGAGAAGGGAATTTGGATGGAGACGTGACCAACGAGGCCGTCATGGACAGCATGGTCAATACAGAGAGAGAAGCAGGTGCTGAGGAAGAGGGCGATGCAGAGGGAGACGTAGACGCTGAGGGAAGAGCAGACGCAGACGCAGACGCAGACGCAGACGCAGACGCAGACGCAGTCGCAGGCGAAGACTCAGAGGTAGCCGATGTTAAGATTGAGGATACCGACGATGAGCTTCTACAAGTGGGCACGAAGCCGACATTCGAAGGCTCGAACCCGACCGACTCCGATGTCGATATGTCGCGAGACGAAGTCCTGGTGGTTCCGCCCACAGTGCGATTCGAAGTCGCAATCCCAGCTCTGCCTGAGGAGAAAAAGAGCGAATACTCGGACGTATATAGCACTGTCGTCGAGTATGTCACAGGTGGTTTTGATCTTGGCCAAGATGTGCAACAGTACGACGTTGAATTCACTGATGGAAGAGTCGAATTGGTACGTCCCCGAGCAGCTCTGCGCATGCACCTTCGCATAAGTCTGTTGCCCATGCATCTTTCCCCAATGCTACGGGCCTGGGGATCGAGAAGCTCTCCAGCTAGCGGCATCATCTTCTCACAAGTTGTGCCGAACATCCTGTCACCTTGATTTTTGGGCATCACTTTCTTCTCACCTGAGGCTCCTCTCGGCCAATGTTCGCCGTTACAAAAAGTCACCGCTCCCCTCGCACAGCAGCTACCCTTTCCCACATTTTTTTTCTCCATTGCCCAATAGAGCCCTGCCCGCTACATGATCGTCCGCATACTCTTGCATCTCTCTCCTCCGCTGCCAATACAGTTCTGATTCGCCCATTATGGACTCTTATTGACTTGATTGAAGCTCGAAATCGCCGATCTTTTGCAGTACATCAACGGCGAAGAGGCACTCCTCCAATATCAAGAGAACCCCATCATGGCGGGCGGCGACCGCAAGCGAAAACACGCCGCCGACGAGGAATGGGAGCCCGAGCAGAGCAACATCGTCGTGGATGCCGGAGATCTGGACGACGACGATGATGACATAATCCTGGATCGCAAGCGTCCATCACGTCCGAGTCGCGTCTTACGCTCGCGCGAGGCTAGTCGCCGTCCGAGCTACGCGGGCGGCTCCATTAATTCTGAGGGCGAGGACGACGATGCCCTGACCGAAACCAGCCAACCGGCGCGACGGCTGCGGAAGCGGACATCGACGCAGCTGAAGCTCACCAACATGTCCTTCAACACGAGTGTCGTCGACCAGGAGCAGGATGAACTGGCGCTGGAGGCTCGCCAGTCGTCGGAGGACGACAACTTCCTGCCCGTCGTGTCTGACCTCGCGCTGAAGAAGGGCCGGCCGTCGCGAGCCGCGCAGCGCTCGCGTCGGCTGAAGAAGCAGAAAGAAGAGAACGCCAAGCGAGTCCGCAGGAAGTCGGGAGACTCTGACATAGAATTCGAGCAGCCTCGGCGATCTGCGAGGGCTACGCGCAATCGCGCGAATATGCAGGACGATGCCTTCATGGAAGACGACGACTCATTCTACGTGGTCGACGATAAGCCGGCCGGCGTGCCCAAGGTCATCTCGGTCAGGGAGGTGTTCCAACCAATCACCCCAGAGTCAGATTTTGGATCCGTGCACATGCAATCGTGCCATACCTGTGGCGGCTCAAGGCAGCGTGGCCAGCTGCTCTACTGCCAAGGGTGTTGCCTGGCGTACCACAAGAACTGCATTGGGTATCGAAGCAATCGAGAGCATTTGGCAACCAAGGTGGGAGAAGACGACTTTGTCCTGCAATGCAGATTCTGTCTCAACATCTACTCGAAGAAAGACAGCAGTGCGCCCCGACACAGCGCCTGCCAACAGTGCAAGAAGGACGGCCGATCATGTACACCCTTTTCTCAGAAGAAGACGGCTCGCCAAGAGGAAAAGCTGCGCGCAGAGAACGGTGGCGTCGACCCTGTCACCCCAGTCTCGCCCCAGCTTATCAACAACCCCGACAATGTCCTTTTCCGCTGCTCAATGTGTCACCGTGGGTGGCATGTCGAGCATCTGCCTCCTACGGGCACCGACGCGATTGAGACGGACGTCAAGTCTGAACGACTTAAGGAGTATTCAGTCGACTGGCGGTGTACCGACTGCAGCTCTGCCAAAGGCAAGATACATCGCCTGATCGCGTGGCGGCCTGTCACACAAACGGAGGAGCGCCCAGCGTACGCAGATGTGAGCGAGGACGACAGAGAATACCTCATCAAATGGCAAGACATGTCATACAGACACTGCTCCTGGGCCCCTGGGGCTTGGGTATTTGGTGTTTCTGCCGGAGCCATGCGCACCTCTTTTGCCAAACGTGCGCTTGAGCAGGATCTCCTGAAATTCACGACCGAAGAGGCCATTCCAGACGAGTACATCACCCCGGACATCATCTTCAAAGTCAAAATGGACAGATCTAGTTCAGTGGGCAAGACAAAGGCCGATGACCTTGCCAACATTTCCCATGTCAAGAAAATTCTCGTCAAGTTTCATGGCCTTGGCTATGACGATGTCGTATGGGACTCTCCCCCTAGCCCGGAGAACCCTCGGGTCTACAGCGCCTTTGTGGAAGCGTACCGCGAGTACATCGAGGGCAAGCACTTCGAACCCGGATCCGCCAACAAGATGAAAGAACGCATCAAGCTCTACAAGAATTCTCCGTTTGTGGAGGTCGACACGCAACCCTCTGGCCTCACCCGAGGAAAGCTCATGGGCTACCAGATCGAAGGCCTCAACTGGCTTCTGCAGAATTTCCACCAGAATCGAAGCATTGTTCTGGCAGACGAAATGGGACTGGGCAAAACAGTTCAGGTCGTCGGTCTAGTAACCTCACTAGTACTGGACGCGCCAAAGGTCAGTGAAATTACCGTATCTATATATCCTTTGCTAGGCGTAGCTCTTACTGATGATTTCCCTTCATAGTGCTGGCCGTTTCTCATTGTCGTACCCAATGCTACCTGTTCCAACTGGCGTCGAGAATTCAAGCAGTGGGCTCCCGGCGTCAGAGTGGTCGCCTATCATGGTGGAAAGGAACCTCAGGAGCTCGCCTATAAATACGAACTGTTCCCCGACGGATCTACGGACATGAAGGCTCAAGTGGTTATCATGTCGTATGACTCGGCGCAGGACCCACGGACATCTGCCCTCTTCAAGTCCGTAAGCTGGAAAGGGCTGGTCGTTGACGAAGGTCAGCGACTGAAGAATGACCAGAACCTTCTCTACACTGCTCTGAGGTCCATGAAGATACCATTTCGACTGTTATTGACGGGCACGCCGCTGCAGAACAATAAGAGGGAGCTTTTCAATCTCCTGCAGTTCATTGATGAGAAGCAAAATGCAGAAAAGCTGGACGAGGAGTATGCAGTCTTGGACAAGGACAACCTTCCTAAGCTGCACGAGAAGATTCGTCCGTACTTCTTGCGGAGGACAAAGCTCGGCGTCCTAAAGTTCCTTCCCCCTATGGCGCAGATTATCCTTCCTGTCACCATGACGGTCATCCAGGAGAAGCTGTCGAAGAGCATCATGGCGAAGAACCCTCAGCTCATCCGAGCCGTATTTGCAAATAGCAAGATGAACGCCAAGGACCGCGGCAGCCTGAACAATATCCTGATGCAGCTGCGCAAATGCTTATGCCATCCTTTTATGTATTCCGAAGCGATCGAAGAGCGTCACCACGATCCACAGGTGGTGCATCGTAACTTGGTAGAGGCGTCTGCCAAGCTTCTCTTGTTGGAGATTATGCTACCCAAGTTGAAGGAAAGGGGTCACCGTGTCCTCATATTCAGTCAGTTTCTGCAACAGCTTGACATTGTCGAGGACTTTCTGAACGGGATGGGCTACGGATATCGCCGTCTAGACGGGTCCATCTCGAGTCTGGAGAAGCAACGGCGCATCGATGCCTTCAACGAGCCGGGCTCTGAACTCTTTGCCTTTTTGTTGTCGACGAGGGCTGGTGGCGTCGGAATCAACCTGGCGACGGCAGACACTGTGATCATCATGGACCCTGATTTCAATCCTCACCAAGACATTCAGGCACTGTCCCGTGCTCATCGCATTGGCCAGAAGAACAAGGTTTTGTGCTTCCAGCTCATGACGAAGGATTCGGTAGAGGAACGAATCATGGAAATTGGGCGCAAGAAGATGGCGCTGGATCATGCGCTCATTGAGAGCATGGATGACGATGAGCTCGAAGGGGCCGACCTGGAATCGATCCTCAAGCATGGTGCTCAAGCCTTGTTCGACGAGGGCTACCAGAAGACTGCCATCCACTACGACTCTGCCTCCGTGGACAAGCTCTTGGACCGCACTCAGATGGAGAAATCTGCGGCTGTGGATGATAACTCTGCCGAAGGCCAATTTACCTATGCCCGTGTGTGGTCGAACGACAAGCTTGGATTCGAAGAGACGGCGGATCTCACGGAGGAACAAGCCCCGGAGCCCATTGGTTCCAGCGTTTGGGACCAGATCCTTGCTCAGAGAGAGGAGGAAGCCCGACGAGAAGCCGAGGCGAGCAAGGAAGTTCTCGGACGTGGTGCCAGACGTCGGATGGTATGATACACTAACCTGTCCACACAATACTGCTGTTTGGTGTAGCCCTCTGCTAACGATATGTGTGCTCTAGGCTGTCAATTATGGAGCAAAGGGCACTGATCCCTTTGCGGTGCTGGGCGACGTCGGTGGAGACTCTTCGGATTCCTCCGATGACTTTGAAATGGGCAATGCGCCTGAAGAATCCGAGGATGAGGTGGATCCCACTTCAACAGGTAAGCATTCAGAACATCCTCTATGCAACGCGTAAACCTCGAAGATAGATGGCTCTCAGATGCCCAATCCCCAAGACGGCAAGGCTAACCGCGATCCACAGTCGAAACAGCAGCCGAGGTGTTGGCCATGAAAGAGGCCAAGAGAAAACAGCAGCACGGCATCGCGTTCCAGACGCCCAGCTCGACCCCCAGCAACTCAACTCCAAACATAACCCAAGCCCATCCGACCACAACGGGACCGGCATGGAAAGCCGACGTGCCAACGGCCCGTAAAAGGGGCAGGCCTGCCAGGTCAACGCCGACTGCCAACGGAAATGCCGGAACGCCCACCGACGGCTCCCACGCCCGATCCCAAGCAACACATCAGCCGCCTGGCCCTGCGTTGGTCTATAAGAAAGGCTTTGACGGTGCTAGACGCCAGGACACCCTCCAACACTATCAACGATACCTAAACAACGGCGGTCGGCCACCGCCTCAAGCACAACCGCCAACTCAGTACCCGTACCCACCGCCCGGCCAAGCACCGACCGGGTACGAGTACATCTCCTTCTTGACGTCTGAGGCGCAGATACGCCTCGCGCTAGACGTTGTTCATCACTCAAAGTACTCAGCGGCGATGAAAGAGCGACACATAGCCGCTCTGTTCCACAGGTTAGGTCAAGTGCACATGCAGAACGGGATTCGGCAGAGGTGAATTTTTCTTTTCCCTTAGCCACCCGACTTTCCCTTTAGTAATAGGCACGATGGAAAAGAGGAATAGATTCATGACTTGACGGCTCTGATTATTTCCCACTCTTGAAAAGCACGAAGACAAGGATACACCTCTTGATATTGACATAGCTTATCACTTAAACATGTATATATGGGCGCAAAGAGAAGAGGGAGGGAGAGTAACGATGCCTGATAAGGTGGACGGCCAGGCAGATCCTAGAGGAATTGAAGAAGACGTGGAACAACGCGTCAAGTTGATTTGATCAAATCATTACGGACACTCTGACTTGTACATCAGGCGGAGCGACTGCCAGCAGACACCGGAAATTTCCCTGCAACCAGCCGAGCTTTGACTTGCTCTGAAGCAGGGGTTGACAGCAAACGGACGAGTAAGACAGCCTGGACCGTTGAGCTCATGTCGGTGAGGCAGCAACTTGATCGTTGAGGCGATATGTAGTCTCCCTTGTGTTGATATTGACCCTCAACTCTTTTCTCCCATTTGCCACAAAAAGCTTCACCTTCTCTCCATCACGCTCACAGACAACACACCCCTCTACTTTCTCTTCACAGTTCAACTAGGCTCTTTGTTTTCAGTATCCCATAGCCTTGCCATCTATATTACTCATACTCTTGTCTCTTCATACACTTTACCGCCGTTTGCACCTGAAACACCCATAAAGCAATGGATCGTTCCCGTGGACTCAGCTCAAGGCCGGCAAGCATATCTTGCATGCCGTGGTCCCCCGAGCCTCCAGCACTCTCGACTCACCTCCGAGACTGCTCCGCCGAGGCTGCCATGGAAAGGCAGATGGGCTTGAACCTCCATCACCCAAGCTTCAGCGGCTACCTCATCCAGGGCTTCAATCAGAACGGCCGAGATGCCATCGGACAGCAGCTCGTGGCCTATCCAATCTCTCAACAGCAACAGCAGCAACTGAGCTTCAGTACTGCTGCCCCTCTTTCACGAGGCCTCTCCTCTCACAATTGGCGGATACTCTGCCCCGATGGAAACGTCTTCACGCGCTCCCCTCCTGTCCAGACGACTGCAGCAGCTCATGTCCCATCAAGCATGGGGCAAGCCGAGAGAAGGGGGATCACGGCGCCGACTGGGCCTGGCGTCTTCAACGACGGTTATGCGTATTACTTGAATCGGGGCAACGGCGAGCTGACCAGACTTGTCCCGGCCGATATGCTGCCCGCGCTCAACGAGATTCCGCCAAGGGAGCCCGAGAGGCGCGGAATGGTGGTCTTGCCGCCGCTGAGAGGCATTCCGCCCAAGGGGATGGCGGATATGAGCCAGACCATCACCGTCAAGGTAAGCGAATTGCTTTGGAATTGTAAACACTTGTGGCCAAGAGAGAGATTTCACCTGAAAGGGAGGGCACAAGAGAGGAAGCTGAGACTCCCAGGCGTGCCATGTAAATGGACCTCGACATCCATCGGATCGCGTCCAGGTGAGTTGCAGACGACCTCGATACTCTTTCAACCTCCCCCCTTTCACTATTTTCTTTCCCACACCTCGCCTCTGCTCAAGAAACTCACATCTCCCAGCACCAGATCGACCGCATAGTCGCCACAAGCCCCTCGACATCAAAGAAGAACAAGGTATACTGCGACATGTGGATCCACGAGGGACGATGCGCCTTCACGCAGACGGGCTGCAAATTCAAGCACGAGATGCCCCTGGACGAGCCCTCGCAAAAGGCCCTGGGTCTCTTCCAGGGCCTGCCCGCCTGGTACAAGAAGCAGCAGCAAGAGCAGAGCATGTGGGCGTCCCGTGAGAATTCGAGCTCGGAGACTTCGCCTACGGAGGCGCCGTCGTCGCCGAGCGACTTTGCGTGGCAGAGCCGGAGGGCGGCGAGAGTTTCTGCTTCGATGGATGCTTTGGGTGCGATGGTGGCGGACACGAAGCCCGGTACGTACTCGACGATTCAGTTTCCTTTGCACATGAAATTGACGAGAAATGGCTATGTAGAACCTCATGCCTCCCGGGCGGCGAAGGGCCGCGTTGCTCAGTTTGTTTGGGGTCCGATTGGGCCGCCTAACAAACCAGCATCGGACAAGGACCCCTGGGGCAAGGGAACAGGAGGCAAGATGTATGATGTCCCGGGACCTCAATGAGCCACTACGCCTTGGAAATGACAAGCGCAAGCTGAATAAGGAAGAAATATCTATTACAGAATAGAGACATGACAATGGGTCAATGATACATGGGTTAGAGTTGGACGACTTCACGGCAGCAGACCAGGATTATAGGAAGCTCAAGGGGGGCAACTTAGAAGGGCGCCGAGAACAATCATAGTATCAACATAGAGTATTTAAGGCCGAGTTAGTGATTGAACATGGGAGATGATCTCCGTATAAGCTTATTTGGGCAATCCTCACGCTGTATTCAGAGTTGTGTAGAGCATCTCGGTAGAGCGCCATAAGCTCTGCCAACGCCGTGTAGGTCATCTTCAACCAGCTAACAGGAGCTCCAATGGATTACTGATTTGACGGCTGATGCTTAGTCTGTCCAACAGATACTATGACGACAGCAAAAGGCCGTGAGCTGCGTTTGAGCTGTCGGAGTTACTCTAGTGTAAGCTGATTTGGAGCAGGAGATGTTGATTACTGTCAAAACTCCGTCGGCGGAAGACCCCAACATGTGTGCAATAGACATATTGAGGCAATCTGGTGTATATATATGACCAGCGGCAATATTGCTCGATTCTGGCAGAGACACCGAGCATTCATATCTATACCTTATCCAGAGATCATTGATCAGTACTCCCGTTACCATGAGCTCTACAACTGAACCAACATCCACCCCGGCCTCGACCGGCCTGCCGCCTCTACGACGAGTCATCACCGAGCACGACGCAGATGGCAATCCCATCATCAACAAGACCCTCTCCCAGCATCCCCCAAGCATCAGCCCCGGCGGGATGAACTTCACTCTCGGCTACTCCCTCAACGAGTCTCCCGCCATCCTCGAACACGACCAAGACCTGCGAGCATATCAGGACCGCCTCCCGCACAACGTGGGCCTCAGCATCCGCGGCGGCACCGTGCTGCGGATCGTCGACTTCCTCCCCGGCACGGAGGCCCCGATGCACAGGACGGCAACGGTGGACTTTGGCGTCATGATGGAGGGCGAGGTGCAGCTGATTATGGGCAGCGGCGAGACGACGGTGCTGAGGCGGGGAGACATTGTTGGGCAGCGAGGGACGCTCCATGCTTGGAAGAACAACGGCAACAGAGAGCCCGCGAGGGGGTTCTTTGTCCTGGTAGATGCGGATTTGCCGACGGTTAACGGAACGAAGCTGGAGGAGAATATCCCCAATCAGCAGTACATGTAGTGAGGGCTCAGCGCTGGAAATACTGGAGACATTCAGAGCTCCGCAGATATCCATCTTATCGAATCTAACCATGATCAATCAGCGATAGTCTGTCATGAATATCTCAATCATATCAAAGATGCAACACATAATGGAGCGCATGTCGTGATGATGATCTCAAGTGCTGCAAGCCTAAGCCGTTCATCGACTCCCTCTCTTGGATGATACATTGCCGCACAACTGGCCTTAGAGCTGATTGTATACATGCATGAAGAAAAACTAGCACTTTCTGGACTACCATCTTCTTCCATTTTCCTCGCCTCGCCAGAAGGATACATGTACATTTGCATCTTGTCATCTCTCCTCTTCGACTGGGTCAACATAAAGGCAAAAACCACCAACGCCTTTCTTATCTTATCGCGGCTAAACGCCGCCAACTCGAGCTGCTGCTTCCCCCACCATGGCAGCTCCGTGACATACTACTACCTTGGTACTTGCAACCTCGTACCGCCAACCTCTCGTCTGCATCTTCAGAGCTGCTCAGATCACGACTTCGGAGCATTCGCTGGTCATACCGACACACCCGGCCTGGCTCGAGAAGAATTCCCTATCAGCTGTTGGTTTTCCCCGCCGCCTCCGAGCATGACGATAGGCAGACGAGGGACAGTCAGCAGCTAGACAGACACCATCCTTCCCAGCAGCCCACTCGAGCTGCCTCTCTCCCACAGCTCGACCAGCCAGCGAAGCTCATCCGCCATGGACACCCTCAGGGGCATCTTCCAGGCTTTCAACCCAGACGTCAAAGCCCACTCATCAGCCAAGGCTTTCGATACGGCCGCCAGAAACTATGCGGCTTCAGTAACAACAAACCTGCCGCCCGCAGCACGAGCCGCGATCCTGCAGCAGCCGCTGGAAGCCATCCAGGTATGCGGCCCTCCTCGAACTAGCCTTTCGACATGCCGTACTGACAACATGATCAGCTGGTAGATCCACTCACCAACACCATCGGCCACCTCGCAATCATCGACATCCTTCTCCGCGGCCCGACTCCTGCGTCTACTCCGCGTGCGTTGATACTGGACGAGGCTCTGCGGTTCCTCTTACAGTTTGATCCCGTGCAAATCAGATATGTTGGGCCGCTGTTCAAATCCCTGCTGGATGATGCCAGTAGCTTCTATACGGTACGAGAGCTGGTGCAGTCCGGAAACGCGTCTGCTTCTCCAGCAGCTGCTGACGTGGAATAGCCCAAAGTTGCAGTGGAACTGCTTTCAAACGCAATCCTTCGGATCGACCCGAGCGGATCTGTCTTTACATCAACACATTTGAACATGGCGAAGTTGGCCTACGATGCTAACTGCATCGAGCCCGCTCTCAGAGTCTTTGATGCCGATATTCTCTACTATTTGCGACCACCAGCTCCCATGCGCCTCGAGCTCAACGATACGGCGCTCCAGCCTCAGAGTTATATACCCGCAGCGGGCCTGACAGATGTTGTCAAGAGCACCTCCGTTCTTGAATACCACTTTCTCCAAGCCATGGCGTACATTTCAAGGAGAGACTGGTCCAAGGCGCAATCGGCGCTGGAGAGAGTCATTGGGCATCCTACCAAAGACAAGGGAGTGAGCAAGATCATGACTGAGTGCTACAAGAAGTGGCTTTTGGTAGGGGTGCTGAAGGCTGGAAAGCCCCCCACTCTACCCTCCTACATTGCCAGCTCGACAAGGTCAATCTACGCTGGGCTCAGCGAGGCCTACAGCAATATCGCGTCATTATTCCCCACGGACGCTGCGGCAGCACTCAGGGAAGAATTCGAGAAACGACGAGCCGTCTGGGAAGAGGACCAGAACATGAGCCTGCTTGAAGAGGTATTGGTCTCGTATCAGAAGTGGCAGATTATCAACCTCCGCCGGATATACCAGCAAGTCTCCATTTCTCATATCCGGGAGACGACGCTCAGCGCCATTACAGCCGAGACGCTCACGGACGACGGAGACGTTCTCATGCTGATCAGCGAGATGATTGAGTCCGGAATGCTCCATGGCGAGCTCCAGATCGGGTCCACGGCTGGCGAAAGCTACCTGACGTTCCACGAAGAGTACAAGTTGATGACGGAAGCCGAGTTTGCGGCCGAGGTGGCCCGCTGCCATGCGAGCATTGAGGCGTTGACGAAACAATACCGGGCGACAAACGAGCGGTTGGGCACCACAAAGGAGTACGCTAGACACGTGCTTCGTGAGCAGAAGCGGATGGACAAGGACAATGCGGATGCCGGGATCGGCTTCGACATGAATGTGGAGGACGAGGATCTGATGACGGGTGTGTTGGGCAGTGTGTAGGATACCTTGTGTTCCGCCCTTTCTCTCTCTTGACTTTTAGCCAGTGACTATCACCAGTATCTTTGAAAATGGGAAGGACAAGTCACTTGGACGGGGGGCATGTGCAGCAGTTTAATCAAGGGACATGCAAAGGTGACGACTGATATCAGAAAGACAAGAAGAGTAAACAGATACAAGCACAACACGAATAGAGTGGTTTAAAGCATCTTATCTTTTTTTTTTTTTTTTTTTGCATCACGCACATTACACGATATCATACATGTCATGATGATGAAAGCTGAAAAGGTAAAGGGCAGCAATCGCTTCCCGGTGTGTTGCTCGAGTCTGGCTCGTCTAACCAGCCTCTGCTCTATTTGTATCTGAGCGATCTGTATATGTGTAGCAGATCCAGATGGCCTCTATCCCTCGATGCCATTCCGCTCCTCTGCGGCCTCTGTGTCCGCCCCTTACCAGTAGCAGCACATGTTGCTACACATGGCATGGAGTAGATCTATAAGTAAAAGTGCCATAAGCCCATTCAGATTGCCAAACCAGCTGCGTTCTGCAAAAAGGGAAAAAAAAAAAAGCAACCATGAGATGCATAACGTGATTTAACCCTGATTTCCCGGGTCCCGATCCAATCTTTGGCAAAAAAGCAATAATCAAAAGCAAGAAAAAAACCACCGCTCTAAACCCTCATCGAAACAAGGCTCTGATCCTTTCATGAGGACATGCGATTCCTCCGCCGCATGAAGCTCGGTATCGGAGACGGCACATCCTTCTTCTCCTGCGCGCCCGACGACGACGACGGCGACGCCGCCCTCGACCCGTTCCTCTTATCCGGCGCGCAGCAGCAGCCCATGGCGGCATGCAGTATAAAGGCAAAGTCGGTGGCCAGCGCGGCGATCCACATAAAGACAAACATCTTGCCGCCAATGTCGCAGTGAATATTCAGCTGGTCCTGGGCGGTGAGGGCAATCTTGGCGGCGACGCTGATGACGGTGGCGATGACGGCGGCGACGGTGAGGACGAGGCCAGCGACGAAGCCGATGAGGGACGTGCACAGGCTGAACCAGCGCGTCTTGAGGACCAGCGGGGTCAGGAGCAGCAGGACGCAGTTGAGGACGGTGCCGGACATGAAGAAGGCGTACATGACCTGAGAGCCGATGCGCAGCAGCGTCAGGATGGTGACGACCTCGGAGGGCAGGGCGATGCGGGCGCCGGCCAGGAGCTCGCCGACGAGGACCTCGACGGGGTCGAACCAGAAGAAGGATTTCGGCGGGGAGCAGAACGTGACGCCTCTATTTGAAGAGAGAGAAGAGCAACAAATGTGAGCTTTTTCCATGTTTGCACAGATATGATATATATATATATAGTATAGTAGGGGGAGGGGGGTGAAGAAGAACATACTCATCGTTGTAGCCCTCGCAGTAGCTCCACACGCCGACCTGGTAAAAGTCGTGCAGGCCGAGGCTCCGGGCGACCGAGTTGAGCAGGTTGGAGTTCTCGACCGAGATGGGGATGATGTGGGAGACGTCGAGCTTGAAGAAGAAGATGTCGTCGAGGAAGCCGTTGATGTGCGTGTTGCCGATGAGGACGAGGATGAGGAAGGGGATGGTGACGAAGTAGCAGAGGCCGGCGATGATGGCGGTCCATTGCCGCACGGCCATGGCTTGGGAGACCATGACTGCCATGAGGAGGCAAAAAGAGAGAAACAAAAAAAACAGGGTGAATGAGGAATGGAATGGTTAGATGGAGGAGAGGAGAGGAGGAGAGAAGGGGGTGAATAACACAAGAAAAGGCTCTGCCTCTTGTTGTTGTTGTTGTTGCTGTGGAGGCAAGGGGGGGTGGATGGATGGATGGATGGAGATGAGGATGACAAAACAGATCGACAAAAGACGACGAAGAAAACGAAATAAACAAGAAAATAAAACGCAAGATGAAGAAACGAAGAAAACGAAAGAAACACACACACACAAGGGGAAAAAAAAGGAAATAAAAACCCGAAAAGACAGAGAGAGGGAGGGAAAAGGTAGATCAGATGGCCAGGAATAGAAAATGGAGCCCAAGACATTTCAATGCCGTCAACCACCCAAGTTCCATGCATACAATAATACCGGGCACACTTACACGTATTACACGACGACAGACAGACAGACAGCCAAGGCTCGAGTCGGCGATAGTAGTACCTAACCCTGGCGGCGTATGTACCTACACAACAAGGCGCCACGCCTGATTACGAGGGGAGCTATGTACAAGTACCGCCCGCTTTACAGGGGGGAACCCAGAAGCAGAACAGGCAAAAGAATAGCAGTGGGCAACCCGTCACCAGTCATTCATGCGCAGTCAAACAACACTGGACGCAGCTGGAGGGGACTCTCCCCTCTCAAGCTTTTCGTTGAAACAACAAGCAAACCCCCCCTAGCCGCTCATCGGATCCGCTGGCATTCCCTCTTGGCAGGGGACCCCCCTTGACTGTTCCCAGGGCTCAGCAGATCCACCACGAGGCGCTGCTGGCTTCCTACATAGTAGCGGCTAGCTGCCGTCGACTGGACGAGAGATTGACGGACATGAGGGAGACCAGGGGGGAAGCAGGGCGATGCGCCAATTGGAGGCCCTTTGGGTCCGTCTTGGGATACCTAGTAGTAGTAGTAGTAATACCTGGTAGGAGGGTGAGTTGGCGATGCAAAGGCCTTGTGAAGAGACGGGCACATGTATGTATGAGAACCTTGTTGTTATAAACAGGCACAATGCTGAGAGAGAACGGGTACAGAACGGGATAGCACCAATTCATCACCTGTGCCACCTGCTCTGCTGTCTGTCCCACGGCTGGGAAAACATTGCCAGTGTCACCAGGCCCAGCTTTCGTACCCGTACCCGTATCTCATGCCTGGAGGGTACATGACATGACATGCAGTAATACTACTCGTAATACTTGCACATACATACTCGTACATCACACACACACACCATCCCGTCCAGGCTGCCAGCCAGCTCCCGGCAGATCGGAGCGAGAGTGCCGATTCAGGGTTGCGTGTCCCCGCCCGTGTCCCTCGTTTCCAGCTCCGCCTCATGATCGGGACCCAGACTGCCAGAGTCACCCTCCCAGCGTCCGAATGATTCCATTCCAGATGTCTCCCGACAAGCACCGGACGGCCATTGTTGCCAGGTCATGTTTGGCACAGAGTCGGATTTGGCTTTGGTCCTCTACATCTCGTGGTCGCATTCTAACCATAACCATCTCGCCGGACAATTATTGAGAGAGAATGACCACGCAGGAGAGTGATAATTGGCCAGCAGGTGATGAAGTCATAGGGCCACAAAACGATAGACGCCTGACCCACGGCCACCGTCTTTTAGCTTGCGCAACATGAGAGAGAGAGAGAGAGCAAGTTGGCAAGGGAAAATCAAGACAAGACAAGACAAGAATGAACTCCCTGGAAGTGCACGTCTTGTCTACCCGGTTCCTATAGTCGTCTTCTTCAGTAGTAGTAATATGTATTACTCAGTCCTTGGCCAGGCCGGGCAGGGGCCTCAGCAGAGTCAAAGAGGCAAAATGCGGATCGGCAATTAGAACCCGTTGATGCCATGGAGCGACAAGAGAAATTTGGGAATAGGAAGCATTGGGTTTTCCCATGCCATTGTTCGTGCGATACGATACGAGTACATAGTACAACAAACACACTCCGAGGCTGGCCAATCCCCGAAGCGCCCATCTGCTTCTTCTCGTCCCCTCCCCCTTCTTCGCTCCGCCATCCTTGGCCTCCGGAGAAGAAGTGGGAAAGCCAGAGAACAAGAGACGCAATCAGAAGACTTGGCTTTACTTTTCCCATCAACAAGATTGCTGGAGCGGGGATGGAGGAGTGGAGGGGTGGCTGTGAGACATGCCTCATGCTGCGAAGCGAACCAGGGTCTAATAATACCAGGGGGGGGGGCTTTGGAGGGTCTTGAGGTCAAGGAGAGAGAGAGAGAGAGAGAAAGGGCAATGGCAGTGTCGAGCTTGAGTCCCGAGTCGTGTCCCTCGTAAGAGGCCCCAACCCGCTCAGGTCCCGTTTGAATTCGGGTACTGTCTTCACATGTAGTATTACTCGTACCCACGAAGGCAGCAGAGCAGTTGGTTCAGGTCCGGTTACAGGAAGCGCCCGTCACTCGTACACAAGAAGGGCTGGAATCCATCGAACCGGCTCGCCAGACCAACAACCAGCGCTTCGCGGCAAAAAGAGGCTCGATTGGACCGCCGTGGGCTGCGGCTACATTATGAGATACTCTAGGTAGTATTCATAGTACTAATAATATGCGCCGTCTGCAACCTGACATGGCAGGCATGTGCTCCGGTAGCTTCAATTGCTGGACCTTTGGAGGTGTGTTCAATTGCAGCCCATCTGCCGGGGTCCCATAAGATACGCAGATCGCAGGTATTAACGGCCGTCCAGCTTTGTCCATCTCCGCGATCCCTTTTTGTTCTATCATCTTTTTTTTATCTCTTCTTTCCTTTCCTTGGTCTCCTCCACAGAACGGCAAAGAAGCTTGTCCGACGTTCGCGGGGGGTCGAAGCAGGGCACAATCCCCATTTCATCACACTATACACATACTACCTCCTACATAGATGCATGAAGCGAGCATATAATTCGGCTTCATTGTCCCATCACTTTCAGCGCCTTTTTTTTTCTTGGTCTTTTTCTTCCTTTTCCCTCTCTTTCCCCTTGGGTCTCCACTCCCCCTGACCTCCTGGTCCAGCTTCAAGCTTTTTTCTCAACCCCGGATCAAACAGGTTTCTCTCCAAAGTGACGCAGGGACGCCCAAGTGCTTCGGTGACAACCTCGAAAAGCAGAGGGCCATCTCGACGTCCATCTGGCACACCATCTGCCCACCGCCTCTGGTTGATGACGACGACCGACAAGCTCCAAAAAGTGGATGAGCATTCAGCTGGCCGCCGATCGGGAGCTTCCATCTACGAATTGAGAGCGATCCTCTGTCCCCAGAGCGGAACCGCCAATTCAGCAACCGGCTTCGGCTCCTCATACGTACAGTACCATTACGCGTGTTTCTGTCCAGGCTGCACCACCTCTTCTTGTTGTTGCCGGACTCGTATCATCTAATACCTATCCGAGCTGTCCCCGGTGAATCGGAGTCTTGAATTCTCTTGGTTCAACTGCATAGCTCCGGGCTGAGCAGCTGCCAAACGGAGAGGCTGTGTGGACCGGGCTCAACACCAAACGTCGACCCATCATGAGAGTCGTCCCCTCCGCGGCCCTCGGCGTGCTGACGCTGCTGGTGCAGGCCGCCGGCGCGCAAAAGGTGTCGTACTCGGACACGACGGGCCTGACCTTTTACCAGGGCACCAAGACGCAGCGCGTGGGCGGCGACGCGGTGCCGACGGGCGTCTACACGACGTACCACTCCAAGATCACGCTGACCGGCGCGGCCAGCTCCAAGACGCGCTCGGGCACCAGCTCCGGGACCAGCACGGGCTCGGCCAGCGGCACCTACACGACGGGCTCGCTGACGGTGGGCGGCAACCTGACGGCGACGGCGACGGACGCGGTGCCGCAGCCGACCAACACGCAGCCGTGCAACAACCACGTGGAGCTGTGCTCGCGCAAGTTTGGCAACATCACGCACGTCGGCTGCCACAACTCGCCCTTTGTGCGGCCGGGCAACTCGGGCTCCAACCAGGAGCTGCCCGTCAAGACGCAGCTCGACGACGGCGTGCGCTTCCTGCAGGCGCAGATCCAGTGGCCGGCCAACGGCACGGTGCCGCACTTCTGCCACACGACCTGCGACCTGCTCGACGCGGGCCCCATCACCGACTGGCTGGGCGAGGTGTACGAGTGGGTGGACGCGCACCCGTACGACGTCGTGACGATCCTGCTGGGCAACGGCAACTACTCGGACCCGGCGCTGTACGTGCCCTTTATCGAGCAGACGGGCATCCTCAAGTACACCTTTGTGCCCACCGTCTTCCCCATGGCCCTCGAGGACTGGCCCACGCTCGAGAACATGATCCTGCACGGCAACCGCGTCGTCATGTTCCTCGACTACAAGGCCAACCAGACCGCCTTCCCCTGGCTCATGGACGAGTTCTCCCAGATGTGGGAGACGCAGTTCGACCCCGTCGACCGCGCCTTTCCCTGCACCGTCCAGCGGCCCCCCGACCTGTCCGCCGACGCCGCCCGCGACCGCCTCTATCTCATGAACCACAACCTCAACGCCGAGTTCAACGTCTTCAACCTCGAGCTGCTCGTCCCCGCCGTGTCGCTGCTCAACGAGACCAACGCCGCCGACGGCTACGGCAGCCTCGGCCTGGCCGCCAACAACTGCCGCGCCGACTGGGGCCGCGCCCCAAACGTCCTCAACGTCGACTACTACAACTACGGCTCGCCCCCGGGCTCCGTCTTCGAGGCCGCCGCCCGCATCAACAACGTCACCTACAACCGCCCCTGCTGCGGCCAGGTCCAGTCCAGCGGCGCCTGGAGCCTCCTCCGCAGCAACATCCTACAGCAGCCGAGGCGCGGCGGCGATGGTCTCGTGGTCCAGCAGTGGGCCGTCGGGCTCTTTGTCTTCTTCGCGGCCATGGAGTGGTCGCCTCTAACGCAGTCCTTGTCGTCGCTCCTTGTCAGGTTCCCGCTGCTGCTGTTTGCTTGGTACGTGCTTTGCACGCCTTATACTCTGCGGCTTATTCTTGGCCTCCCCATGATTGTCGGGATGGCAGCGGCAGTTGTCGATGGCATCGTTTGAGTTTGCCTCTTTTTTTTTTTGTTCGATATCATCAATTTTTTTTTTTTCAGCAGCCGAGATGGACATCAATTAATGCTGGATTTAAAGGACATGACATGGCGGGGCATTGAATTGGGAGTTTTTTTTTGGGAGGGGGGGGGGGGGGGGGGGGGGGTTAATGAAGAAGAAATCTTACATGTATATAACGGCACCCTTATGGGAACCTGGGAGATTTATTCCCCCAGTAGGTATTAGACATTTCAGCTCAGCAAGCATATCTGACCAAGTATCGAGTAGTATAAGCAATAGAAACATGATTCATGCGATGCAACTCGAGAAAGCAGGGCTTAATCGGAAAGACCAGTCGTCCGGACCTTATTTATCGTGATCCAGTGCTGAATCAGCTTTCCGCATTCAATCTCCAAGATGCAAATTTGAGGCGCTTACGTTGCGAGAGTTATATAAAGAAGGCCGTGTCTCCAGAGGCAAAAAAAGCCCCAGTCGCGATGAACCCATGAAATATCCCATCACACTATAATCTCACATCTTCACCTTGTCAAAGACAATGAGATCCATCAAATTACAACAGCACTTTGGAGTCGCCGCTCGCCTCTCAAAAGAAAGAAAAAAAAACTCCCCTCGTCACACAAGTCGAGAGAAAGGGCAAAGAGGCCGCCGTGAGGCTCAACAAAAACGAACCTGTAACATCAAGTGTGTACTCGTAAATGCTGCCCATCTGCCCAATCACAGCAGCCCCAGACAACTGCAACCTGCGCCCAGGGGAGAGTGGGAGGGTTCCATTCCCGCAGCCCCGGAAAAGCCATCAGATCAGGCGCTCTTTTGGCGCAATAGACGCGCCGTCGGGTTTCCATGGCTGACTTTGGGGGCTGGGATGAGGCGCTACCGCGGTGAGGGTGTTGTTCCCCCGGAGAGAGGGGCAGAGATGCGAGCATGGGAGAGTAAGAGAGAGAGAGAGATAGAGAGCTGAGCTGAGCTGCGCTTGTTAGCCTAGATAAGTAGGTACGTGTATGCCGGGTTAATCGTGTTATATGCTGCTATTTCTGTGGTTGCTACCTATTACTAGCTTGGACGGTTGATTCGATGGTCCGGTTCGATCGAATCCGTCATACCTACAGAGCACAACCCATTTTCGTATACTACTACTACTCTGTCTCGCCCAGCCTCACAAGGATTTTTTTTTTTTTTTTTCCCAATTCCCAGGTTGTTCATATTTCTCCTTGTCGTCGTCGTCGTCAGTCTTCTCCACCTGTTGCTCGGTTGACAACTGATTGACTGACTGGCTGAGCTGGACTGCACGGTGATCGATGGCGGACTTTTGGTGATCACCCATATGCCGGCTTTATCCACAAGGTCCTGTTCAGCTGCTCGCCCATCCCCGTCTCTCTCTCTCTCTTGTCTCACTCCATCTCGTCTTGCTCTCTCCATCTCTTTCTCTTCTTCTTCTTATTTTCTCTTCTGCATTCGTTGCCGCTTGCACTATCACATACTCAGGTCACACAAGCCACAGCCTCTCCAGGTGGACTCCTCCTCGTGCCATACTGTACCTTGACATCCACGACCTATCACCGTCCCTCGCCCTTCCCCAGCCTCAGTCAGCCCTCAGCTGCAGCCGCAACCTCCTTTTCCGTCTCCATCAAGCCGGCTTCTCTGTACGACGCAGATCATCGCCGCCATTCTCCGTCCCGTCTTCAAGCAAACAAGCAAACAAAACAGACTCGCCAACCAACCCAAAAACCTCACAGACTTCTTCACCAGTGACCTCTGCTCTCTCCCACTCTTCTCACCAAAACCAGATAGACTCTCAAACCCCAGTCTTGCCATGATCTCTCCGCCACGCCATGGCTCATCATAACAACCACCAGGGCAGAGAGCCCTTCAGAGACCCGTGGGCAGGCCCCCGCCCCGACCAGCATCTCTCCCACAAAGTGTCCGCCCTCTCAGACGCCAGCGACCTGGACGGCCGCTACGACCCGGACGAGGGCCCTCATCCGCTGCGAGGCCGCGAGTCCATCGTGTCGCTCGAGTCCGAGTACGACCGCCGCAGCTCCATGGCATCCTCAGCATACGCGTCATACGGCCCTCCGCGCAGCTACTCGCCCGCTTCGTGGACCGGCTCCTTCTCCTACGCCGGCGCTGGCGGCGCTGGATATGCCCCCGTACACGCTCAGGGCGGACCTCCTCCCTCGAGGACTCTGTCCAGGGGCAGTCGGAAGCCGAGCTACTCTTCCGTACAGCAGACCGTGCCTGAGAGCATAAGAGAGGAAGAAAACTACGACCTATCGCTTCTCCAGGGCGCGGCCCCCATGGGCACGTCAAGACCGGCGGCGCGCGGAGGGTACGAGGCCATTCACGAGCAGGACGAGGACCTTGACGACGCCGTGCCTGCGTTCGACTTCACGGCAACCCTGGGCCCGATGACGTCGCACGACAGCGCCTTCATCAGGAAGCTGCAAGAGCAGGAAGCCAGGGGGAACCTCACCGGAGGCCTGGGCCAGGGGTTCAGAGCGGACAGTCAGGTCCGCAGCGGCGACCTCCTGTCGTCGCCCACCGCCGTCCAGCGCAGCCTCTCGCAGTCCCTCTCGCGCTCCTTCTCACGGCGGAACCCGAGCAAGCGGCTCAACCGCGCCGAGGCCCTGCGGCACGTGGGCCAGGACGAGGCCAACCGCCGCGGCGAGGTCATCGAGGTCATCGTGGAAGAGGAGCCTGTGGGCGCCGACCTGAGCAACATCGAAGGGCCCAACATTGCCTCTGGCGGAATGCGCCAGTCGACGTACCCGGTCAAGGAGAAGGCGACGGCGATGGCGACGACGAAGACGCAGACATTCTTCCCGCAGCCCAACTGGAAGCCCTTCTCCATGCGGTGGCCGTATCTGACGTTGCTCATCCTCGTCTCGCTGGCCCTGGCCGTCATGCAGGAGGTGCTGTTCCAGATGTACAGGCAGAAGCCGCTGGTCAAGTTCACGTCCCCGGACCAGGTGAAGCAGGGCGTCTACTTCGTCATCAAGTTTGCGCCCACGCTGCTGGCCGTCATCTACGGCGTCCTGTGGCAGTTTACCGACTTTGAGGTGCGGCGCCTCGAGGCCTTTTACCAGCTCTCCAAGGCGGAGGGCGCGACGGCCTCGGACTCCATCAACATCGACTACGCGACCAGCTTCAACTTCTTCCGGCCGTTCCGGGCCTTGAAAAAGGGCCACTACGCCGTGGCCGTGTCCTCCATCGCCACCATCCTGGCCGTGTCGCTGGTGCCGACGTTTGCCGCCGCCGCCGTGGTGCTCAGCCCGAGCCGAGCAGAGCGCATGGCCAACCCGTCGGGCTACAAGACGCTCGGCTTCAGCCCCGTCTGGTCGCGGCTGCTGACGGCGACGCTCGGCGTCATTGCCGTGCTGGGCTGCATCCTGGCGTACCTGCTGCAGTCGCGCAAGTCGGGCCTCCTGTCCGACGTCCGGGGCATCGCGGGCCTGGCCTCCATGGCCGTGGTGAGCCACATCCTCATGGACTTCAAGGACATGGACACGGCGCCGCACGGCGACATCCACAACCGGCTCAAGTACAACCGCTACGTGCTGCGCAACTCGTCGCTCGCGCCCGACGACGCGAACCCGGTGACGTCCAAGGAGAAGCAGAGGTCCGAGGACATTGACCTGCCGACGAACCCGCACCCGGTGCTGCTTCGCTCGGCGGGCATCATCTCCATGATTGTCGGGCTCTGCCTCTTCACCGGCTTCATCCCCGTCTTCCTCTTCACGCCCGCCCCCGTCGTGACGGACAAGGCGCCCTGGGTCGTCACCGTGCTCGCCGTGCTCCTCAAGATGGCCTGGGGCGGCATGGAGACGGCGGTGCGCATGATGGAGCCCTACTACATCCTCTCGCGGCGCCACGCCCCGGCCAACACGCTGCTCCTCGACTACACGGCGCTGCCCTTTGGCTACATGCCCGTGCGGGCCCTGCTCAACGGCCACCTGCTCGTCTTCGCCGTCGGCTTCGGCAGCGTCATGGCCGAGTTCCTCACCGTCCTCGTCGCCGGCCTGGCCACCGTCGACGGCCACGACTTTTTGCTCGTCTACAGCGACGAGGACAAGACGTGGGAGATCAACTCGGGCACGGAGACGGTCAAGTCGTTTTACGTCTCCGTCGCCCTCTCGCTCTTCATCCTGCTGTACATGATCTGCGTCGCCCTCGTCGTCTTCTTCCGCCGGCGGCACCCCTTCTTGCCGCGCCAGCCCAACACCATCGCCTCCGTGCTGGCCTACATCCACCAGAGCAAGATGCTCTACGACTTTGTGGGCACCGAGAAGTTCTCGTCGGCGCAGGTCCGGCAGCGGCTGGGCGAGGACAAGACGTACGGGCTGGGGTGGTTCGTCGGCAGGGACGGGCAGAAGCACTGCGGCGTGGATCAGGAGGAGCTAATTTGCAATTACAAGCATGGCATCAGCTTGCGGCAGGGGACGCAGCCGTGGAATATCCAGTGGGATGTTTTGTAAAGGTTCAGGGCTATGTTTTCATGGATTTCAGAGTCTGTTTCTTTGTTTTTTGTTTCTTGTTGGTCTCGCTCTGATGGAATGGAATCTTGGATACCTTGTGCGTAATTTGCTCGACAGACTGGGAATGCATTATGGCATGATGGGCAAGCATTGTCCGCAAAGTCAGAGGATACGGCGCCGGATTTGAGCATTCTTGTAATGGTAAATTCTGGACATGTCTATATAATATATGATCTCGATGCTTTCATGTTTTGAAGTTGACGCCGCCGTCTCCTCCTTCGGTTTGATGTTCCTTTCCCCATTCTCATCACGGTAGCATAGGGTAGGCAACTTGAGCGCAAATCCAAGCAGCAGACTGGACTCAGCACAATAAGCAAAACAATCTCCTGAACGGCACAGTGAGTGACATTCTCCCAGCTGTTTCACACTGAATGAGTTTAAGAGGCGCTGTCGTCCAGTCCAGTGTTTCAGAGTCAGGCGCATGCAGGAGGGACTGTCACCAGCCCATCTATACTTGGGCACTGGAAAGACGACCTCTACCAGGACAATTACTACCAAGTCGAGGACCTCTAGGTAGGTAGGTAGGTAGGCAGATAGAGGAAGTGATCGCTACTCCAGTCAACACTGCAATATATCACTGAGTCCAAGCATACACTTCTATCTGTAATCAGTGTCCAAGACTGTCTTGTTATATGCTTCTCTTTCTATCATGCCAACTTGTAGTCGGCAGATCAAGGCAAGCATTTCACTCTCAATTGGATGGCAAAGCTGAGCACCGCCCTGACCTGGCAGATGCCTAGTAGATGCCCCCCAGCCAAGAAGAAACCCTGAAAAGGAGATACTACTAATCGTCCTCTCTCTTGATGACGCCTACAACATGAAAGTCTCCTCTCGATAAAAACAAAACAAGGTTTTGGCCGCCAAGCTGCCTTGGCCAATGTCCGTCTCAGCTGCGCCACACGAGTAATTCAAGCCCGCCAAGCCCGCAGACTTTGGAAAACAGCATCACAAGTTCAGTTCGACCAGAGAGCACATGGTAGTACTACTTGATTATTTCGCTTCTGGGCTCTCAATGTCTGAGATTCTGGCTGGCTGCTTGGCGGCATTCCGGGGCCTTGATGGAGTAGGCATGTGTTGTGTGTGTCTCGGTTGGACATGTATGGGGTGGAATGGAAGCGCATGCGTCATCACGGATTACCAGCCTCAATGTCTTGCGCGTCAGAATGCTGGGAAAAAAAGGAGCAAGTGAGAGAGAGCTACCTAGTAGGTATTACTACTAGGTAAGTAGGTTGATGCAATCCATGTTCGTTTGCGTGTCTGCAGAAGCGCTTGAGACTGACACGAGCCATCAAATAGAAGAACTTACTACATAGTACCGAAGGTGAGGGAACCTCACGCAAAACCACCCGTACGTGCGTCCCAGAATTCAAGACCAGCTCTGGCAGTGACCACGCAAAATCCGGCACCCGACTATCCGGATCTAAAAAACCAAGTCGATGCTTGCAAAAAAAAGAATGAGGAAAAAAAAAATGCGCAAAAACCAAGAAAAAAGACGGGAAAAAAACCGGATCAAACTCCACAGCAGTGTCCTCAGCCGGGTGGAGTCCCCAAAAAAGAGACCTGGGGCGCACCGACAGGGTACATCGGGTCGCGTGGGGATGCAGGGCCATGGGCATGTACCCCGCATGGCCGGCACGAGTAACGCCGCGCGACCTGCTCTCCATGTGCTTGACAAGCCCAAGCCAAGATAATACGGGGGACGGACGGGACTTTGAATCTGGCAGTTGTCCATCTGGCTTAGAGTGCAAAGATTCATCGCTATTCTTAGCCTGTTGGCTAGGTACGAAGGGGCGGGATACGACCTGGATGGACGCTTTCCAGCGATCCGCGGCCCATCGATGCTCTCTACAGTAGAATCTTGGAGACATACATCAAATACCTACCTAGGTAAAATTTCAGCAAGCAACAACCTCAGCCAGCCACCTAAAGTTGTCCATCTCTCCCTCTTCCATCTTCCAGCACATCTTTACGCTGCTCGCGGTGGCTGGACACACCCGTGAACCTCTAGCGTCCACCGTACAGTACCTCCACCTACTGTACCTGTAGCACCACTTAGCCTGAAGCCCCCCCCGTGTCCACTGATTGGCGCCCAGCTGTAGCCGCTGCCGCACTGATGCGGTGCTGATGCACAGTGAGTTCCATCGCCTGCGCCCACTAAATCACCTCAATCCACCACAGATCCAGGCCCTCCTCCCCCCCTGTTCCCTCTGCTTCTCTCCTCCAACTCAACTCGCTCTCTGCAACCTCTCGCCATCCTCGCCAGAATCATCCATCTCCGTCACATTCGCTTCAGTTTCCCGTCCGGTGCCGACGCAGCCGCCCTCATACCGCCTTTGGCACTCGTCGGTGTCAGTCAGCGACAGTTCGCTTTCTCTCTATCTTTTTTTTCTTCTTCCTGGTCTCTTTTCCTTGGTCTTCGTTCAGCCGACTCGCAAATCTCGCTCGCTCCGCAGATCTGCCCATTTCGTCATCAACCCTTGCATCACCAAGCAACACGTCATTTACCCACGACCGTACAAAAAAGACAGCGTCGAACCGACACGACGAAAAGGCAAAACGCTGCTTCTCGAGGGTGATCAAGCCATTCTGTGCCGACGAGAGCGACCAAAGCAGCCCTGCGCGCGCACCGACTTTGGCTTTCGCCTCGTCTGACCTCGTATTCCGCTCGCCTTAGCCTCGTCGCCGTCATTTGACGCCATCGCGGCGCCGACCTCGACGATCCCCCAGCTCTTTTGCTCGACAGCGACTCGCCAAAAGCCCGTCGCCTCTGTTTCTAACGTCTATATTCAACACCAAGGAAATCGCATCCATCCGATCCCCGTCACTATGCGGTCGTTCCTCAGGGCGCCGCTGGCCCTGCTGGCCATGACGGCCTCGCTGCTGTCGCAAGCCGCCGCCGAGAGGATGCTGCTGTCCAACTCGCTCAACCTCTGCCAGCAAGACTCCAGCCTGCAGGCCAGTCTCTTCAACGTCGTCTACACGCCCAACAACAACTCGGCCAGCATCAACATGGTGGCCACGTCGTCCGTCCAGGGCAAGGTCCAGTTCGACATCGAGGCATCCGCCTACGGCTACACCTTTCTCAGGCAGACCGTCGACCCCTGCGACATTGGCCTCCAGGGCCTCTGCCCCATGGTGTCGGGCAAGATCGCCTTCGGCTTCAACCTGCCCGTCAGCCCCTCGGCTTCCTCCCAGATTCCCGGCATTGCCTACCAGATCCCCGACTTGGATGCCACGGTCAAGGTCCGAGTCAACTTGACTGGCACTGGCGACAGCGTTGCCTGTGTTGAGGCCGACATCTCCAATGGAAAGACCGTCAACCTCGTCGGCGTCAAGTGGGCTACCGCCATCATCGCCGGCCTGGCCCTCGTCTCGTCCGCCATCATCAACGGGCTGGGACATTCCAACACCGCCGCCCACGTTGCCGCCAATTCTCTCTCGCTTTTTGGCTACTTCCAGGCCCAGGCAATTGTCGGTCTCACCGGGATCCGGCTCCCGCCCATCGTGCAGGCTTGGACCCAGGACTTCCAATGGTCCATGGGCATCATCCGCGTGGGCTTCATGCAGACCATCTTCACCTGGTACCAGCGCGCTACCGGCGGGACGCCGTCCACCATCTTCGACTCTCTCACCACCGTCTCCGTCCAGATCGAGAAGCGCGGCCTCCAGGTCGCGCAGGCCGGCCTGAGCCTCTTCAAGCGCAGCGTGGCCATGATGCCCAAGCCCGCCGTCAACCTTCTCAAGCGCGGCAACGTCATGACCGGTTCCGGAAGCTACATCGTCTTTGGCATCCAGCGCGTCGCCTTCAAGGCTGGCATTGAGACAACCAACCTGTTCATGACTGGCCTCGTCTTCTTTTGGATCTTCGCCCTCATTGTTGCCGGCGCTGTTGCCGCCTTCAAGGGCTTCCTCGAGATTCTTGCCAAGCGCGGCCTCATGAAGCGCGACAAGTTCCTCGACTTCCGCAACGGCTGGATCACCGTCCTCAAGGGCATCCTCTTCCGTGTCTGCCTCATTGGCTTCCCGCAGATGGCTATCCTCTGCCTGTGGGAGTTCACTCAGCGCGACTCGGCCGCCGAGGTCGTCCTCGCCGTCTTCTTCTTCTTCGGCCCCCTCTTCACCCTGGCCTGGGGCGCCAGCAAGGTCATCCGCATCGCCCGCCGCTCCATCGCCATGCACCGCAATCCCGCCTACATTCTGTTTTCCGATCCGCAGGCCCTCAACAAGTGGGGGTTTCTCTACGTCCAGTTCCGCGCGTCGGCCTACTACTTCATCATCCCGCTTCTCTTTTATACCCTCATCAAGTCCATGTTCATTGCGCTGGCCCAGCGCAGCGGCGTCACCCAGGCCATTGCTCTCATCATCATCGAAGCAGGTTTCCTCATCGGAGCCTCGGTCCTCCGTCCCTGGATGGATAAGAGCACCAACTCCTTCAACATTGCCATTGGCGTCGTCAACTTCCTCAACGCAATCTTCCTCTTCATCTTCACTAATGTGTTTGATGCCCCGCTGCTGGTTGTCGGCGTCGTCGGCGTTGTCCTCTTCATCCTTAACGCGGCCTTTTCCCTCATCTTGCTCATCATGGTCATTGTGTCCACCACCTTGTCCCTGATGCGCAAGAACCCGGATGCGCGCTATCAATTCATGTCCGACGACCGCGCCTCCTTCATGAAGTCGCAGTCGCAGCTCAACGCCACCACCGAGCTCGACGCCCTGGCCGCCACGGCTCGAGGCGACAAGCTTGGCTACAAGGGCGGCTTTGACGTGGACGACAACGAGTCCATGTCGTCTGGCGACGTCCGCAAGCACAACGAGGCCTCTGGCGCTTACAGCGTCTCTGGCACAAACTCGCAAAACTCGCTCTATGCCAACGGCCAGGGGCACAGCCACGCCGCCATCCCTCTGTATCCCGCGCAGCGAGGCCCATCCACCTCCAGCCC